TGGCCTCCTGCTGGGACTCAAAGGAGCACAGGGACTGGCCTCCTGCTGGAACTCAGAGGAGCATGGGGACTGGCCTCCTGCTGGGACTCGGAGGAGCACAGGGTCAGCTTGTGCCCAGAGTCAGGACTAAACGAGTCAGCATATCAGATGTATTCATTTATTTATTTATTTGATAGAGACAAATGTACACAATCAACATGTGAAAGACTACAACATTAGACACGTTTCCACTGCAGGAACTTCGGGGTAATTTTCCTAGGCCAGCCCCGTCGGTGCGTGTCTCCACTGCAGGAACCTTCCCCCCAGGGTCATTTACAGGAACTTTTACGAGGCCCAACGGAGTCCCTCCTCCATGCTAGGTACGCCGTTGGGCCCTGGTGGGACTTGAGGTCAACCCGGCGCTGATTGGCTAAAGCTAGCGCAGACTCAGACCGCTCAGACGCCTGCAGAAAGCAGCAAAACAACCAGCATTAGCCCAGCAGCATTAGCCCAACAGCCTGGTGATTCAGGCGGGGTTTGAGGCATCGCAGTGAAATGAAAAGATATATTAAGATGTATCAGCTTCACCTCGAAGCACTGAGGATTCATCACACTCTAAAACAAGCCTTGAAAAGTTTTTAAAAACTGAAGCAGGACTATAAACAACCGGAGCGGTCACGAACGTAAAATAAACAAATGGGTTTGGCGCATGGATCTATAATAATAACTGGTTTGGCGTAATGAGTTTTGCTTATGCGAAACTCATGACGTTGCCGAGTGATCCTACTTTGCAGTGGAAACACGGACACTGAGAGGACAGAGGGAGAGGACGGTTCCTGTAAAAGTTCCAACCCACTCCTTTTACCAGGAACTCCTGCTGTGGAAACGTGGCTATTTACAGCCATGGTGATAAATGCAGCTAAAATTTAGAACAGTCAACTTGAAAATGTGAGACAAGCTTCTACTCTGACAATGTTTAAATTCCGTTGAGAAAGAGTCCCTTTGAGCTGGACAGTAAATAGTATATTGAACTAACATAATGACTGCTTTAAGTTAGTTATAGGTATCAGTTCACAGTATGGCAGCGGTGTATATGCTTTTATCTGACCATTTTTCTGCACTTCCTGTTTACTTCATTACGATTATGAGCACTGACTTTTGGACTGAACAGCTGGAGCACAGGGACTTTGAGTAAATGTCACTCCAAAGCTTCACTAATTGAGCTGCTATGACTCTCGGGGCTTGCATTTAGCATTTCTGCACCTGCATCGGATCGGGGCCCGTCCCTCTGCAGACTGGCCCTGGCCTCTGCCCACAGCGTGTGCCTCTGCCCTGTGGAGAGATAAAGTAGCCTGCTGCACTAAACGCCTTTAATCTAATAAAGCTTGTCACTGCTGCTCTCATTAGGCATCATCGCATCAGGTTAATTACGCTGGTCTGCAGGGGACTTTTCCTGCTCAAAAATGTAACTAGGCAGTTGTTTATAGACTGAAATGATACAAGGTAATGAATAGAAAAATCTAAATAAACATTTTAGTTGAAAATTCAAAAGATTTTTCAATGCACAAAGATTGAATTGAACATGGCAAAAGATGGTTGCCCCAAGGTGGACGCTGCCTCCTTTGCTATTTAAGCTTATATCTTGCAGATATAATTCAGTACATTAGTTGTGTGTTAATGTGCTACGTTTGAGAAAAAAAAATGGCATACAGATTTGAAGAGAACTTACGTTCTCTTCACATCACGTATGAGACGAACGGTTTTAAATGCTTGACATAAACAGTTGTATAAATGATAATAATCAGAGGCAGGACAGAGGAGTTTGAAGATGTATGGACACCTTTAAGGCCATTCTTGTATATGCATATACAGTATATGTATGTATGTGTATGTGTATGTATTTTTTAAATCTTTGTTTCGTTTCCATTTTTATTTTTTTTTTATTGTGATTTTATTATTATTTCATTATTATTCTTCTAATTTACTTCTCTATGCTAGCTTATATTTGTGAGTTGTTGTTTTTGTATACTGAAAAAACGAATAAAAATATGGTTTTTAATAAAGTAATAATAATAACAATGGGCCTCATTCACGAACGGTTCTTAGGAACAGATTTGTACGTAAATCCTACTTACGCGGTTTTTACGAAGAAAGTGGCATTCACGAATATTTCTCGTAACCAGAATTTCACTTGGGCAAGTACAAATCCTACGAGTCCTCAGGAGCACTCGTACGCATTCAGTGCCGACATGTTCACACGCCGGGGTTGTCCTCTTTGGTGAAGTTGAATAAAAATACAACATTCCAGTGATATGTCCGTCATATCGATGTATGTATTTATTTATTTGTAGTAATCTTTATTAGTAATCTTTATTTATATACCGCCTTTTTCACTGCAGATCTGGCCTACTTTTTAATTCATTTTGAAATGAAATGTGCCAACGCTTTATCAAATACATTGGAAATCTTGCCGTGTATTAGTGATCCCTTCCTATTTATAGGGGGCATTTCTTTATCCACGGGCCACAGAACAACGGCATATATACTGCTGCTGCAGGAGGTTACTGGGTCCGCGCTGAGTCTCTGCGCTGGTCTCTCCTATGGATCTATACGGGTCTGCACTGGTCTCTCCCATGGATCTATACTGGTCTGCACTGGTCTCTCCCATGGATCTATACGGGTCCGCGCTGGTCTCTCAAGTCTGGTCTATGCGGTCTCTCTTCGGTCCGCGCTGGTCTCTGCGCACCGGTCTCTCCAGTCAGGTGTCTCCAGTCTATGCGGTCTCTCCTGTCCGCGCTGGTTTCTGTGTGCTGGTCACTCCAGTCTCTCCTCGGGTCTGCGTTGGTCTCAGCACTGGTCCGCGCTGGATCTCCTCCCAGGGTCCAAAATATTTTGAGATTAATCTCAAAACATTTTGAGATTCATCTTTAAAATAATACATAATATATTTTTAAATTAAGCTCATAACATTTTGAGATTAATCTCATCATATTCTTAGATTAATCTCATAATTTTGCTAGTTCGACTTTATAATCATAATATTTCGACTTTTAAGTCAACATTTTATAACTTTATTCTCAGTCTGGCAAAAGCCTGCTTTAGGCCTGTTGCTGTTTCCTCTGGCGTCTGCACACGGCCCTGCAGTCCCTTATATGGGCATTAATGGGCGGTTACTTATGCTAAGTACCTATGGTAATGAAGCACCGGGCACGCGCGCTGTACTTACGAGGAAATGGGATTCATCAATCTGAGAGAACAGCTGCGAACAATTCAGCGGCTTACGAGTGCGTTGATGAATCCCACGTGGGGACTTCTTAGAAATCTACTTAAGGACAACTTGAGAAGAAAGTTGAGTAGTTTCTTACGAAGTTATTCGTGAATGAGGCCCAATGAGATCACAATGACACCCACACATGCGCACACCACGCACACAAACAAAATGCGTGTTTTAAAATTCAAACTGTAATTACGAAAGCTTTTGGTTGTTTTCTGTCCTTTGTTGGGTTTAAGGGTTTAAGATGTTTGAGAAATATCTTTGGCTGTGTTTAGGATTACATGGATTGCATTTGGCAGGTTGCGTTAACAAAAAGCTGCAGAGAGAAAGGACACATCTTAAGCAGATTTCAGACCCACTGGCTCCTTCTGTGCAACAACTATACTATGCAGCACAATAGTAAAAAACTGTGAATAACCTGCAGGCCATGGCCTTTGGTTCAGTGTACATAGATTTATCCAGTGTTGACCGGCATTACTTTACAGAGCAGACTTTCTCTGACTAAAGCTAATGCAGGGAGAGATTTCTATCATGAAATAACTGTTCTTGGCCTATAGACTGTGGTGGAAATTTTCTGAATACAACAATCTGAAATGCTTGACATAATTTTAGAAAACAAAATGGTCTCTATTCCTTTCATCATTCATATAACAAACAGATACAGCTGTATCCATCTGCACAAACTCTTTTGCCCATGACATTCAGCCTGTTGGAAACAAAAAGAAATCAAGGCAACTTTAGTTGGAATAATAAATAACTTTCAGTAAAAAACAGGCAGACTGTCTATTTGCACATATTTCAAATAGTATTGTTATAGTTATTATCTAATGAAGACGTGTTCATACCCCTTAGTGCTAATATTCTGCATAGTGTACTTAAAATTAATGTAGTAGCTCTTTACAATGTCTTTGAGTCCTATATATTCCTATTATTCTTTAACAGGTTGTTGCTGTATCTTATATGTGCACTGCAGGGACAAATAAAGGTTCTCTTTAATATCTTATAATAATGTGCAAATATAAAATATCTCCATGGAAACAGGAAGATGGTGGGTACTCAGAAGTTACAGTGCATGTTTATTGCTCTAATACAGTATTTTTTTGTCAATTAAACTGGGAGGACCTTTTTGTTTCATACATGTTGTTTGTATTGACAAAAAGAGTCTTGTCTTGTCGAAGTAACAAATTGTGAAATAATCAGACCACAACAGTCTGTCTTTTTTTTAGCTGAGTGTGGGCAGGTACTCTCTTTTCATTGACAAAGCTGATCTAAAAATGTTATAGAGGCCAAAAATACATGTATGTGAAAACTAGTAATATAAGCGTTTTGAGGTTTTGTGGTTTAAAGTTGGGTAGTCCAGATTTAAGTATTTATGATGGACGAGTATATCCTCCTTCGACATTACTAACCTCATTATTATCATTACCAAATCACCACCTTGTAAATAATGCAAATGACAAACATGTTCTGAGAAATTGTTCTTGTGCTGTAGGGTGGTTGAACCAGAATGACAAGCTGACGTCGCTGTTGTCTTTGCCTATTTTTTCAACTACAGGCAAGACGAGACAAGTTACCATAACAAACTATTACTATCACAGTGTAATTGACTCGTCCTTCCGACATGTGTCATTCTGGCAAAGGTAACACAGGTCAAGCCACATTCCAAAGTCCAACGTCTGCTCAGTCTGTGTCCTCCAGCTTATTAGAATTAGGAAATAATTTATAAGGTTCTTAACAGCAAAGAAACATGTGTGATTATGTAGAAACACTGGTTGAGAAAGTGAGTGCTGAGCAAAGGTTGGACCACAAGCAGATTATGTAAGAAGTTGTACTGATGAAGTTGTCGACAGTTATGTAAATGTCACTATTGTAAAAAATTATATGAGTTATTATTAGTTATCTTTTTATTTCATTTGAAAACATTGTACATACACTCAAAAAAATGATTTTTGGGTGTAGTAATATATACTAACTCAAAAGTAGTAGTTTCTACCTATAATATCAACTGTCAGCAAAAACTAGTTAAAAACATAAATATTTACACAGTTTATTCAGGTAATTAATTAATTGAGTGGAAAGAGTACATCTTACTAGAGATTTGCTCGTACCATTTACATGATTTATTGTCATAGCACCAAAACCTGAAAAAATCAAGTAACTTTTAACTATTGGGTGAAGTAGTGACGCTACCCAGAATGCAATGCAGAGAAACACATAAACTTCTGAAAAAATCTACATTTGAGCATTAATTTTGAGGGTGAATACAAAGCCAGTCTTAAAACAAAATACGTGAGCAACATTTTGAACAAACAAATTTGACCAAATGAAAAAATTTAAATATATTTTTACCAACCATGATCGACATGGCCAAGTCAAAGTATGGCTTTACTTCCTGGGTTTGTCACTAGATCAAATGTGTATTGTATGTGTGCCACAGAGTCTGTACACTGTACCACTTGTCGCTGAGCTCTATTTGAATAATAAATATTATGACATCCTAATGATACAATTAAAGTGGAACAACCCAAAAAGCATGTAGATAATAATAATAATTTAAACAGAAAAATTAAGTAATATCTACTTATTCACTTCATAACAGAAAATGATATAAACAAGTAAGATTTACCTAATATTTTAATATCTGATATTCCTGTATGAAAATAATTGCATAACATTTACATAATATCCTCACAAAGTTTAAGGTTAGTAGTAAGTACATTGTACTTGATACTGGCAAGTAAGTTATACTTGATATTACAGCATTAAAATTACTTAGAAATTTTGAGTGCAAATACTTACAATGATTTTATTAAGTAAATTCTACAAGTCATTTCTTTGAGTGTAGAAAGGTGTTTTCCTGTTTGGGTACTTCTAGTGTGTATCTTGGTGGGTTGTGGTATGATAATGTGGTATGATATAATGCTATGCCTCAATAAACATAAAGATAGTATTTATTTGTTTAAGAGATCATATTAGTATAGATTATACAAGTGTAATATAATCGCAATACAAATACAGTTAGTCTGTGATGGCCTGAGAGGCTTGTTGAAAGAATATTCACTGGTCCCAATGAACCCAGAGAGGTCAGGAAAGAAGTTGGGATGACTTTTAAAGCAGTGTCAAGTTTTGACACGTGTATATAATGTAGACCCCCCCTTTGCAGCCCCCAGGTAAATGATCTGGAGCCGGCACTGACAAGAGTCTGCTGTTATAATATGATCTTACACAGTAAATGATCACCTATTTATTTGAATGATATGGTTTTACAGTTCTGATCAGAGCCAAACACAAGAGCAAAAGGTTATCCACAGCTGCAGAGGTGATCCACTTGGGCCTTTGTTCCTCGTGGGCGTAGCCGTGTGGGGGGCGTGTGCGTGCTGACGTCACCGCTCGGTCCCCTCTGTCAACGCCAAAATAAAACTTTTCTATCGCTGGTGACTGAAAACACATGGCTCTCGGGCATCGGGGCTAAATGACTGCGCTTTTGTCCCCTCCTGGGTGAGAGGTGTTCCCCTTCCGCAGAGGTGCTGTGTGTTTGGTGGCTCGGGCTCTGGTGTGGCCCCTGCGGTGGTCCTGGGCTGGGGTCTCTGCGCTCCTCCTTGTAGCCGTCTTGCTAGCTCGGCTCGGCTCGGCTCACGGCAACTTGCGAGAAAGTGGAGAAGGCAGCGGCTCAAACGGCAGCTCCTCCGCCTGCACAGGCATATGCGACGAATACAAGGTAAAGCAGTGTGCGGTGTGTGTTAGCTCCGAGTCAGGAGCAGGTCATGACGTGTGTTGTTGTCATGAATGTGCACGTCCATGTCCTTTCTTCTCCGTGTCTTGTGTTTACCGAAGCACTGCTTACGTAGCACTGCTCCTGTCACGTCTTTGACACTACTTTGCTCTTTACATCCTTCCTGCTCGTTTTGTTTAACTCCAGCCCGAACAGATAAAGGAAGTTTAGCTTTAGAGCTAGTCGTCCCTCACACCTGTGTCCATACAGCCTCTAACACCGCGCTGTCGAGCCTCCTCTGCAGAAGAAGCGCTGTGTAATGTTACATAAAGCTCTCTCTTTGAACTATGTGCGCGACACAGCAGAGCCTTCATGAGCTGCAGACCTGAATCCATGCCTGAGTGCTCTCGTCTGCATCTTGAGCGCATCTAAATGGACCTGAATACTTCACTGTTGTCTCTACAGCCGTCTTCAGAGGTGCCTGCAGAGACCAACATTATTTGCGCCATGAGAATCTGCTGCCACTGTTGCAATGCGGTACACTGGACCAGTGTTGTATTTCCAAGGCAAAAGGGAGAAAATTGAACCGGTATTATTTATGTTTGATCGATATGTCAAAGGGTCATGGTTTGCTGACAGCAGCAGGAGAGTCCGGCGGAACAAGGTCAAGCACTGACGGCAAAACAGCTCTCCTGTCCGGCCTGTCATCCATCCGCACTGTGTTAGTGTCAAAGTCTTGTGCTTCCTCCATAGGCCTCCTGCCTGTCCAAGGCTGCCAGGTGAAGAATGCTAATGAATAATTCAGACATGCTGCATATGATCATTGTGTCCCAGGATGTGCAGTGTACTGAGGACAATAACGAGTCTGTAACAGCAACAGTCTTATTGTCTTATTAGTTTATGCCAGGGGGAATTAAACGCACTGCTTTGAGTTTGATCAGAGAGTAGATAAGTCTATGTAATAGAGTTGTCATTGCTCATGATTTGAATTAACATGTTGGATGATATGTTTATACTAATGTGATGTAACCTATAGAACTCATACTGAAGGGTTAGGGTTAAATGGTCACATTCATGATATTTTTGTTCTATACATTATCTATAATACTCTGCTATCTAGTCTGATATCTTCTTCAATATGTTCAGTTCAAAAAGCAACGTTTCTTATCTCAGATTTGAATGTTGTTCGCTCTCCTATGCAGCTGGAGCATTGACGTAGATCTTACACTGTTGTGTTTGTTACACATGTTCAAAGTGTACAGTCAGTAAAATACTTATTTTTGGTTCACTATCAAAGGCAACATTAATTTTAAAAAGGTCTAGTCTTGTTATATAATAACATCAACCTGTATTGCACTGTTTTAAGAGACTGTCTTGGAAACTGCCCCATGTTTAATGGTCACAAAACTGTTTGTGGCTCTATTTCCTCGCTGAAATATTGCTGGAGCTGCCTCAGGCCTAAGCTAACTTCACAAATGACAGCCTGGCTCGGTCCATTATGTCTAAAGTGCTTTATATCTCTGCCTCTGTTTCCAGTTCTTCACACACATGGCAAGGCATATAGCACAATTCATACACAAGGCAACTCAAAGGGCTGAACAAAACAAGATTGCATGACACTGGACATTGGAGAATATAAATAGTCCTTGTAGGCTGCAGTGCACATGCTTTAAGTGTCATGTCCTGCTCAGAGCTTGAAGTGACCGATAGCTTTGCCCAGAGTTTCTCAACACTCTAAATGCTGTGTCAGGGTGAACTCGAGCAGTTTGCACAATCCTAATCTGGAATAAATGCTTGTAGATTGCACCCACTGTTTGGCCTCATGTCAGGTTTATCTGAACAGAACTGTGGTTGTGCTTTGTGCACAAAGAGCATAAGTAATACAGTTTGGCCTCAGCTGTGCATTCTTTTGGGGGAATAAATAAAACCTTTTGAGAAAGAGGTCAAATTAGTGATGTGGCTTTACAAGCCACATCACAATTGAGTCATATACTATTTTCTTTGACAGTGAATTTTCATTTCATATGCAATTTGCCGAATCTCCTTTACATCTGCATTTACTTCCATTGTAGACTCTTGCACCAAACTGTACATTGTCATTCTGATTCTTCAGGCTTGTCCACACTCAGGCGTAGCTTGTGAGAATGAAGATTGTAATTATTGACGGTGTATCACCACTAATGTCAATAATGATTTATTCAGCTGTTTCAGCTCCTCGAGCATGCCATGTTTGAGTTTATTGTTCATATTTATTACTTTCGAACAGAAGTAGGGCTGGGATTTGTCACTGCTCACTGTAATACCTGTATCATTTCCTGTGCTGTTGTTTACCTTTGGTTTGAGCGTGTGGAGTGAGAAACATGCGGCTGCAGAGGCAGAGGAACATATGGACTTTGACTGAAGCGAAAAACTTAGAACGTGGAGCCAAACAGACTTTTTATCTCATACAAAGACAGTACATTGTTATGAACGAGAATTTATCTTACTATGCAGTTTATTGGTGCAAAATAAAAAGAGGAACAATGTATTTTCCGTCCAAAAGCCACAACATGAAAAGAGAAGAAATTACCCAGAAAGACTTCAATACTAAATATAAATGGTAAATATATTATTGACACAACATATCATATATATATAGTTTCTGAATAACCTTCCTAAGATATGGAAGAGTACATTAAAAAAATATTTAGGTTCAGAATAATACCTGCATTTGATGGCATACCGTTGTTTACTTTACTTTATTTTTTACTATATTATAAGTGTGTGCAGTTGATATTTTGTATATGTCTTTATCTGGAATGCCTGAGCTCTTTCAAATATACTATATTTTAAGTTTTTTCTCCATGAATTTCAAATCCAACAGTCACTTATAGACAAAAAATTGTCATCTGATGTATTCCCAAAGTAATGAAGCCTAACAAACCTGAATTTGGACAGAACATTGGGCGACACCGATGTTCAGCCGATGCATCGGTGCATCCTTATTTCTAATGAGTTTCTGAGGTCTCTATAGTAACAACATGAAATTGTGAAAGGAGTGAGTCCTCGCCTCTCAGAACAGAACATTGTCAGGGTCCAGCTTGGCCTCTCTTCCTCCCGTCTCGTGACAGGAGTAATCCCCAAACTCTGAGTAAAGCCTTTGTTTAGCACTGGCAGAGGAGGCACTTCCCTTCACAGGCTGTCAATCAAAGTACAGTAGTCTTGGTTCATGGTTCCCAGTTTATGATTCAAATACACACTTCAATGCAGATGCTGATTCCTTTATATGGCTTATGTAATTGACAATCCACCATTTCCTCAATCGTTTTATTGACATCATTACCCTTTTAGTTACTTATTGTATTTAGGGCCTGAATTGTTTTGTTAAATTATTGACTAGTTAATCGCAAGAGAAACATTGAGGTGATAATTTAACACGATCATTTCCCCAGCCCTTATTATATTGTATGTAATAAATTATTGATTGAAACTAAACTGGTGATAACTGACGGATGAGGTTTTTGTCCCCATCTCACATCTGCACTGGTGGCATTCATGAAAGGGATGTGGTCAGCTGAGTAAGAAATGCAGTCTTCCTCGGAATCCTTGGATTAAGCTCTTTCCACTTGGACTCTCCATGCAGCCTTGAAGCTTCCATTCATACACATAAATGGTTTGAAGTTTTATTGTATATGTTTTGGGACAATACATGTTTGTGTTTGTGGACAGGAGCAGGGCAGAGCAGTGGCCAACATAAGCAGATAGGATTACAGCCTGAGTGCTAACAGCCAGCACTGTTGACCTCAGAGACACCGAGTCAGATGACTCCAAGAGCTTGTGATACTTCCACAATTATGCAGGAATCAAGAAGTGCTTATGGTTGCTGATGTTTATAATGAACTTGGTTGGAATTGTAGGTTTGTTGCATTTTCAATATTAGTAATAAATACATTAGTAATTGAATATTTTGGAGACAATATGGGATTCTGAGCCTTTTTCATCCAAAAATGATTATGTATGTTTACAAACACTTGAAAACGCAGATGAAAATACATTTTTGTTAGCAGATTAATTTCTATTAATAGTTCATATGAACGCTCTATGCAGTTAATGTATTTAAATAGATAATAACATTGTGAACTTGAGCTTATGAGATCAATTACTGCTGCAAGGTTTTTACAGTACATCAAAAGATGTTTGAATTGTAATAAAACTTGTCAAATGTCACAATACAAAAAGATTCAGAACCACAGCTATGGTGAAATTATGTTGTGCTCCTTTTGGACAGTAAACTGATAGGATTAAAAATATCTCATAATATTTAAATAATGATACATAATATCAATGGGACCATAAGGGTTTATAGTTCCTGTTGTATTGTTTAAAATGCATAAAAAAGGGCTCAAGAGATGTCAAATTGTGTCTTGTTTTTGTAATTATTTTTAGTATCTTGGTTCAAGATTAGTTTAAACTCAATACTTTTGACAGCCTTATAGCATGTCTATATTGGGTAAAGTTTGACAAAAAAGTTTGCGGTTGAGTGGGGGCAGTAACAATGATTCATTTTAATCAAGGAAAATCTGTGAAATATGTTGTTTAATACAATGTCTTGCAAGACTTTAAAATAATGATAATTTGGTTGTACTGGAGTGAACACCGGGTCCAGATCTGGTAGCCAGGACTTGCTGAAAACAGGGTGATGGAGACCGTGCACACCAAATGGAAAAAACTGATGCCATTCATAAAATAGATGGTGTTAAAAAGAAAGAACAGTTTGGGAAATATTAAAGCAACATCTCAAGACGTCAAAGAATTTTGTACTTGGGTGGAAATGGATTGTCATATTGGACCCCAAACGTACAGCCAAAGTAGTTACTAGTGTCTTTCAGTGGAAGACTGAGGCACCCTCAGTGTAGGAAGGAGCGCTACCGCAGGGCCTTTATCCCCACCGCTGTCAGACTGTACAATAAGTTACTTTAAATGATCACTGTGTGAAAACCTGCACTACTATTGACACTGTTTCCAATTGACACTTGTCACTTTTGTTGTACATAATTATTGTCACTTTATTGTACATATATCCTGCATGTAACATGTTTGCACATTTCCTCCCTTTGCACAATCTGAGTGTCTCTATCCATGCCAAATGTGACATGTAAATTTCTCCTCTGTGAGATAAATAAAGCAATCTTATCTTATCTTATCTTAAGGACAACACGTCATTACGTCGGAGTGGCCATAGCAAAGCCCTGATCTTAATCCCATAGAAAGAGTTTTAAGCAGATCTCAAAAGGCGTGTGTGAGCAAAATGGCCCTTACAAGCCAGTCTCAGTTACATCAGTTCTCTCAGGAAAAATATGCTGGATTTTTGACACTGAGAACTTTCAGAAGATTTAACATTAGAGTAGAGAAAAAACAAATCTGTGTCTTCATACTGCAAGTAAACGTCTGTTTTTTACTGTATTATGCAGCGTAGGCGCATGGAACAGGTGATGAATGTGTATCTGCTCAGGAGTAGGGAGGGATTGGACTTCTGCTTTGCTGCTTGGTCCTTTTTATGAGGAACCCAGACAGATAATCATTGTGTCGAGAAAGACAAGGCAGCGGCGATTGCACCTGTAGATGGTTTATTTTAGAGTCCCTTCAGATCAAACGAGAAGAGACAGAGCTTGAAGTCATCACTAGAGTTACTGTATAACTGACTCATGCTTAGAGACTGAGATACTGTAGTAACAATGTGGGCAAAACAAAGGCGTACAACATAATAATGTTTAGCAGTAGTATGGATATATAACGAGTCCACAGTACAAAATATGCTGGTCAGATTACACAACTGTTCTGTGCAGTATTGTCAGGAAAGATGCAGCCTGGTCCACGCATACGGAGGCGAAACATGGTAACTCCACACAAAAAGAGAGCCCCAAAATCGAGTTTGCTGTGGCCTGAGCTCTTCTCACTAACCGTAAACCAAACCCATTGCGTTTTTGCACATTTCTGTTACTTTTGAAAGTAGTAGTGTATGTTAGAATGGATTGGTCTTCATTTATGGAACCTAAATTGTCCTTCTGAAGCCACAGCTTTGAAGTGGTGTGGCAGCTGTCCGCTCGCTGTGTGGGTCTGGAGTCGAACCCACTGCTTCAACTTGACAATCCTCTTTTCTTCCCTGGCTCAGCCTTTGTTTTCTTCCCAGGGATTTGGCTGTCTCCTAAACAACTGTCTGTAATCCCCCTTTTACCAAATATGCATAATAATGCTCCTCTTCCATTCAGCGTCTGAATGCTTTTTGACGTACTGTACTTGCATGGCCCCACATTCAGGCAGCGTTCACTACTCTCCTGGTTTTGGGGTCTTACTCTTGTCTTGACGCACTGCTTTCTCAAAGTGAAGAAGCGGTTTCTCTGCCTGTCCCTCAAAATGGCTGATGAACTCTCTATTGTAAAATAAATATTCAAAGAGCTGTTTTCTCCAAGTTTATTCCTATCCGCCGCTTCTTTATGCTTTCACTATTGTCATTGCAAAGTTACACCATTACTTTGCAGCCTTCTCTCTGAATCTAAATGACAATACATTGTATTAACTATTCTTTTTTTCCCTCCTCCTGCCACTTGTCATGTCTCCCCTGCTTTAGGCTGAGTCACCCTCTCTTGTCGTACACGTCTCCTGGACCGCCCTGCTGTCCCAAACTTTACTGTCACTCACCTCAGACAGCCTTCATCCTGGATTCTTTCCCCCCCAGCCCTCTCACTCTCTGTGCCTCCCGGATTCCACTGTTACGGGATGATTGGCAGTCATCAATTGAACCTGTCCATGTGTGTCTCCCTCCTCCTCCTCCACCCCTCCGTCCCCCCCCACTCTGATCCGCAGGTGAGTGATGGACACGAGAGAGCTGACGGTGGTAGCGAGCAGCTTCGTGGGGTTCCAGCTCCTCTGCTCGGTGGTCAGCCCGCTCCTCTCTGCCGCTGTCTCCCCAGGATATGCTCGGCTGCCCTCCTCCAAGCACATTGAATGGAACTCCCGGTGGGTGACTCGTGCAGTGTCATATTCTATAGATCCTAGAGCATCATAGAGTTGGCATCCTTTAAAGCTTGAATATATATCTTTGTGTTTGTTTCATATGTATAAGCGTCGTTCCAACAGAAAGTCACTTCAGACCACACCATCTTTTGCATTCTTGTAAGAAAGAGCACTGTGAGTCACTACTTGATTCTTAGGGCTGAGAGCTGCCCTCTACTTTTCACACCTGACTGTGAAAACCTTAGAACTAAACTGTTTTGAGAGCAAGGAACTAGTTACATGGATTTTATTACAGAGTATGTATGGTTTCAGAGTTAAAAACAAACGTCATGTTTATGACACATCATTATTATTTTTTTTATATAATATGAATATGTTTAACTAGCTAGCTTAGCCCCTGGATTGATATTTATACTCCTTAGTCTTTGTTTAAACATGTTGTAATAAGCACAATTGTCTTAATCTCATTTTGTTTTATTCAGCTTTTAAAAGAAAGCTAATGGCGCATGCTGCTTAGTTTCCTATTTCCATTCTATAAATTGCTCCTTTGTGCCCAGTGTTTACCTGCCACAGGATCTTCTGACACTTGTATAAAGTATTTCAATTTCACTTGCATCAGCAATAAAAACTCCCTGCCGTCACAGCCTCAAGCCTGTTTCAAGGCATGACCCTGTTGTTCTGTAATTAACTGCTGCTAAATGCATCATTAAAAAAGCATCAAGCAGAGTTCATTCAACAGTGTTGTTCAGTCTGGGGGATATTTGCCGTCCTTCAAAAATCCATTCTCTAAAACAAAAAGTCTGACAGACTACATTACAATACAAGTCCTTGAACAACAGCCCCGTGACACTGAGGGTGTTTTCAGACTAGATAGAGTTTGTATTCGCAGCAGATGGAATTTGGACTAAATGTTTTCTGTTTGTTTGAATCCTATTCTTTCAACAAGCACATGGAGTAAACAAATGCACATGCATCAGAATAAGTGCTCTGATTGGATAACAGAAGGGGTGGGACAAACCCGTGCTGATGAAGCACTTCTTTTGGCTTCTAAGTGCCTGTATAAACAACTGTCATCAATGCAGTTTGTTATTATGTGCAAAACACATGGATCCAAACCCATATGGATCCTTCAGTGGTGACTGGAACCAGACTGAACTCCATGCAGCTCAAGGTGGAGGCAGGCGGGTGCTCCACGTTCTGGATTGTTCCTGTGGAGCCTTTTTAACCGTTTCCTGCTCACTCAGATGGACACATGCTGTGGATTATATGGAGTCAAATGTAGATGAACTGTGAACTAAAAGGAAACTCTTGTGCAGCTGCTTGTTCATAGGTGAACAACAAGATGGACTTGAGGCTGGCCGCATGGTTGCTACATGTGCGTTGATGAATGTAACTAGCTTTAGGAAACGCGGCTCCTAAGGCAAGTTATTTCAACCATAAATGTATCACAACAGAAGCTTATTGGAAATGGATAGACCGCTAAGAAAATGTCCAATTATGCAAACTTTTATATTAATATGTTTTTAAACATATTTTATTCATGAAGTTAATAGCAATGTGAATAGAAAGATCTTCGTAGTGCTCTGTTCAGCATCTTGGGCAGAATATATCCTAACAATCTCTTTCCATTTCTCGTTCTGATTATGTGGAGAAGAATCCTCCGGCAGATCTGAAGGGACATGCACTTTGTCTAAAACAAAGCTTTGCAGAGGTGTGACATTCTAATGAGCTCCACAGTTTTGGAAAGTCGTCACCTCTGAGATGGAGCCTGAGGCAAACGCTGCCTCGTTTTGTGAGAGCGCAGCTGTGATCTGAGCCAAACTTCCTATGCACAAACTTCCAGGCTCCAAGTTCAGAGGGCACTGACCTCAGTTATGAAAGATGTTTTCCTAACTTTACAAATTGGCTTTAGCCATATTCACATTCTTCTTCTATCCGAGGGCCTTGGTTCAACTTGTCTGTTCATGTTTTCATTATACACAGTATTGAACAGAATGTTTAAAACCAAGTCAAAGGCCAGGTGCGGATGGTTCACTCCAAAGTGGGTTACGTTATATAACATCCAGGACTCTTTGTATTCAGTCCTTATGCAAGAGGAAAAGAAAGAAGAAAAATGTTCCACAAATGACTGGATAATCTCTGCATACAGCGTGGTCATCAAACTGCCTACAATTTCATCCAGCAATAAGGTTATTTTTAGCTGAATGTGATGTGACTGAGCTTTGATCACTCTTGTGCCACGACTGATAAAGAAGCTGTTACTTTACTGCTACCTCAACTTCCTTTTGAACATTAGACATGAAACAGGCTCATTTACGTGATCCACTCTGAGCATCAAGTAAAACCACAATCACAAAGTGGTGGTGTTAATTGGAGCTTGACAGTCATATTCTAACCGGATGAAATAGATTAGACTTTTTCTTTTTAAGGAAGACTATATCAACTAAGTTGTGTTTTGACTGAAGAACCATGTGATGACTAGTGTTTTAGTTTGCAAACAGTGGGGGGGGGGGGGTTGTTTGTTCATCCTTAATGACAATACCCTATATATGTATTATATTATTTATTACATTCATTGATTTGAGCTCATGGCAAAATAACCATCTTCCCTTGTATTGAAATATAAATCATTCCAACTCCGTTCGTCCGTTGTTGGCATCGGGCAAAAAACAAACAGCTGCAGCGTTGGCACCATATTTTTCCAGAGCAGAAATATTGACACTGTTTCACACAACTTCTTCCTCCAGCTGAATCCCAACAGCTTGTTCCGTTCATAGATATTTACAGCCCTCCATTCATGTCAGAAGTAGCCCCCTTGGCAAATATGGTTGAAAGGAGCTTTATTGTACCATTTTTTTCAATTTGTGGAAAGCAAAGAGAATGACACCAAAACAGTATGACAGAGGACAACCCCTCTGTGCACGAGCATGAGAGCCACACGCGCATATTTGCCGCAACGCTCATGGGAGCTCGTCCACTGCGGTGCCCCAGACGATGCCCAAATATGGACCTTGGATCACCGGGGCTTGAACATATCCCCAACAATAAACGAGGAACCACCGTAATGGTTAGAGGCACACAATGCAAACCGATACAACAAGCTGAAGAAGTTGTAACGATCTGGCGTAATGTTGCATTTTGTTTTAAAAAGGGCAGAGCATCAAGTAAAGGGCACTTTTACTGAATTACTATTGAATTGTGGAAATTAGTTTCGTTGTAGTGAAAGTGCCCCGGATCTATTTATTTTACTCGTGAGCATAACTGTAGCTGTAGTTTGTAGAAGTTTTAGCAAGATGATTTTCAAACCAAAATTGACAGGTATTGACCGCTGAAAGATGGTTCCGGCGTGAATTCTCATCATATCTGGAGAATTGCAGAAGTTGCTCAAGTCCTTAGGTCAGGAAGTCAGAAAAACTTGAGCTCTAAAGTTTCCTACAGATTCTATCAGGGCTTCCAGCGTGAAAGAGGGGCAGTGCTGCAGTGCTTACATGTTTCTGGACTCTACTGACAGGAGGCAGCCGTGACTGTGCTGTGACTCTGATAAGAATATCTGTGGTGCCGCCCGATAGAGCGCTCCAAAGGTCAGGGGTGCATTCAAGAAGATAAAGGCCACTTACACTCACGTAGGAGCAGAGGGTAAAGACATCAGGGTGACAGTTGATGACTTGTTTCATTGATCAATGTAGCTTGTTCCAACTGAAAGAGTCATAGAAGTGAAATGTTGTGAACAAATCAGACCACCACATGCTGTTTTCATCTTAATAGAAAACATCTCGTTTACAAACTTGTGAGAAGGAGCCCTGTGTGTCACTATTCATGAGAGATAATTGGCTGAGTGAGGGTTCTTTCTAAAGATATGACTGAGTAAAAAAAAAAACATACTTCTAAAGTAAAAAGTAAAACCAAAAGTGTTGAGAGAAGGTTTAAAGACACTAAAGTATCTTATCTTGGAATTGACAAAATAATTGACAAATAATGACCTCGAGAGGTATTCTTGAGTGCATAGACCTAACATCTTCAACCACTCGTTGTGTCTCTATCCTTTTTGTCGCTCCTGTCACACATTTTTAAATATATTCAGCGATTGGAAAAAGGAATACTATTACTTTAGGGAAAGTACAGATTCAGGAATTAAAAAGGAAAAATCTTAGTAATGCTGAGAAAATGTGAAATTTGTCATGTCATTATATTGTACTCATCTCTTTCCCTTCTTGTCTTAAAGGATGGTGTCCACGGTCCACGCCCTGGTCGTAGGCTTCTTTTGTTTATACATCTTGTGGTTCGATGATGCCGTGAACGACGACCCAGTCTGGTAGGAAACCCTAAAATAAAATCTGGCAAAGGCTGTTTACGTAGGCCTGTACATGTATTTTTTATATTTATTTTTTTGTCTTAAAGTCAACATAAATGTGGGAGTGAGTGGTGGTGTGCTGTGACACTTGCCATATACTGACAATTAGGCAGGGTATAAGCAGCCTCACAATCAAAACAGATGGGACAGGCTCCAACCACCCACAATCTGTAGCTGGGAGAAAGGCGGAAGAATCAACGAGTTTTCCTCCACGTTTCTCTGCAGCAGGCAAGAACTGTCTCTAACCACTAAAAACCATATTTGATACTTTACTATTACTGCACAAATATACGATTTTCGCATCACTCAAACTGCTTTATTTCAGATTTGTATGTATTGAAATAGCAAAATAAAATGCAAACGGGGTCTGCAGAAGCCTGGAAGTAAACGAGATGTCACGAGAAGAGAAATGTCTATACAAGCTCCTATTTTGTGTGTTCTGAGAAAATGAAAGGAATATGAGAGTGCGGCAAAGGCATGTTCCTTTGATGGCACTGCTTAGGATGGACGAGTCCCGCGGGAGGTGTATATTCACTAGATTTTAAACTTTGATTATCGACTCACAGTCTGCACCCACCCCTGGCCCCTCTGCTGACGACGGCATTTCTCCCCGTTTAAACAGATGGGTTTCTTTCCTCATTGTAAACCCATTCGTCTGAACGTCACGCCACTCGTCCTCTCGCTGCCTAAAAATCCTAGAATCCATCTCAAAAGGGGATTTCTTTTCATAGCATCCCTTAAGAGCCGCCTCCTGTGCGGAACAGCCCCCCCTGCTTTGTGAAACCTCGCGCAACCCCTTTCGTCTGGCTCGGAGTGTGCGCTGGAATCAATGCAGCACACCTCCCTCGGCCGTATTGTGTGGCTGCAGGCTCCGCAGCTGAAGAGGAGGTGGGGGATGGGGGAGGCACATTCAAGATGGTCGGCTGTGAGTGTGTGTGCTCTGAGGATGTCTGTGTGCTGCGGTGCTGCTCCGGCTGAATGAAGCAAACGAACATACTATGTGGCCATGAATCAAGCTACAGTTTATTTGAGGAGATGTGCATGTAGCTACAGCTTGTTTTAGTAATGGGAATTGTGTAAAAATCTGAATGGCAGATGTTTCCAATGCAGTTTATGTTTTGAGGAGCCAGGTCCACCAGCCGGTAATATGCCAGAAACTGTGATAGTAATAATGCATTGGTTTATATAGCGCTGTTTAATTATTCATTCACTCCATACTCGGTGGTAATAAACTACTACTGTGTCACAGCTGCCCTGGGGCACACTGACAGAAGTGAGGCATGTGCCATTGACCCCCTCCAACTACCACTAACCATTCATGCACACTCCAGACTCATTCAAGGCAATGTGGGCTAAGTGCCTTGCCTAAGAGCACAACAGTTTGGCGCTTTACAGCCACAGCCCCCCACTGTGGCACCTGGTGTTCCCAGAGGTCTCCCATCACAGTACTAACCAGGCACTGCTCTGCTTAGATGCGGAGGATTGACGGGATCTGGCTTTCACATGCAGGTGGCACCAAAGTCTGTCACCACTGCGTTAATTGAATTGTGCCAAATGTGACTTGTAAATTTCTCCATTGTGAAATCAATAAAGTTTTATCTTCTCTTATTCCCACATTGCTACACAGATGGTTTGAGCCATTTAAACCCCTGAAAACGCATTTACTAACAAAATAATAGAAAAGTTAGAGCCCAGAGACCTGCTGGACACCGCTCAAGTCAAAAACAAACAATTGTTCCTTTTTTCCGGTGTCCCCATTTTTCTGATCTGATTTAAAATGGGATTAGTTAGACTGAACTTAGCCGTACACGGTTAAAGCAGACTTGGAAATGCTAACAGGATCAGAGTGGATCTTGCTCCCTATGGGCTCAGTGTCCCTCCAGAGTCCAGGTGTTCTCTGAGCTCACTCACTTTTATCTCGGCTCTTTCTCTGCTCTCCCCCTGAGGACCAGCAAAACAATCTCCCTCTGAGACATTCTGCTCTAGCGGTCAATTCTCTCAGTCGCCTTATTTCTCAACTTCATCCGGAGAAAGTCCAGCGTGTTGAAACGGCAAAGCCCTAATTCCCCATCAATCTGATTGCATTACGGTTTCGTTAAGAAGTGTCACGCTGCCTGCAATTCTCACTGCACTTAGCGCCACAGAAGCCACGGACGCCGCCATTCCAGACATTTGAGCTCACAAACTGGTTTGGCTCCTGTCCGGGATGTTGTCCTAATCCAGCCAGATGGGTATGGCCACTCACCGATGCACTTGATTGGCTTATGTGGACGTTAACTTGAACACGCACAAATGAAGAGGGGTCGACTGAGGAGAGCGAGCACCATTCGGCTCATTCAGTTTGAATCTGCATTTCCATTGTGGGGCTCCATCTGGAAGCTGATGCAGCAGATTTTTGTTACCTTAGATACCTTTTCCAATAGCATTTTATTTTTCTCTGTTTGGATATATTTCCCTAATTTTAGTTGTCTATTTTTAAACACATCTCCAACGCGTAGACAAAGCATTCGGCAAAGTACTGAACACATCCATACTCTGTTCGACCTCTGTGCAAAGAGCCGTCATATTTCATCCATGGCCAACTTCCTGTCAGTTGGACTTCTATTGAGAGAAACTGTTATCGTTCCTCTACATTAAACTCAAGCTGGGGCCCTCTAATTTGATTATTGAGAAGGCTCTGCCAGCAGCCTCCAGACTCTGGGACTATCACTCCATCACTGGACTATCCATTTGCTCCCTGCTTTTCTTTAAGTGCACGGTAAAGTGATCCCTCTGATCGGTTAACAGAGTGCACAGGGAGGACAAATTCATAGATTTGTTTTTTGTCACATTCATATCGAGTTAAACAGTGAGACACAATGACATGTCCTCCTTGGGTTTCTTTCTTAGAAATATTTTGTGCTAAATATAATTGTTTCTTTTCTGATCTATTTAACATTAGAATAGAGTGATAATTTGGTAGAAAGTTTATGGGACTATTATACTATTACAGAGTATACAGTATGTAACTGGTCATTATGTGTGATTGTATTATAGAATATCATCATCAGGTGATGGAAGTCTTCATTCTCTAGTTCACAAAAACAATACACATGTAACGTATGGTGTGATCCATTATTCTTATTTTCATTGTTCACTACTACATGTAATAGATGAAGTGACAACATTTGAACTGACTTCACTGTTGGAATTTTTGTCTTCATAAATATTTGTGCAAATTGAAGGGATTCAAAGTCTGTGTCAACTTTGTTGATACAGTAAGCAGCGAAGGCTGAGTGGCCGTCAGCCCTAGACCCACTCAGGCGATACGTGGATCAGGTGTCTGCTCAGATCTGCTGTTTCCATAAAGTCATCAGGCGCTCGAGACGCACACGTCTTTGAACCAGCCGAAGCATTTAGGAAATGTGTGTCACTGTAGGGGTGGTGTGTAGCTGGTTTGTTACAATGGCCATTTTCAGTGTTTTAGCATGTTCTATTTGGATTGGAAACCGTTAAATTGTTTATTTCAAACCTGCACTAATGCATTTTCACAGTACAAAATAACACATGTATACGCGCTTGGTTGAATGAAGCAGACTTCATTCCAAATCTCCCTCATCCATTCAAATATTCCTCCCTATCAATAATTGTTTTGAGCATTTAAAAAGAGAATGGAAAAAAAACTATTTTAAAGAACAGTAAATACATCTTTCTTTAACATTTTAATTTGAAATAATTATTATGTGTTATTTGCAAACTATACTGATTTACAAACGTCCTCAATGGAAAACGCAGAAACGTTAGCATTTATCACTTTTATTTTATAACGATTGTTGTTCAACAGGGAAGTCTGTGCCACACAGACTGTAATGGTCAACATGAATTATTACAGCGGCTCATCAGCATTAAGCAGCCATTAGAATCCACCTTCATTAACCTTTCGGTGTAATTCATGTGCAACATTCTCCTTAATTGGCCAGTGTTTAGTTACAGTAATAGATGATGAGTTTGATGAATTCATTAAACCCTCTTGTGCTTCCTCCATAGGGGTGACCCCAGCCTCGTCAAGTTAAACGTAGCCATCACATGTGGCTACCTGCTCTACGGTAAGCCCCCTCTGATGTGAAGGAGCTGTCTGTGTGCTGCTGCTGTTTGGTCTGCTCTTTCACCGACCTCTGCTCTACTTCCAGACCTCGTGCTGCTGGCCTGTAATTGGAGCACGATGGGCGACAGCTTTTTTGTCTGCCACCACTTGGCGGCGCTCTATGCATATGGATATGTGCTGGTGAGGCTTACAAGATACAGAACATATGTACTTTGTAGGTTTTGCTCACAGAAACTGCTGTCTGTGAGCACAGCTGGAACTTGAATCCTCAACAGTCACTCCTATAACCTCTGTTTGTTTCCAGACACGTGGTGTACTTCCGTACTTCGCCAACTTCCGTCTTATTTCAGAGCTTTCCACACCATTTGTAAACCAAAGGTATGCCATTTCCTGCACCTTTTTGGTTTTAAAGGACTTGTCTTTGCATTGATGTGTGTTTTTCTGGTGCAGGTGGTTCTTTGAGGCGTTAAAATACCCGCGTTCACACCAAATGGTAGTGCTAAACGGATTAGCCATGGCTGTGGTGTTCTTCTTGGTGCGTATAGCGGTCATGCCTTCATACTGGGTCAGTGTCTTCGCCACTTTCGGCACTCCAGCGTTTGAGCGGCTGGGTTTGGGTGCCCAGGTGGCCTGGATCACGTCCTGTATTGCCCTGGATATCCTGAACACTATCTGGATGTACAAAATCACACGTGGAGCTTACAAAGTGCTGATGGGTACAAGAGGAAGGAAGGAGAAGGATGCAGCCGAGTGTTCTGACAAGAAAGATCATGTCAATAACCACACAGACTGAGATGGCAGCAGAACTGGATAAACGTCCTTCTGAAAGTAAGTGGTGTTGTGGGCTAAGACTCCTCAGGGTGCTCCCCAAAGGAGGCTGCTTCACCACTCCCTCTGGCACTAGCCAGGGAAGTCTGAGCTCAAACAGATCTACCAAGTGGTAATGGTACTCTGTCAGAAAAGGGATATGTTGTATGAACCGGCTTTGTTACAAGCAGCATCCCCAACATTTATTTTTCAAACTGCATCAGTTGTTCAGAATGATAGAAAACAACTAGAATGTTTTGCCAAATCAAGGGAGCTTCTGCGAAGATCAACATGTTTATATTAATACTTTCAAATAATTTTCACCATTTTAAACTCCCAAAGCTGTTTGGTTCATAGAAGTCTCACTTGTTCACTTAACAGGTAGACATGGTACCATTTGTTTTAACTAACTAAAATGGTCACCTGTGATCTAGGTGTACAGTCAAAATGTAGTTTTATGATTAATGCAAAAGCATCTTTGTCCTGATTGGACAGTCAAAAAGAAATTCTTTATATGTTTTCCTGGCCTTATATCAGAAAAAGCTAGCTTGAGGAACAGCATAAGTAAATATTTGACTCTCTGACGGCTCTGGTTTGGTGACGGGATACTGCAGATGTACTGTACCTCTTGGTGGAAACGGATCAATCTTAAAGCACAACTTTTCCTGGCCATGTCCATGTCTCCACACATCAGTCCTGTCCTCCATAAACTTCAGCCAAAGTCCAATCCTCTGAAGTGCCTGCAGACGACAGGAAAGCAATAATGCCCGGCGCCGCTCCTTCCTCTCCTTCTTCTTCCCTTCCGCCCAGCCAACACCTGTCACTGCACAGCCCTCCACAGTCTGGATCTATAGGGCTCCTGTCACCAACACCCGACCCACGGCGAACTGTAGACAGAAGAACACCACAATGCCTCACCTGCTGTGGCCTCCTCCCTCGACAGAATGGCGCTGCCTCGATCACCAGCCCTCTGGACTCTTTGTAAAACTGGAAATTTTTATTTGCGAACTATATGCATGTCAAAGCAGAAGCATGAAGCTGTCGTACTAAACTCATTGGACCATGTTGCCTTTTCAGTATTCATCATTTACCACGTTCTGCATAATACGTTTCAGTTACTCGTTGTGGTACAACCTCAAAACCGACGTCTCATTTTGATCACATTTTGCCTTGAATTTGTTTTTATGTTCTACCTCTCGGTGACAAAGACTCGTAGTTGTTTTAGAACGGTTTACCAGTTCAGCAAAGTGGATGCCAGCAAATGCAGAGAAAAGGTGGTACCATTTAAAGCACAAAGCTCCCCCGCCATAACCCCCATCTGCGCTCCTCCCGTCGCGCCAAATCTCATTGAAATGAAAAAAGGATTCCTACACAGTATGAGAGGAAAGTTTGGAATATGATTTCCAGTCGCAGTTCCGAAAGTTTGAAAAGTAATAGGGCTGAAATGTTACCAAAATATTTTCCCTAAACCCCATGACACATTGGATTTAGGCGCAATTGTCACAACATGTCACACTGAGCTACTGGAATTGTTGTTGGGCTTAAACAGTGAGGTGGCCTGAGCAGCAGCCAAAAAGAACTAAGTGCAGCAAAACATGAACTTGGTTTCTGTGTTGGAAAAGTAAAAACCTGATCAACAACCTCCCGATTCACACCCTTTTAAGACTCTGTGTAACAGATTCAACTGTTGGCACATATTTACAAGTGCATTTTTTTGGCACTCTTCATTCCCCAAAATCTTGTCTTGAGAAACAGCACTTTTTAAATGGTATTCACATGTACCTCTCTGATCTCCGCATAGCCCAAAACCATCTAGACTTGGAATGTTGCCGATTTTGTATTCGACGCTGGACGTGAAAAGTTTAGGATTTTAGTTGTCATACATTCAACCCACAGAATGTACGTATCTGCCGGCGATTGTACATTCGATTGTACCTTCTTTTTTGTCTTCTTTTTTTAAGTCCCGCAAATGTTTCTCTGCACTTGTTGGTAACACAAAGCGATACTACAGCACCGCAAAACATCTCATCGTCGCCCATTATTGCGTGTACAAATGTAAATCATCGATAGAGCATGGAATGATTATATTTTTGTGAATAGGAATAGCCCGATCTTATGTCGACACCGCCTTTTCAGACTGTTGTTTCGTCCTGTTTTGCATGTTCTTCAGGTCATTCCCTGCATGCGTGTGTGTACCTTTTCTGCATGCGGATCACTGGCACCGGTCTGTAATTAGTAGCTAGACAAAAAAAAACGCAATGTTTTTTTTATTTATTTTTTATTTCTCCAGATTTCAAACCAATATTTTTCTACGGCGCTTGCATGTTTACTCTTTTATGCAGCAGCCTGTCCCGAATCTGATCTCGTCTGAGAACGTGGATGTTTCACTGTGGAGCCCGAAAGCACACGATACAAACACACGTACACACATGCACAAACACGCATACATACATACACACACACACTTGTAATTAGGTGTGTTACCACGGGGCCGCGCTGCAGGATCTGTGCCTTTTTTACAAACGCTGGCTGTGAATGATGCAGTTGAGTCAAAATTGCATGAAACTTATGTATCTCCTATTGATTCCACTGGCGCACTGTTGTATCGATTCCTGAGCGAAAGGAGCACTACATACGTTTTTAGTGAGAGGCTACAAAACATTTTGATCTGCATGGGGATTTTATTGTTTTGCCTGGAGTGCTTGACAAAATAGCACTCAAAACCACACACGATATCCATGGGAACGGGTTGGCCTTTTTATTTTTTTTATTTTTATTTTGTTGGTAATAACAGTGGCTGGAATCATGCATGGTGCGCCTTTTTGTGTTGCAGATTGCTGTCCCCAGTCCTTTTCTCATACACTAATGCCCCAGTGGAAAAAACCCTCACTACGTATTTTGAATAATATGTATAGACTTTTTGTTTTGTTTTTGCCTGCACAATGATCCGGTCAAGTATTAGAATGCAAAGCCGGAGACTGGAGTATTCCTGAATGTTTAATTTAACGTGGCATTAACTGCATCCAAACCCCAAAAATCTATTTTTGCAATCTGTAGATATTTACACCCAGGGAGGCCCATCTCTCACTTCTCTCATCGTAGCCGCCTCCTTTCAAAAACTGTGAATAGTTGTAGAATCAAACTGGAAGCTGCTGGCGACCGCGGCTCTGCACAAAGAAGCATCATAATTCTATTGCAACCAGGACTTCTGGTACTGCAGGGATTTTTACTCTCTATATTAAAAACTATATATTCGAATTGAGCAAGTAAGTATATGCTTGAATGAAAGGCTGCTGCTACTAAATGCCACCTTGTGTTCTGCACTAGTAATGTATCCTGTCCCGCACTGAGAGCGGTACGAGCGGCGCGGTAATTATACGGTACCTTCTAGTCAAACAATTACAGCTAGTATTTATGTGTCGCTGTAAATCTAATTTGTTTTTCTCAGTGTAAACATTGCATTTCTGTGATAATATTGTACAATCATAACTGCAAGATCGAAGCAGTTATGCTTATCAAATGATTGACTTATGTTCAGTTTTTTTTGTTTTTAGTTTTAAAGCAATGCAAATGATTTGATCCATGCGTTTCCTGGGGAATTTTAATGTGAACTGGCTACACTACTTCCAGATCCAGACAAGGGGTCGGAGGGAACTCTACAATGACCACTAACGATGGTAGATCTGTAGTGCTGAAAGCTGAGACTTACTTGAAAGTTTTGATCTTCAATAAAGTTGAAGATGATTCAAATGAGAACTATGTTTGCTTGATTTTTCTTTGTTCTTGTGGTTGATGAAACTTGAGTGCATTCAAAATGGGTGTGTCTTGAAATGAGATTGAGATTAGATTTGAGTAATGGCCTTTTTAAACTGTGTGGTTGCTGTAAAAGCAGAAAGAGCATTTGGAAAACATGTCAAGGCAAATTTATACAATCTTGATACTTTTCTGAAATTTCAGGGGTAAATCAGGGCTGGATTTACACCTCAAGCTCTGTGGAAGGGTCTAGTCTGGCGTTTGTCAAACTAGGGAACCAGATGGACCTTGGGTTGGAACATTTATTTTCAATCTATCATTTCATATATTTGGAATTTTAGTTTATTGAACTGCCTTTGAATGTGTTTTCCTAGATCAAATCTTTTGTTCCTGACTCAAGTCGTCTTTTCATCACAAACTTAACTGAGAAAATGACGTATGTTGGCTCATTGTACACACCCCATAAATAAGGCTCCTGCTGTACGTCTTTATATGCAGTCTTGTACAATTGTATCTACATCTATGAAACGACTAGTCACTATTCACATAACTTCAACAAGTCAAGGTGAACAACAACCTAACCCTACTTTTTGACTTGACCATAGAGTGTAAATGAGTGCATATATGTCTGGTGTAAATGCAGACCAGTAGCCTTTCTGTAGAAGAGAGCCCATTGATCCACCAGGGGGCGCTCAAACCCTGAGAATGTCTTGAAACCTTACACACGCACTCTCTTGACCTTTAGCTGGAGGCTGACCATGAAGTCATTCACCTGGACTCAGATGTGCAGTCCTCATGTTTACAACCTGCTTCAAAGCTCTCGTCTGTGGGAAACCTGAATTATTGAGACTTTTCTTTCTTCAAGGCAAAAGCTGAATTTCTTTGGAGCGTATTTGTGGGTAGTGGGTTAGTGGATAACATTTCATTTTCTCTCATTTTAGGTTGTTCTAAAACATATCAAGATATTTTTGACCAGTTTTTCTTAAAGGATTTGCAATTACATGCATCAAACATGATTACTTTAGTATATAATACACTTCTGAAGAGAAGTATGTTTACTGGGCAGGACAGTGAAGAGAGATGTGGTTATGCAAACATGGAGGAGATCAGCTAATGGTCTGAAGCAAACTCAACATATCAATACTATCACTGACCATTAATTGTCATATTTAATTTCATTGAGTGTGTGTTGGTACTTGAGACAAAGCTCTCAAGATTTTAGGATTGGTTCAACTATACTGGAATAAACTAGACACGTTTCCACCAGCCCTTTTTGGCTCTACCCTACCCTACCCTACCCATGGATCGACCCTACCTTACTCTATTCTACCCTATACCCCGAGTGTAGGAGTAGGGTAGAGTCCACCTGTAACAGATACTTTTTACTCCCTCTAGGCTGAGCTGGTACTAAAGTGTTCTAACTGACAGTGATTGACCAAGGAATTTCCCCAGATACTTTTTTTTTTTTTTTTTGTGGGGAGGTTGGAGGTTGCTAGGATACAGTACCAGACACTTAAGCCTAATGGAAACACAACCAGGTAGATTAGAGCCGAGTAAAGTAGGGCCAAGTAGGGCTGGTGCAAACTGGTCTTATGTGTGCTAGCTACTGCCTTTTCCACCCGGTAAACGCTTCTCTAGTGGATATGTTATGTACACACCAGGCTCAAAGATGGATCACATTTGATATATCAAGTTTGGCACCGCTGAAGTTATCTGGCAGCCGCTTTTTAATTGACTCTTGAGTCCAAATCCCCTGAAGCTGCTCGCGCTGAAAGCCTCCATCAGTCGTCTGGAGACTTGCGTCGCTCTGTGGCACCTGACTGACTCTTTCTCCACCTCCGTTTTTTAATAACTGTATTTAGCCGATGTAATCCCTCATTCACTCAGGAGTAGTCCACGGTGAGAAGGCACTTGTTTTCAAAAGTAGTGGTAGTGGTAGTAGACACCGTAAAATCACAACATTGAAGATAGCAATAACAAGAGATGACACAAAGCTAGTTTCAGTGCAATTATGCTGTAAAATGCAACAGTTTGGATAAAGTGCTATGTGTTGTCAAGGTTCCCAACCTAGAATTAAGAATTTCAGTGCAAAATAATGCCTGACCAAAACGGGTTAAGGCGGAAGTTGAGACTTTTTCTGCCTAACCTCTGTGACAATATTTCCAAAGATGACGCATGATACAGATTCTTATACCAACAATGTAGCACAAAACTTAAACTTCGACAATCAAAATTATGTTATATATGATCAAATTTAAGATGACACATTATCAATCCCATATTTGTAGAGCGCCTTTCATACACAGGGCACAAATCATCACATAAAATAAAAACACCAGAATCACCATTAAAACATTAAAATCACAGAAGAAATTATACAGTTTATCTTATACCAACGACGGTAACATGTAGCACAAATAATAATTCATGTGTTCTATACTTTTCCACAATATTTAACCTACTTTTTAATGTTTTAATTGTTCTAAAGCCCTTTAAGTTGAATGTAGAGGGTTCCATAGATCAACTCCTTTGACTGATACACAAGTACTCTCAGTATTACTCTTTGCCACGGGTCAAAGTCTGAGACTGAAACAAGACTGACATTGGGATATTTTGAAGGGAAATTGGGGAGAAATGCGGGGTCTGAGATCTACAGTCTGGGTCTGAGCCGGGGAGCAGTGATTGAAACCATCTCTCTCTATCTTTCTCTGCCTCTCTCTGCCTCTCTCTCTCTCTCTCTGCCTCTCTTTCTCTGCTTACTTGAGCGCTCTGATCGGTCAAGGGGGCTCACTCTCAGTCAATGCCTGGAGCGCCTTACCAAACATGGTCACGTATGAGGAGCTATGAGAATTTCCTTTTGCTACTGGAGCCCATATTCACCGTCTGGACTATTCACAAACACAGACTTCTCTTACCCCTGCAGCTACCAGCCTCTCGAGCCGAGCTAACATCAGGGATATACTGTAGCTCCACATGGCGATTGGATAACGCTTGTTTCCATTGAAATAGTTAAACAGTAAATCTAAGTGGGATGTGCATGTTAGAGCTTTGTGAGAGGGCAAGGGTGAGGAGAGAAGGACTGGAATCAAAGCCGGGGTAGCTAACTTTCAAAGCATAAACTAGTTAAGAGTTTGTAACTCTTTGATATATCAAAGAGTTACAGTATCCATGTACAGTAGCTAGCTCCTGGCTCTAAAACAGCTTGGTTTTATCTAGCCTTTGATAAACACACTGAAAAAAATGATAATGTATGAGGTAATAAATGCTTGAATTAAGTGGTTTTGTCTTAATTTGCGTACATTCTGACTAGGGGTGGGAACCTGGTACCTCACGATACGATACGACCTGCGATACAAAGCTCACGATATGACAATGCCGCAATTATCGATATATTGGTCAAAAATATATGTTTATTTGTCTGTTATATTGATATATGTAAAAATAAGTATTGTGCCGGTTCAAAATAAAATAAATAAATTAAGGCATCTATGATGACGCCCTTTTACCTGAAAGTCACCACCATAAATGGTAAATAATCCCTGGAACTTGTTTTCTGGCGATGGAATAGTAGGCCACATTTTCTTCCTCAAATATCTGAAATCAGATTAATAAAAGGAAATAATAAAACCAAAAAACTGGTAATGGTAAAGGCTAAAAATGGTAGCTTTAAGGATGAAGTAGTTTTAAGAGTTGAATTTACATACCTGCGATGGGAAACTAGCACTGTGAGACATAACACCAGCAGAATGAAAGAGATGATCACACTCAGGGATACAATCAATGGGTCGAGAACTGGAATTAGAAGAAAATGGTTCAAAGCAGCAACATCTAAATCATTGAAGTTATGTTTTGTGTTCCATTCCCACCTGCAGGACGTGTTTCGATGAAGACGGGGTCACTCCAGGCGCTCCAGTAGCCGCTGTAGCTGATGCCGTCCAGCTTCACACGCACTTGGATCTTGTACTTTGTGGCTGGCTGAAGACCCCTGAGAACAAGCTCTGACGAAGCATGGGCCACCTCCACCTTCCAACAACACACAAGCATCAGGACTCTGAAGCCGTAATTCAGGAGATGTCACGGATACAACATTATCTGGTCCTACAATTTTATAATAATCCTTTTGAAGCTGAAATAGAGTGCTCAGCTCGATCACAGAAAGTTCAGATTGCACTGAGATGAGGTCGAGTCTAAGGGCACATCTCGGAATAGAAATATGCTATAAGATATATATCATGGCTGTACCTGCCCGGTGTGGCTGTTCATGGGGCTGTAGAAAACCTCATACATCATGCTGTCGTCCATGTACTTCAGAGGAGGAGGAATCCAGCTGACGTTGAGCTGTCCGGACTGCGCGGCGTTGCGTACAGTCACATTAGTGGGAGGATCCAATAAAACTTCAGAGGAATACATAACATACAATTATAACTGGAATTGAAATTTTTAGAAAATGCAAACTGTGACTCACAGGTCAGTTCGATAAGCAGACTGCGGTTGTGGAAGGGACGTCCGTCGCGGTTCACCTGAATGTCCATTTGAACAAACATCTGGGTTTTGTTCAGCTGACAAACATACATTTTTCTTGCACTTGTAAGATGCAGTGTCTTCAATGGACACACTCTGCTGCGTTCATTTCTACAACAGGAAAAGTAAACTTTGATGAGAAGTTGAGTGTATAGGCAGTTGACAATTGAAGTATAGATTGTATTTTCTGATGGCATCATGACATGAGTACATACTGGTACGTGTATTTGAAGGAGTATTGCTCCACAGAGCGGGCCTCCTCCCTCTCCTCCCAGAAGCATGTCAGGTCCTTCCTGCCTTCTGCAAAACACTTGGGGTTCTCTGGCTCCTCATGAAGCAGCATGGACACTGTGACAGAGAGAGAGCACCATGTTCTGCAATAGTTTTTTTTCTCCTTCTAGAAAGTAGAAGAAAAATTATTTCCTAAGAACATACAGTAAAACGCACTGCCAGGATGCAGCGTACTGTAAAAAAACAAGAAAAACTTTATTTAGATAGATTCTTCTCTCAGATACGTTGCATCATTATGCACAGACCTCAACTGAAAGGCATGAATTCAAAATAAAAACTAAATTATAGATGACGAAGGCAGCGTGGTGAACTGGTCCATTCGTCACATGTTGCAGAAATAAGTCAGTCAAAGTTTCATTGATGCCATCAACATACCTTTATTTTCGTAATGACGTGCCCCGCGGACAAGGCGCGTGCCTTGCAGCGCGCACAGGAGCACGTGCAGAGCGAGCAGCCGTGTCCAGCAGTCATGGGTCATCCTTCAGTCTTCCAGAGAACTACATGGGGTTGTTTCTCCCTTGTTCTTCGGCATACCTGGACACTGAGCTGCTGTTGACGCGCGCACCTCCGCTTGAGTGAGGGGTGGTTTGTTTTTGCGCAGATATTGTGGATAGCACAAGTCTGTGTCGCGCCTGTTGAGGGGTGATAAGGGGAACACGCGGGTGTTTACAACTTGACTTGTTCTGTGCTGCAAACGGGCGGGAGTCCCGGGCTCATTCATGTTTACAGTATTGTTGCGTAAAGACGCATGAGCAAGTGCTGCGTGCGTAAGGCGCGCGTAAAATTGGCACAGAATACGCTCTTATCATTTAATGATGTAATTATGTGTCCTGTTGGACCAAAACATGATAAACACAATACACGAAAATAACACTTTAATTTACTTGATACTGGTGCAAACTATAGAGCAAGACTTATAAAAGAGTATCCGTTAATAGTTGAGGCCAGATCTGCACACACCTCTGGTCCTGCAGTAGAGCAGTTTTCCTTATCTCTGCAGCTCATGAGCTCTCTTCGTTTGATTGACCTTATCGGAGCAACAGGCGTGAGGGTAATGATAAGCCGCAAAGGGGGCGTCGAAGCCCACCACTTACTAATACAATTACATATGATGGCCTTAAGGTTGTTGCAATCAACGTGTGTAATAATTGTCAGAGACCTGTGGCCTGCATTCAGGAAGGAGGGGAGGGGAGGGGAGGGGAGGGGGGGGGGGGGGGGGGGAGACATATTCTTTATGAGATGGAAGGATAGGCCTAATGTGGTTTTTCTGGAGGAGGAGATAAATTGCAGTGTGGCTATGGTGGGAGGAAGGAAGCAAAGTCTTACATGACTTTTTTGTGGAGTTCACAAGACATGACAGTTGAACGGCAGTGAATGAGCATGAACATGGAACTTGTGTAAAAGTCCGGAAGCCCAAAGTAGATAAAGAGGACTAACAACAGAAGGTGACCACGGGCACATACAAAACAGAACATGCAGGACAGAGGATCCATCCTTCATTGTTGACAATGATGGAGTCTCGAAAAGCAGGTGTATTGGTCCACTATTGTAACTTAGTAAACAAAACCTAAAGGGTTGATTAGACACTTTATTCAATTTATCATTCACATATTGTCCTGAAACATCAACTGCATTCAAAATTAACATTAAAACCATAAAACTATAGCCCTCAACCAAAAACAGTTTGTAAAACACAAAAATCACACGCGTTCCACAAAACCCTTTCAACTTGAGCAGACAGAGGCCAATGCTTCCAGAGCGAGATGACTGAGGCTTATCCAGTTTATACATTCTATTATTCAGCAGCAGTAGTGACCAGAGATAAGTGACCAGCAAAAGGCACCAGGGAGCAGTGAGTGACCGTTATTACAGTACAGTAACTTGGCAACATGCAAACTGAAAAAGACAGAAATAAAACAAAAAATACTTCATTTGCCATGCACCATAATAGATATACTTTAATGCTTAAAATAACATTAAAAAATATGCAATATGTTGTCGAGAAAGAAGTTTTGAAAAAGTCACTTAATGGAAAACCAGGCCCAAGAATGCATGAGGTATTTGCAAAGTAAAAGCGGCATATTGATTTGATTTCAGGATTTCGAAATGAGGAAATACATTCCAGTTACAGTTTTCCACGGTCTATAACCCCCAATTCTATTCACACATGCAGTATCATAAAACTGTATTAAAGTACTGCTTCTGCTATCGCCAATTGTCGAACTGTCGTGAATGTAAAGCATCTAATGGCTGTTGGTCACACATGGTCCACAGTGTAACAATTGATGACTATGAGGTAAATATTGTTCCCGGATGAAATATCCAAATTAAGATCTGTATACAGGCTGAACAATATTACTTATGGTAATTACATAGATTTTATTTAAAAAACAAAACAAAAAACAGGTAATTTAATTTGAATTCATTCTGACCTAAAATGCTGACCAACAGGAAAATTAATTTTTTGTTTTAGAATTTGAAATGAACATGGGACTGGATCAGCAGACTTTTGAACATCACAATAATGATGCAAATAATTGTTTTAGTCTATTCAGAAAATTCATGAAAAAAAATAAAAAAATCTGATTCTAATTCTGAATCTCAGCATGCATTTGCGTCAGTGGTGCACAAAAATCTCCAAGGCAAGCATCACCGCTTAGGAAGTGCACATGGTGAGGGTGCTAACATAATACCACAGATCACAATAGGGGTGCCATATCAGCAAAAGGCACGTCAGTCCTGGGTTGCTGAGAGTGGGGCAGTAGTGGTGGTGGTGGGGGTCATGTGAGGCACTGTTTGGTCTCTACATAGTTCACCCGCGTCCTAACAGGAGCAGCTGCCCTGGTTCTCTGAGGAGGAGTCCTTCAGGTTTTGGGTCCTGTGGTTGGACATAAGGTTCATGTCTCCGTCCATGCTCTCGTTCATCTTGTCGCAGATCACGTCCACCAGCCGCTCGAACACCTGCTTCACGTTGATGTTGTCTTTAGCGCTGGCCTCGAAGAACTGAAAACCTGCAACGCATCATTTACATCAAGACAGTGTCAGAAGAGAAGGTCACTTGTTTATATTTATGTAAAGTATAAATTCGATCTATCTATCCAGCAACCTTTTCCCATTGGAGAGCCACATTTTCGGGACAAAAATGTCAGAGAGGTAAGGTAAAGGTGCCCTTTATTTATCCCTAATCCTCATCCTCTGCATTTAAGTAAGTAAGTAATCATTATTTATATACCGCCTTTCACAGACCAGAGTCACAAAGCGCATGGCCATTTGTCTCTCACTCCACACAGAGATGGGAGCGAAAGCATCATGGGTAATAAGCACGTGATGGAAAACCATGTATACTGAAACGTGCTCACTGTGGGTTAGATCCTATCGTATGATTAGTTGTGTGAGGTATTTACCGAGGTCCTCCGCTAACCGCTGCCCGTCCTCTGTTGGGATGAGTCTGTCGTCTTCAAGATCGCACTTATTTGCCACAAGGATCACCTGCGCGTTGTCCCACGAGTATGTTTTAATCTGAGTGGCCCTGCAACAAACACACAAATCTGACATCAATATATATTTTTGCAAGTACTATATGGTATTTAAAGATAATGATAAGAACATAATTTCTAACAACAGATTAACGTATTTTAAATCTAAACTTTGCTACATGTGGCGCCACCTGCATGTGAAAGGCCACTATTATTCACTATCATTTCCTGGTTGATCTTTCTGAAATATGGTTTAGATTCAACCAAGACTGGACCAAATATAAAGTTTTTGAATGCGTTTTATGTGTGTATGTGGCTTTTAAATAACTCTTGCTTGTTTGTTGATGGCTGTAACATCAACCTGCCATGAGACTACAGATGAAAACTAGCTTCATGGCTAAATCTGGCCTTTTTACATGAACACATGATTTATGTGCACTGTCCCATTCAACAAAACAAAAACAATAAATAATACATCTTACATTTGACTATTTAACTTCTAATGATATATTGGGTAAAAAAATCTATAATAAATTAAATGTGGTTGTCTTCCCTAAATAATAATAATAACTATGTATACCATGTGTTGGCAGCATCAATGCTGCAAGTTAATAATAATCATTGAAAATCATTTTAAGGGCCACTAAAAATCATCTTGCGGCCTGGATTTGACTCACCTGTAAAGCAAACCTGTCTGCTTTAGTGTAAAACAAGATGTAACATATTTAAGCAGACCATCATTGATTCACTGACTGTTACTGTGAATGTGTGAAAATATTCTTTTAATGCTAAATAATTGAGATTGACACAAATTGTGATTTACTGATCTTTAGGAACAGTCTAAGTACACAGGTGTGCCTTCTACACAACCAATATTTGTACAATTTATTGCAGAATAACACATACAAATGTCAAGAAATGTATGTAACAATTTTAATGGAACCATTCACAATTTAGATTTTATTTGAATGCATGAAATAATTAATTCATGTTAAATTTGTAAACTTACAGGACAAGTCTAAAACACAGATTGGACATGCTGGTTAAAAAGGCCTCTACTGTGATTTGGGCCAATCAAAAACCTCTCTCAATGATAAAATAAAATGTAAAACGTTGATTTGTCTTCTTATGTTAAAGGCTGGGGCGACAGTAGCTCAGTTGGTAGAGCACTGGCCTTTGAGCCTGAAGGTCGTGGGTTCAAGCCCACCACGGGACCTTCTCCACCGACTCCCACTGATGGCTGCTGTCGTTGTGTCCTTGGGCAAGACACTTAACCCTGCATTGCCTGAAGCCCCCGCTGAGATTAAAGGCTTAGAAGGTTATTTTAATAAGACAAAAATGTAAAGAATTATGTAATTAAGCAGTACTAGCTTCTTTACATTGTGTGTCTTGTTAAAAGAACTGTCTAAGGCTCTCTCCATCATGGACACCAGCGGCCTCTGTTCTGTGATGAGGCAGAGGAGCAGCTTCCACAGAATTACTACTATCCTTTATCACAACACAGCTCAGCCTTGTTTGATAAACAGTGATTGTGAGGCGTCCCCAACACTCACCAGTCTTGCACTGCGTTGAAGGAGTCCTGGTTGGTGATGTCGTACATGAGCAGAAAGCCCATGGCCCCTCTATAGTAGGCGGTGGTGATGGTGCGGTACCGCTCCTGTCCTGCTGTATCCTGAAAACACATCACACGAGTGTCACGATGCGCCTGTTTCCCACTAGGGGGCAGCACTGATCAACACTCACACACTTTATAAAACATTTTTATTTAAAAAATAAAAATAAATGCAGGAATTAAGTAGACAGGGAAACGCAGTCACGTGACAGCTATTGCTTTCTCGAACCATCAACAATAACATACAACAAAGACAGCTTTTACTGTCATATATTAATCCAGCAAATTTTCTATTCTTAATATCAGGAAATCACAAACTAGGAATTGTCTTTGCCTCATGGTGCAAACACAGTAGATTATTAACACAGTATAAAAATAGGAAAAAAGGAATGCATAACTTATCTTACGAAACAAAACAAATAAGCGTTTGGCATGGCAAGATTGATATTGTAATATTTAACTACTACATGTGTGCGTGGAGTAAACAATAGCTAAAATAATGATATAATAATAACCTGCTTTTCACCAGAAATCATGTATTAAGCCATTACCATCTGTTTTATCTGCAACACTTCCATGTATTAAAAAGACACTACCTCTAAATGGCCTTTGGATAGATGCTTCTCATCAAACTGGGAGGTATGTTTTCCCATGCCAGGCTTTACTGCTGTAATGGAAATCTACTGTGATTTCAGACCTGCACGAATGGAGATTTAGGAAGAATGGATCCAGATTGTTACTTGGAAACCCTCTGTGATTTCCTCAGTCTTTCCCGGTGAAGAGAGAGAGAAAGAGAGAGAGAGAGACAGAGAGGTGGAAGGGTGTCAAGGTAACCAGTCTATCCGTGCTCATGAATTTTCCATTACAGTCCCAGTTGTGTTGTTGTGAGACCCATACCAGCAACTTCTTTGTGCTTCCAATTCTGACATTGTATACTTCATTATTCGGATTTTGGGGGGAAAAATAGCTTGCATATTTTAATTAAGCTTTTTGCCAGTGGAGACTTTGGGGGAAAAACAATCAAAAAAAGTTGGTTATTTATGTGTGGTGCGGATCCACTCGTGTTGTCATATCTGTGACGTCAGCAGTGATCTTTAAACGTGCGTCACTTGGGTCTATTTTAGAACACACATGCACGCACCCCCTGACAATACATTATTACACTTTTGTGTCTGTAGGAGAAGGGTTGGAGCTTCAAACACAATAAAGCTATTTCATCATGATTCACAACAGGGTTCATCTTCTAATAACATGAGCTAATATCTGATGCACGTGAAGGCATAGAAACCTAATATAAGGTCAATAATACATCCTGTATAATAATATGTTTTTTACAGGCCCAAACAGAGATGCCTCAAGAGTAAACTAGGATGGTGACTACTGGAGGAAAAATAGATAGATTATAAAACTATCAAAGCTGTGGTTTCTTTCAATCAGAAAAAATAAAATCGAACTATGTCATAAAATCTATCAACTCCATGTTCCTCGATCTACAGTTTTGAGTTTTTAATGTCACATTTAAAGATAATAATGCATCTATACGCTGTATTTTTTTTTACAGCGCTTTTCAGGGTTAGGGTTAGGGTACGTAATATTCTTTCACTCCATACACAGTGGTGATAAGCGAGGCAACCAGTCTGTACCAGTATGTGTGTGGGTGAAGTATCTTGCCTAAGGACACAAGGCCCCACTGTGGCTTTGAGGTCTCCCATCACTGCACTAACCAGGCCCTGCCCTGCACAGCTTTAGAGGTCTGACTGGATCTGGCTTTCACATGAAGGTTTGGCTACATTTCTAATCAAGATTAGCCTTTTCAGACAGAAAATTTATAAAGAGAAGATCATCCTCAATCAGCCAATCAGCTCTCAGCCCAAAGAGTCAAATAGTGACTCACAAAACTCTCTCTTACACCATTGCAAAAGATGATATTTTTTCTAGTAAGATGAGGACACATGTTGTGGTCCGATTTATATTTTTTACAAGACTCATTATGTTAAGACAATCAAACTGCATTATTTAAAAGTAACAGTTAGGTACCCCAGCTTTAATTACATTTTGAATGGTGTATGTGTAATGTATATGTATGTGTGAATACGTGTGTGTGTGCGCGTATGTGTAATGTACATATGTGTATGTGTGTATGTGCAAAGTACGTGTGTGTGTGTATGTGTAATGTACATATGTGTGTATGTGTGTGTGTATGTGTAATGTATATGTATGTGTGAATGTGTGTTCTTGTATTCTAGGTTCATTGGGACAGTACATAAAGCGCAGTAGATTATTAACCCTGGTTTGTAGTGAGGCACGCCCTGCAGAACAGCATTGTGCAGGTCAGCTGTTGATGGGGATTTCCTCTGATTTAAGATTCAAGGAAATGCCAAGTTTCTTAGTCATTTCTAATCAGCATTAGTGACGTCAGGACCCTGGAGAGAGCACGGACCCCCCACTGAGCTTAGCCTGAGAGATTACTCACATATTCATTAAGGACACAATGCACACAGGATCAGGCTGTAACACAAATCTAATTGTATTTAATTTAGGGCTGTGCTAAAGACTCAATATATTTAATTTATATACAACATTGATTTTTTATTTATAAATATCTGCAGTGGTCAGGACCTCTGCCAGTTGGATGTTCCCAACATCCGTCACTATGGCTTTAAATGTCTTGTGTTCGGAAATTGACCATTGCATACATAGTCCACAATATGAAGTAGCGATCAAAGCTCATTGGCCCAGACCTGCCCCCCACAGGCAAACAATTGCACAGGTTCACTGTGATCAAAAGAGACAAAAAGTAAAAAAAAAAATCTCATATTTGGCAAAATGTTTCTTTATTTGAACACATTTCACTGCCTTAAAACAAGATTTGCCAATGGGTCAAGCAAAATTATCTTATAAAATAAATAAATAAAATAAAAGTCTCCCTCATGAAAGGAGAAAATAACTTAACGATACTCTGTGTAATTTTTACAGTTGCTCCAAACGATGAAACATGTTCACCAATAACAAATGTGACTTTTATAAGAATATTTACCTTGACCATGTTTTTGAATTGTCGTCATGGGCTTAGAAATTGACTTATAAATGTACATGAGGGTGGAGGACTGTGAATCAGAATCAGAATCAGAATCATTTTTATTGCCACGTAAGTAACAGGAGGTCACAGACTTGGAAATTGCTTTGGCTCGGTGCAACAGTCAGAGAGAGAGAATAGAATGAAATAAAAAGAATAAAAAACACTTCTAAGGAATAAATTTAACATTAAAATTAAAATAGAGTTACAATTACTATATACAATATACCAATGGTGTAGGTTTGGTTCCAATCTTGGTGGGGACATTCACTACGACCTGAGTCTACACCCATTGACACGGGGTCCAGAGTTTCTCCCCCAGAATTTGTTGTGTAATCACACACTATATTTGCAATAGTGTGTTGCCTTCTATACTAAACTCAGCTGTAGACTGAATGAGAAGCAGTTATGTATGTTAACAGAAGATTAATCATCACAATTCATAATTTGCTATTACTTGTGCTTTCTCTTACTTACTTTCCAACTGTTAAAAAAGCTCCTGATATCTTTTATCTTATTTGTGGAGGTGGCATTTTTTCTAAATTATATAAGAAGGTATAGACAATCAAAAACAGACATTCATATACATGAACTGCAGAATCATTTATATAACTTGGCCAATGTCAAAAGTTACATAGTATTTCTCAATACAATGAGTTAACAAGAGTTTGGCAATAAGTAAGTGTGGATTTTTCTATATTTTCTTTTTTTTATTCCACTCTCTACCCAAAAAGGCAAGTAATGACTCACAGGGCTCTCAAGTATGCAAAATAAAAACTTAAGTGACCTGTTGTGGTGTGTTTTGCGCACAACCAGCATGCATCGTTAACGCAATGGAAAATTTACGTATCCGAGCTTTAATTTCGGGAGCGCTGGTTGCGCTTTGGGAAGAGTCAGGGGAGAGACATGTCAGAGACACAGGGGAGAAACGGGGGAGATACGAGGGAGACCCGCACTTGCAACATGGTTCTGTCTGCATATGGTCCGAGCTCGGTACCATGTTAGAGCTGTGCTTTCACTGAGCGCCGCGGCTGTCATTACAAAGCGGCAGCAGCTGCACCAGGACGTGCACATTCGAGTGCATCGCTTGAATGTGCTTAGAGCAAATAACAGCAAGTGCCCGCTGTCACACATTTCACAGAAATTACATTATCAGCAAATAAAGGTTGTAAATCGTGGATCCGTGGAATATTTTCATCCCTAGTTTATCCTGATTCACACAACACACCCACTTATACATTTTGGATAGTAAGAGCACAAGAAGTATTTTTTCAGCCTTTCAACCAACCTGTTTCTTTATTGGAGCCAGTTCTGTTCTGTCTCTGTGCCGTGTGAGCTCCTCGGAACATTAAACAGTGCGCTGACAGATTAGAAATAACGTAAGTACTTTGAATGGTAAATAGATCTACAGTACTTTCCTCTAATTACTCACGTGCTACAACGCTCAGGGAACGAAAAAAAACACTTGCTTCACGCTGGCTAACTTTTAAAAATTAAACAGTTGCTCAGTGCTTCAGTTTGGCGCTGAAGAAGACAGCCAATCACTGCAGAGAACGGAACGGGTCACGTGCTGCTGCTGCTGCTGTTGCTCTGGAGGCGAGGAGGAGGCGCGACGTATGCACAAACGGAAGACATGTGTCCCGGACCGTCCGGGTCCCGGGACATCATGTCATTTTGGTGGGGACTTTTTAGTCCTCACCAAATATTGGTGGGGACATGTCCCCATGGTCCCCACGCAAACCTACGCCCTTGCAATATACATGGTGCACACAATGTAAGATGACAGCAGTACAGTGAGGTAAAGTGACATATGATGGGCAGTAAAGTGACTTATAAAGGGCAGTAAGGTATGCGCCATCTTGAAATACAGTGGTTGATAAGGGACAAAAAGGAGTTTGACGGAGAGTTGGGGACCACTATCAAAGACGACATATTGTCCTGCAAAGCTACCGTAGTATTGTAAATTACAATATATGATCTCAATGCTAGATGGGAGTAAAAACTACACAGTGTACCTTTAAGAATTCTTGAAATAAGACTTCTTGAATGGCTTTGTGCAGTGTTTGGCTCTTACAATACACATGTTTTATTTATTTTTGGGATATTCTGACATTTAATAACACTTAATCTTCAATAAATGAAATATTGACGCATCAATAGTGTTTTAATTCTTGTGTGGCGAGTAAGAAGAAGCCCAAAAGCCTTGCCCAGCCCTAATTGAATTTGTGTCATGGCAATTTGAGTGGAGTAAATTCTGAAATGCAATGCAAATAAGATGTTGTTTCTCTAATCCAGAGCATGTGTCATATATTAGCGTCCTGATCGTTGAAGAGTAGAGTAGGACACACAGGAGGTTTGTTTTGGCGTGGGTCTCTGATTCACACGTTTGAGCATCACTCCCACACTGTTGGCTCAAGTGAATCACCTGTTTGAACAGACCAACTATATGTTTGTATTCTGTTGCGAGTGTGCAGTGGAAACTTAAACACACTGTAAATTAAACATGATATTATCTCAGGAATATCTCCGTCCCGTTTTCAGCAGAGGTTTGTGTTTTGTTTGTTATGCTTTAGTGCTTGTATGTATTTACAGTGGTTACCTGCATTTTGGATCAATCTCAAGCAAATCACTGAAAGCTTTTTTTTTTTATACTATCGTTTATATTGTTCATTATAATTTCTATTTTTTTTTAACACAGGGAGATAGTAGTGGGCAAAAGGGATAAATAAGAAGAGAAGGAAAATAAATTGTGTCTCACCATGTTGTATGTGTAATATGAAAATAGAAGTTAAAAAAAATACAAAATAAAAACTGGTACTTTTTTCAGATTTAAGCTAAACATTCTGTCAGGGGACAAAAGGCGTTCGATGTTTAGGAAAAATATAAAATTTGGTACCCCAGCTTTAATTACCCGAAAAGTCTTCTTAAAGTAAAATGCAGTGAACCCCAACTACATGTTTTTCCTTCATGCCCTGTGAGTATTTGACACTTTGTACTTTGAGAGTGATGGTGGCCCTCACTTTTTTCACTTTTCTGTCTCAAATTTTTTTTTAATCTACGAGACATGAAGAGAATCCAAAAAGATACATGCATGTGAATAGTATTGATGGCGACAAAATGTTTTGAGAGCGAGGAACTAGATGGATTTTTGTATGGTTTGAAAGTCAGGTGCCCCAGCTTTTATGTAATAATAATAATAATAAAAATAAATAATAAAACATTTTATTTCTAAGGGGCCTTTCTCGACACTCAAAGTAAATTTAAAAAAGTTAAATGTAATGTTAAAGTAAAGGAAAAATTTGATTTTAAAGTGTGTACACATATATTCTAGCACAAACATTTTCTTTCTCTGCGTGGTTGGGCCGATGTAAAGAGCCGGGAGCGTAGCCATAATAATTATCCGGTGACATAACTCGATTGCATGGGCCTGGTACGAGCGTGTCAATATCCTGATCTCATTACGTTAATAACGAGAGCGAGCACAGAACCTGCCCTGATGTGAACTCCTGCAGGCACCCGTCTCTCTGTTTGAGGTGATTCCGGAGAGCCGGGTTTGTGTTGATATTAGCAAACAGAGGCCCAGCTGCCAGCCTCCTGTTAGCCGCCGCTGTGATAAGATCTTCCCCTGAGGCAAAGCAGTTGTCACATTCACAATGAGAGCTTTTGACCATAAAGAGGGAAGCAAACATTTTCTGTTGTTACCGTTTCAATTTAGCGCTTAAACTTAAAGTGTGTTGACAGGTTTTTAAATATCTTAGAAATGTCACTTATTTTGGTGAAATGGAACCGGATTAGAATACAGATTATAGTTTTACACAAATAAGGATGCAAATAAGGGGGGAAGAGTTGGTAGAGCATTGGCCTTTGAACCTGAAGGTGGACATTTTTTGTCTTAACTCTCGATTCTCTGATTTGTTTTGGTGATTTCAATGGTTTTGTTAAGTCCTCTGAGATAAATGCTGGTGTGATTTAGGTCTATACAAGAATAAATTGTATTGTATTGTGTCAGTGAGGGTTGGTGCTCTCAGAAATGGTTTAAGGGGAGGAACATGGATGGATGGATGGAGGATGCAAATAATGTTTTTTTAATTTTTTTATTTGTTTTAGGATACGTTTTCTTTTATGAGTCTTTGATAAAATGTCATATGTATCAGTTGGTGAAGAAAAATGGAAAATATGATGAAATGTCTTTGAACAGACAGAACTCAACCAAAGAACAAACACATTTTTGGCACACTCCAAAGTTTCACTGAACTAAATAAACATGTATAACTACGCCTATGATGTATTTCCTCAAATAATGTCTTCTGTTTACATTGGAGGAGATTTGGCCCATATTATTACATGGTTGCTTGGCGACGTCCCTCGCGTGATCTTGTAAATCACAACCAGGAAATAAAATCCTGTATTAAGCAATATTGGGCACACTTTTGTAATAGAATGAGCACAATCTTAAACGTAATAAACACAGTCAACACTGCGTTTTGTGAAAGGTCAAGTCTCATCTGTCATACACTAGTAATGTCACTTTATTTTCTTAAACATCAGGCTAAAAAAAATTGCCCTAACAACTCTATCTGATAAACACATTTGTGAGCACTTTGTAAAGATGGCATTCGGTAGTTTTGGCCTCTGCAGACTGATTTACTCCAATAATAAGTGGTCACACAAAGGGTCTGTGAGGGATGTCTGAAGAAACAGTATAGAATGCCGAGAATGAGTCTGGTGTGTGTGAATGGTTGGTGGTGGTCGGAGGGGCCAATGGCCTCGCTTCTGTCAGTGTGCCCTAGGGCAGCTGTGGCTACAATAGTCACCACCGTGTATGCAAATGAATAATGACATGTGAAGCGTCTTTGAGTGTCCCAAAAAAGAGCTATATATTATTATTTCTATGTCTTAAATATTGCAGAGAGAAAAGGTGTGCTCCTTTAAACAATGTGTTCTTTACAAGCCCTGCTCTTTACACGGACAACAGACCTAACCTACTCATCAAACATGCGTAAAGGAAAACCTGTCCTTTCTCCTTTAAGTGTCAGACTCCTGGAGCAGATGACAACACACTACCTCAGAGCCTCAGAGCCTTTACCTCCAGAGCTCAGCAAACACGCACACACAAACACACACGCACACACACAAACACACACACACACATGCGGAAACTGCTTGGAAGACTTTTGCACAATTCACTGCTTCCTGTGACTGTACCTGCGCCTGTGCCCGTGTCTGTGCATCAACATTCTAACTTTCTAAGATCACTTTCTACTGCTCACTTACAAATGAAGATGCTAAGATCTTGGGAGGGAAATTGGTTATTTCCACTTAACAAATGTCTTTTGAAAATCTGAATGTTCTTCCGTTTGGTAAAAAAATGAGCCTATTTTGATAACGATATTAGCAAGCAATAGAAATTTAGTTCAAACAAATAGGAATTGGACATAATGGGAACCCATAGAGCTACAAATAAGACTAAACCTGCTTGCTGTACTGGCAAATATTTTATAGTATGTACTTAATAATAAAATGCTTAATAGAAATACAGTGAAACAGTGAATGAGACTTACTTAACATGATGGATGAGGTTACAGTCAAAAAACTCTGAGAACAATATATTTAATGGAAACGACCTGATTTTGACACAAATCCCATTTGGCCTTTTCTGATAAAAAAGTAAATGCAGATTTATTCTAAATGAGAAAAACAAGGAGTAGGATGGTCACATAATGTGAAATTTATGATTTTTGTCATGAAGTCGAGTATCCAATCAGAAAACAGAGTTAGCACAATTATCATGTGTGTCTGACATTTCGTTGCTATTGTCTTTGGTTTGGTCTCTACCTAAACTATAGACTGTAAATAGGAACGTGAATTCGGTCTAATATAAGTCTAAGTGCTCATGGACAAAACCTTGATCCAACTCATTTTAACTCCACTCTGTAATCGATTCAATCTTCAGAAATTATCTACCTGACCCTGACATTTTAATATGAGTTTCTTTGTAAATACATGACCCCTAACAACTGACCAATCAGGAGCGATCTGTCCACGAGACTAGCCCTTCTGATTGGCTCTTTGGTTGCAAGATTGTTGCTATCACTACAAATTTCGATCCAGATTCTTGCCCACAAATAATGTTGGAACTATAGTTGGCTTAATCTTAATGCAGGGTTTGTAATTATGATAATATTATTAAACCAGTAGGTGCACAGACGACATACTGTTCCGAAATAAAGAACGTGCAAAACTCACCCATATCTGCAGCTTGATCCTCTTGTCCTGGCGGAACACGGTCTTGACCTTAAAGTCGATGCCCACGGTGCTGACGAAGGCCGAGGTGAAGGAGTCGTCTGCGTACCGGAACAGGAAGGAGGTCTTTCCCACGCTGCTGTTCCCGATAATGAGCAGTTTGAACATGTAGTCAAAGTTCTGGTCGGCCGCATCCTTCTGAGAGGGCTGCTGCTGGAGCCGGGAGTCACTGGACGCCATCTGCCACCACAGATATTAAAATAAAGCATTCAAATGTATATGAAGTTTAACACTGCTCTAAATGGTGGGTAACACATTTTCAAACCACAAAAAATAAAAAATAGTTCACTATAACAACCACTACTAACTAGTTCATAGTTCTCAAAACCGCCACTAGTTTTCACATGTACAGTTTTTTTTTGGGCTGTCATAAGAATAATAATGAACCGCAAGGCTCTTTCTGACAATGTTTTATAATAAGATAATGGAAAAGTCAAAAGTTGGATTGAATAAAATTGATTATTTATTCATTTTTACTTTCTGGCAATTGTGGGGTATTACACAGATGTACACGAATAAGTCACACACAAAAAATTAGAGTAATGTTGCTGTTTTAAAATTGAAATGTAATAACATCAGCCACACCAAATAAACAGTAGGAAACTCAGAATTCTAACTTCAGCATGAAATAACTGTAAAAATATACATCACCATTTAAATAGATTAATCGATATACTGTATATACATTTCTTGTGACAGGCTTTTGGATTGGTTCATTCCATCTTAAAGGCCTAAATACATTGTCAATGTAATTTTTGCTGTTTAAAGTTTGCTCAATTAATTGGTGTCTACTCAAAATGTGTACCAACATTTGTGTTAGTCGACTATAATTGCCTGTATTTTTCATTGGAAAACAGCACCAATCTGAAGTACCGGTAAATTCACTGAAGTTTGGTACAGTATTTGGTACAGTCTAATCGTTCTAATTCATATTTGTCATGAATAGCTTAATTTGTGCTGAATATGGAGTGAGTCAGATAGGATAGGTGAAAACATCTGCTCCATCTAAAACCGGTGAATATAACTTGAAACACAGAAGAAAAAACAGTTTGTTGAAAGGCTAATGCTAACTGGTACCAAGTTAACAGTGTGTTGCTATGGTTTCTTGGGCTTGCTCTTCACAGATACTTTCATCTATGAAAATAATGACACAGAAGTAAATTAAATAAAGAATCAATAAATGTCACAAAGTTGGGAAGATCAAAAATGTGCATGAGCTATATAGTGGTTATTGCTGTGAAATGTATGAGTACAGGTCAGACGTGATGCTTTTGAGAGCTTTTGTTGCCCGTCTGTCTACAGTCCTAATGTTTACACAGATCTGAACTAACAAGTATTTCAGACAAGGCAAAAGATGTTGAACCTGGCAAAATGTTGAAATATCTCAGTAGTAGTTTGATAGTAAATGCAAATATTTTTGTTTTTGAAATCATCCATCCATCCATTTTCTTCCACTTCATCCATTGCCAGGTCGCAAGGGCAGCAGTCTAAGCAGAGACGTCCAGACTTCCCTATCCACACACACTTCCTCCAGCTCATCCCAGGGGACCACAAGGCGTTCCCAGGTCAGCTGAGAGACTATACTCCCTCCAGCGTGTCCTGGGTCTTCCCCGGGGTCTCCTTTTGAAAACATGAATTTGAATAATCAATACAAAAATATGTTGACGTTAATTCATTTTGCTATTAAACTCATCATAATTAGTTCATTATTGTCACAGCCAACATTAAGATTCCAGTAAAGGACGGACAAGCACACAACCGCACTGTGACTTTATCATTCATTCACATGGGCCTACAAAAGTGCAGTACAAAAAAACAAAGATACAAAAATAATGATAATAAAATACCTAAGGAAAATCAAATAAAAACAGTGACAGCAAGTTTAATTATATTTATTGTGTGTTGTTGCTGTTTTTCCCTTTTTTTTTTAATTTATTTTGTATATTTCTTTCTTATTTTAACTACTATAACAGATTTCCCATGGTTTATTAAAGAGGAAAAAAATAGTATACATATGTAAATGCCCTTAACTGTAGCATATATATATATATATATATATATATATATATATATATATATATATACAAAAAAATATTGTGATGTACTAACAAAGTCTGTGCATTCACTGTATCAAGGAAGCACAATAAAGTAAAGAACATGTGCAGTACCAGTATTGACCCTCTGGCAGCATCGCTCAAACAGGATCTGTGACTGAAGACAACAGCACCAAACTGGCCACACCCCTGAGCCGTCTCCAGGGCAACCGTGGGCCCCAGCTGCCACAGAGCCATTAGTGGACAGAGGGCTTTTAACGAAGCGGCCAAGAGTGAGATATCATCTGAGGGCAGAGGCTGCACGGTGCCCAGGCAAGTGCAGACCAGACACACCACAAAACCAGACGCCCCATTAACAGATTTATATCCTGTTTAAACACAAACACTAACTAAACGCTATCAACCCGGAAGTTTCTACCTAAATGTTCTTTAGAAAATTGTACAACAGGATCTGTAAAATTCGGTCGCTATTATGAATATTTTAAGAAGCCTATTGCACTACTAGAAAATCGAAAAATATTTTGAGCACATTCAGAACAGCTGAAGCATACAAAAGTGAAAGTGAGGCAGCAATAAAATCCAGCAATAAAGTCTGGCTTTCATCCTGGTGCTGCTCATTGGATTGGATCGTTTTCAGATTGGAATAGCATGAAAAAGGGTTGACAAAAGTAATATTGAAAAGTAAAAAAAAATATTGTTTATTACTTTATCACTATTATAATGTATGATTTCCTTTTTGTTTATGTTTTACACAAGGGAAAGATTAATAGAAAAATAATTTGAATACAAAAAACAAATCGTGTATTACTATGTTGTATGGAACATGAAAAAATTTAAACTAACAAAAACAACAGGCTAAAGAAACAACAAAAGGAAAAAATCTAAAAATCTAAAATAAACAATTATGTGTCAGCAGTTTTGTAAAGGGAGACAGAGTTCCGGATGTGTTCTGGGAGTGAGTTCCAGTGAGAGAGGGCAGCTGCAGCTATGGCTCGGTCCCTTAAGGTTCGGCACATTGTTCTGATGGGAGTGAGGAGGTTGGAGACGGTGAAGATCCCGCTCCGTGGATCTGAAGCGGCGGTAGAGACGATGGAGGAGGGCGGGTGAGAAATGAGACGGCGAGATAATGAAGGGACTTGTAGGTCTCACCTCACATTGGTAAGGGACAGGGAGCAGCCGGTGTAGTTATTTAAGCATAGGGGTGATGTGGTCTCTTTAGCACGTGTGGGTGAGCAGGCAGAATCTTATAGAAGCTACATACTTGCTTTCATTGTAAGATTAAATGATACTACAAAGCCATCTCTCTTGTTGTTATTGTCTGGTATGCAACAAAATTATATATTCTGCCGAAGCTACAAAATGACCAACTTTTACATACAATTTCCCTTTTATTTCTGTTTTACACAAGGGGAAGATTAATAGAAAAATAAGTAAAATAAGAAAAATAAATTGTGTATGCAACATGGAAACATTCAAACAAACAAAAACAACAACAAAAAAAGTAAAAAATAATAATACAAGAATATAAAATAAACAGTAACCCTAACCCTAGTCTCTGTGTGTGTAGGCAAAATCCTATAGATGCTATATACACTTGCTGTGATTGGAAGATTAGAGGATTTGATTCCATCTCTTGTTATTGTCTTGTTTGCAACACTGTCATGCATTCAGCCCGGACGCCTGAAGCTAGAACATTTCCAACTTCAGCTCGTGATGAAGTCTCCCTCTGCAGAGACTTGCAAGAGGGTTTATGTGGCAACAGGAGACGAACAAAGAGAACCAGCACTTTCACAACTTCGCTCACTGTCGAATGTCTTTAGGGAATTACTCAAGGTCTGATGTTTTAAGTTTTAAGCGAGTCCTAATCTGCCTTCACATCGGCTCAACAATCCTGCGTCACATGATTCCCCCGTACAGAAGTTGTGGGTGTCATAGCAATAGCAATGATCCTTTTGCTCAAAACTCCTTTACTTCTGACTTTCCCATGAATCCCATCTGCTTAAGCCTTGGGTAAAACTTGTCACATGCGCACGATGTTTACAGAGCAGCATGGGCAAATAAGGAAATTGTTAAGTTGAAGGCTGGAATTCAAATGGTCCTCTATCTATTTCTTAACTAATTTTTTTAAGTATATATTTTTCAAGTTCCTAATTCATGCTGTTGGACCTGTATCACTCTTCTAAACATGTTATAAAAACCATAGCCATAAAACTACATTATGTATTAGTTTGATTTTCTTTTCAAACCTGCAGAACACAATTGTTTTATCTATTGTTGGTTTAGTAAGTAGGGCTGTATTCAATTCATCCATTCTGAGTCAACAGTAATGGAATAATCTGGTTTTTTTGAGACACAGACTAAAATAAGACATTAGGAGATTGCAAGATTAAATAATTAAACGGTATATATTTTTGAGGGTGAAGATTTGACTTCAGAGATTCATCGGTGACATTTGCCTTTGCTTTGTTTTCATGGGCAGCCGAGGCAAAGCGGTTAGCACTTGTGATTCACAGCAAAAAGGTCCTGCGTTCAATCCCACCCAGCCGTTTCCATGTCGGACTTTAAAGGGAAAGTGAATGAATGGTGATGGCATGGGACTTTGCCAGGTGTGCGGCGTCTCGCTCCTGTCATCACCGTGTGTGGAGTCAATGTAAAGCGCTTTGTGTGACCTTGCTCTGTGAAATGCGCTAAATAAATAAAGCTGACTTACATACTCATTCACAATAATCCTTTCATGATATACTACCGATATCCCCACCAGTAATGCATGATCAAAACCGTCAGTTATTAAAGCCGTCTAAACTACCATTTCAATTTCACAATCACAGCATATTTAGATTAAGATCAAACATGACAAAAATAATGTTTGTATGTAGTTTCAATATCCATCCATCCTTTTCTTCCGCTTTATATGTCGCCTTACCGCAGCAGTTTAAGACGCCCAGACATTCAAATATATCAGTAAACTTCATAGTGGGGATAAACCAAAAAACAATAAATGTTTTCCCTCAGATCACAACTAACTTACAACAAACTGGGTCCAATTGTGACATTTATTATAGTATTTTGTTGTATAGGTATTTTGTCCTGAAGTAACTAAAGTATAAGTAACTAATAGAACAAGACTATGATGTTCAATCAGTGATAGAATAGAAAAGAATAAAAAAGACCCAGTCAGGACATCAACAGCTGAAGCGATACCAGATCCAGCACAATTCCAGTACCAGCATCAGTTTCATCAATATCCGATACCAGTATTGTATCTACATTTTAGACCTAAGTTACAGATTTATTGAAATTGCAATTCAGACAGATCAACATGAACAAATCTCAAAGAAAGATAAATGAATAGGGTTCTAGTAAATGTAATGTTCATCTTTCAATCTTCAATCAAACGTGAACACTCCTGGACATGTTTAAACTGTGCCCTTTGAACACAATCCAACTATTACCGCATTCATGACTACTCAAATAGCAACCCTGATGTTTTGCCAAAATTGTTTAAACCTACTTTTAATTATTGTTCAAACCTACTTTTAATTAACCCTGCAGCCGGGAGACAGCCGATTCACTATCTTGTACATCTGGATGCATGTATAGGGTCATTATTTGCTGGTGGTCTATAATGTCACCACCTTTATCTGCCCGTGTCCCTGTGTACAGATACAAGAGATAGGGCTGATTAAAGCTCCACCTGCTGCAGGCTGAGAGGTGCCCTGCAGATAAGCTTTGGCTCACTCGTTGCGGCGACTGGCATTATCTGCAGCTAAACAAATGAGTAAAAAGGGGTTTGGTGATGAGTGGCTTTGTTACTGTGAGCCTGTGCGACCGGGAAACCACCAGTATTGATCAGCAGGCAGCTGTCACATCTGCTCCTCCTTCACACCCCACAACTAACCCACTCTGACAAACAGATGCATAGTATACTAATGGGTTTAATAGTTGTTCATGTATGTAGTATAAGTTTGGCAAAAAGACCTGTTGGATTCTATTGGCCATTTCACTACACAGGCTGTAAAACCAACTCATGAGGATTGCTCAGTAGATGTATGTGCATTTATGATTAATGCATTATTTTGAAGCAAACACAGGAGCAGTATTTCACACAACATGACTATTGATAACAATGTATTTTATCTATTTGAACCTTTAACAATGGTGAAATATACTTCTATATATATACTTCTTCTCTTATATATCAAACAAACATATCAAATATGTTGATCTCCAGAGGAAATCGTAGACTGTAGACTGAAGATAGGCAAAGAGCGCACATATAAGTTATGGCTTCTTATGGATCCAATAAAAAACAGGACCACCGTAAGACTGCGGACCTGAGCTTGAGCCTCAGTAGTAGACTTATACAAGCAGCTGTCGTGTTAGTCCCAAACTTGGTCATGTTTCCTTGAGTTTTTGTGACAGTGGTTAACAGCTGTGATGCAGGAGGATGGTACTCACCTCTGCGCTACACTGATCCACACGGTTTCCGCCTCTGGCTCTTTACGCTCCTCTACTTTTGTGTCAAATACCAAAGTTATCGTGATAAGTGGAAATACAAGCCAGGAGTGTGCCCTGAACTGCAGCCACAATGCACACACTTGTTGGGCTGTGGTCTGCAGAGGACTGGAGAGGGGACTGGAGCAGAGGACTGGACTGACTGCACACGCTCCAGTCCGGGATAGGCTGAGCGCATGCGCAGTCTTGGGCGCCGCCTCACACGCCTCTTTGACACACAACAGGTTGTTGTCTCATCGTGGTCGTGACAGCGGGTTTACAAAGTTAGTCAATGTGGCAATTGTTTCTTTATTTTCTTATTGATTTCTTCCATCTGTCGAAGCTCGGAATAGCTTTTATCCTGAGAAAAAAACAACTTTTCATTCTGCGCACAGATGCACGCACCTCAAAATATGGTTTCTGCAGGGGTTTGTTTTGATAAAACCACCACCTGCCGATCAAGCATGGCCCTGAAGCCAAAACCGAGAAAATCAATGATAATTTTTTTCAACAATACAATGCATTTCTAAATGATTACATTCACTCTCACTATTGTTGTCAGTCAAAGTTAATGCGATGTCAATAACATTTAATAAAGGGAAACCTTGTGTTTATAAATTCAAATATATCCTTAATTATTTGTTTGGACGGAACAGTGTGCCTTAGGGAACAACAGTGCAATAAATACACAGGATTGTGGCCTTGGGATAATTTCCCTCCATTGTCCCACGTCACTTTTACAAACACACACTCACCCCTGAACTATTACTGTACTAGACAAAGTAAGGCAAGGCAAGTTTATTTGTATAGCACAATTCATCAACAAGGCAACTCAAAGTGCTGAACAAAACAAGTTAGAGACAGTCTCACAAGGCATTATCCCTTAGATGAACGAGTGACTAGACCCTACACTCTTCCGTAAATGGGTCAAAAATGACCCGTATTAGAATCAATGCGTTTTTATGGTATTTTTGTGATTTCAATTAAGGATTATCACTTGTATTCAATTTTGTTTTATGTTTTGAACCACACAAGAATGATTTCATGTTTAAAGTCTTTCACATTTACATTTTTTTTTAAATAAAATTGCCCAGAACAACAATAGAAAAATTTGCACATCCATTGTGTATGTGTGAGGGTGTGTGTGTGTGTGTGTGTGTCTATGTGTGTGTGTATTTGTCTCTGTGTGTGTGTATTTGTGTGTCTGTATATGTCTCTGTGTGTGTGTGCTTGTGTGTAATTCAGGGTGGCGATGTCAATCATATTGTACCACAGCGCTATGGGCCACCATGTGTTTGGCACTTGCAGGTGTAGGTGCAGACCAGTGTGGGCGGGTCCCGGCTCAAAAACATCCATAAGTACGTGGCTGACATACTTGCAATCCCACCCCGGGCTTGAGGGGGTGTATCCAGAATTTTTTTTATCCAATGCTTTTGTATTGCGTCTTCTTTCTTCTCGAAAACGTTTACATGATGGTCCAAAAGACAGCTCTTGGTCCAAAGCTATGCTCCAGATATTGTCAATGCTGAGAGGAATGTATTTTTTGGACCAGTCTAGTTTAGCCGCTGTGGACTTCAGAATGCACTCGTCAAATGAATGGGCCTGGTGACGGCTAACGGATGCACAAATGCGTCTTTTCACATTTTCCATCTATTGCATAGGGATACATGCATCACAAACCCAGAAGATCCCTAGTTTGTACTTGGTGGGCTTGCTAGGCATGTAATTCTTACAAGTATTAGCTCTTGCTGTGTAAAATAATCTTCCTGAGGAATGACACTTCTGGTATTGTCTGTGTATACAGTTGATTTTTGACCCAATTATGGAAGCTTGGGGTAGCAATACAAAAACTAAAATTTCTTAAAATATATAAAAAGTAAGTAAAAAATGTTAATGGATTATATCAAAAACATGTTTTTTGAGGAATACCTGGAATATGAAATTCTAAAAAAATTTCATTACAAAGATATTTCAAGAAAACGACCTCGCCGGGTCATTTTAGACCCACTTATGCATCTAAGGGATAAAATCATAAATAATCACAGTACAGTAAAAAGAATGAAGATAAAATCCTTCACTTGTATGCACAGCTAAACAGAGCTGAGACTTTGTGTTTAACCTGGATTTAGACATTGTCAGAGAATAAGCCTGTCTCACATTTTCAGGAAGACTGTTCCAGATTTATAGCTGCCATCTTCTTGCTCTGAGGCACGAGCGCTGATCACTGTACTGCTGTGCCAAATGCGCTTGTTCATGAATTGGATGAAAGTGGTAGATAATATTCAGAGAGCACTGTACAGGTTCGTTTGCCATCATGTACAGTCATTCCTATCAAGCAAAAGTGATTTCAACATTTACTCTGAGGGAGCTTCTAAAACAAATGTTCTGAACAGCAGGCTCTGTTTGCAGTTGCTAATCAAACCATGCTCTCTGAATAATGAAGTGGTTCCATTTGGACAATAACTGTGCCTCATGTCTGTCAGCATAATCAGCTCTTTCCACTCTGCTCCATCATCACTATATTCCAGATATACATTTCCATATACAGAGGGGCAGACGGAGCAGTCGGAGGCCATGTAGTCATTCATTCATTAGAGCAGAATCAGGAACTCGCTGCCCTCTGTTCTGCATCTGAATCGTGCAGAGTCATAAATGCAGCAGGAAGACGCCGCAGTGAAACTATCTCTCCAGAAGTGCGCCCGGTCTGGAGTCAGGGTTCTGGGGTAAACACCAACATCTGCAAGTATGTATCTAATATTAACGCCATATATCTCACCCTCCTGTGGTTGGAAGGTTGGTGGTTCAAATCCCACACTGATCATACAGTTGCTGTGCACATTGGCAACATTACCTTGTGTGTTGTGAGACCATTAGGATGCCTCAAAGTTATTGAAGAAGTTATTGAAGTTTGTAATATTAAGATTTATAATTATGGAAATTATTCTTTATTTTAGAGTCAACAGCCAGCCAAGGTCATAATTACCGATATATTTACAGTGGGGCAAAAAAGTATTTAGTCAGCCACCGATTGTGCAAGTTCTCCCACTTAAAATAATGACAGAGGTCTGTAATTTTCATCATAGGTAAACTTCAACTGTGAGAGACAGAATGTGGAAAAAAAAATCCAGGAATTCACATTGTAGGATTTTTAAAGAATTTATTTGTAAATTATGGTGGAAAATAAGTATTTGGTCACTTCAAACAAGGAAGATCTCTGGCTCTCACAGACCTGTAATTTCTTCTTCTGTCCTCCACTTGTTACCTGTATTAATGGCACCTGTTGTAACTTGTTATTTGTATGAAAGATCGCCCAAATGTAACCCTAAACGATATTTCAACCACTGATAATATCCCTCGATCTGATGTTCCACGCAAGATCTCATCCCGTGGGGTAAAATGATCATGAGAACGGTGCTCAAAAATCCCAGAACCACACGGGGGGACCTGGTGAATGACCTGCAGAGAGCTGGGACCAAAGTAACAAAGGTTACCATCAGTAACACACTACGACGACAGGGAATCAAATCCTGCAGTGCCAGACGTGTCCCCTGATGAAGCCAGTGCATGTCCAGGCCCGTCTGAAGTTTGCCAGAGAGCACGTGGATGATACAGCAGAGGATTGGGAGAATGTCATGTGGTCAGATGAAACCAAAGTAGAACTGTTTGGTATAAACTCAACTCGTCGTGTTTGGAGGAAGAAGAATACTGAGTTGCATCCCAAGAACACCATACCTTCTGTGAAGCATGGGGGTGGAAACGTCATGGTTTGGGGCTGTTTTTCTGCTAAGGGGACAGGACGACTGATCCGTGTTAAAGAAAGAATGAATGGGGCCATTTATCGAGAGATATTGAGCCAAAACCTCCTTCCATTGAGTTAAATTTCTATTATTGACCAAATACTTATTTTCCACCATAATTTACAAATAAATTCTTTAAAAAATCCTAAAATGTGAATTCCTGGATTTTTTTCCCCACATTCCGTCTCTCACAGTTGAAGTGTACCTATAATGAAAATTACAGACCTCTGTCATTATTTTAAGTGGGAGAACTTGCACAATCGGTGGCTGACTAAATACTTTTTTTGCCCCACTGTAGATAAGTGTTGTTTTATTTAGTACAAAGTGACATCACTTTATTATGCTAACAATAGAGTAAAGATAGATGTGCTACACTTATTATTCACTTATTTTGTGTTGTGTGCTCCTCAAACTCTTCTGTAACTTGTGATACAACACTGTCAAGTCCCCAGTGTGAGACACAGGATCTCTATCTTAACAGTATATAGTAAAACATAGTTTGAAAATAAAAGTATTTCAAAAAGAGCAGCTCTGGTGCAAAAAAAAGTCACAATCACACTGCTTACTACAAGAATATATCAAACATGAAAAACAAACAGATTAATTCATTTGAAACCTGGAATAACAATCACAGTGATCTTAAGCATTTGTACAAATGAAAAGATGCTTCCTACAATAGTTACATGTGAATGATCACTTTGTAGGGCAACAATGCACTTTCACTATTTCTCTCATTTTTAATGGTGAGAAAATTGTTTTTCTAAATATTGAAGACATGAAACTAGGACAAAGTGTGTTTTTCAGTAAATTGTGTCATGTCAGTTTTCTTCACTCTATAAACATTGAAATAATGTAGAATAGATTTGGCGTATTGTCGTTTTACTGCCACACTTTATTTATTATTTGAAGTTGCAAAAAATATCTAAATAAAGGTTCCAATTTTCATTCACTGTTTCAAAAATACTGCCATCTGCTGGTTAATAAAAAACAGGGCGCCCGATGAAGGCAAATTTTCAACTTTATATCACAGATGAAAAATTGTTTTTTCTAGTTTCTCTCTAAATAGTGGACAGATTCAGAGCAGTGTAAACTATATTCACAGTGGCACACATGAAGCCGATGAGGTTGCACAGAGCGGACAGTCCATGGTAGCGGCCAAACCTTTTCCTGTATTCTCTGTATTTGGGGTCTTTCTCTTTAAGTTTGGCGAATTCCTCCTTTTGGGCGCCAAGTCCGATCTGTTGTCCTAATCCATGTTCCTTCTCAACCTCCCACATCTGGAACATCACCTCGGTATTGGAGGGGCCAAACCACTGTGCGTTTAAACCAGCTGTGATCAGGGCGACGAAGTAAAGCAGCATCTACAAACAATAAAACATATCATTAAGTAAGTAATCTTTATTTATAACCGCCTTTCACAGACCAGAGTCACAAAGCGGTTTACAATTGTTATTTTTGGGCAAGATGGGAGCGCAGTCGCCAAACAGGAGGCGCATGCAAGACCTATTGTACATACTTTTAGTGGTAGGGGAAACCGGAGTACCCGGAGGAAACTCCACTGACCGTGATTCGAACCCAGGACCTTCTTGCTGAGAGGCGAGAGTGCTATCCACTCAGCCACTGTGCCGCCCTGACATATAGTGTCTTAACAGTGATGTATGCTGCAATGAGAGTGAAGTCACACCTACCCACCAGTGACTACACAGTACATTAAAACATTTGTTTCCACCAGTCCTACTTAGGCCTGTTCTATACTCAGCTCTAGTATACCCTGATACGGAGCATTTCCACTGGTCCTGTTTAACCAGGTATTTCCTCATGGAATCTATCCAGGCCGAGCTGGTACCTAAGTGTTCAAACTGACAGTGATTGACCAGAGTGGTGCTGGAAGCCATGGTTTCCAATGTATTTCCATGGATACTGGATGGTTGTGGGTATGTTGCTAGGATACGGTACCAGATCCTAAAGTGTAATGGAAACACAACCAGGTAGAGTAGAGTAGAGTAGAGCAAAGTAGGGCTGGTGGAAACAGGACTTTTGTAAACCAAAGTTTTTATTTGTCGACTATCTATTGTACATTGAATGCCTTTCTATAGGCTGAAGATTTAGGTTTCTACATTGTTAGAAAAGGTATATTTTTTTATATATATATTTTTTGCATTATCAATAATATCTTTGTGTGGTTTTATTGCTAAACGTTTTCAGAGCTTTTGTCACACCCCTGTCTTTAGTCGACTGATGTATTGGTTGGGCATGTATCTAGTCAACCAAGAATTTATGCTGTCGATTACAATATTATCTACTAGTTTACCAAAGATTGGGATATTTGGTAAACATTTTGAATTTCACGGGTTGGAAATGGCCAGATAAGATATACCACATGATACAGAATCTATAAACTACAGTCATGATGAATCAAGTATAAATATGAGACAAATCCATCCATCCATTGTCTTCCCCTTAATCCATTTTTGGGTCAGAGCTGCAACCCAATTCACAGAGCACCATGCCCTCACTGATCCTCCTGCAGGTGGTGAGGAGGCAAATGTAACTAGGTAAATACTGTATATAAACTGAAATGTGTCTTTGCATTTGTAGGTACACAATTTTCTTTCAGAATTAAATTTTTAAAATGACTTAATTGGAAACATAGTGATAGTGGGACCTGACTTCAAAGTGACAGAGTAAGATCAGTACGCTCCCACACCTTAAGAATTCGTATAAAATTGCATCAATAGGCCAACAGGCGTGTGTTTTCAGTGAGTCGTGGCCATTGCTCATTCACCTGGATGGCTTCATGAGTCTCCAGCAGCTCTCTGGGGTGGTACACAGCGTACATGGTCAGGCTGACCAAGTTAGTCCCAAGAAGACAGTAGAAGTAAGGAGGGAACAGTTTACTCTGCACAACTCCAAAAGTGTGCCGACTGACCTGCCGCACCAGGGAAAAACCTAAGGACAAATAACATAGAAATTATTCATATTATTGAAACCTTTGTGAATGAATCTATCATAGTCACCTGCAATGAATGTGACCCAGAGCTGCATGCCCCAAGTGAAGGACAGTACGAGCAGGTGGAGGACTTTCACCAGGTCAGTGGGCTCACCCTCAGTCGCCATGTTTTCTAGTTCAGAAGGAAAATTAGTTCAAATTAGAGCCTGATGTTTTACAATTAAAAGTAATTTGGCCATACACTACCCTACTCTACTAAAGACAATGTCTCATATCTATACTTGATTAAAGACCTTGTCTTTAATTGATTCCTGCTTGGCCCTGGTTCTAACCAGACCGAGCAGGTACTAAAGTGTTACTGGTAATGACAGAGTGCTGCTGGAAGCCATGGTTACCAAGGAATTTCGTGTACTGTTTTAGTGGCAGGTGCATTTGTGGACATATCCATTTGTGGACTTGTGAAGTCTTAGTGGTGACTAACAAATTAATCATTGTGACCTAAACTAGGGTCAACTCTGGACAGAGCTTGCAGAGCCTTTGACAAGGCTTGCATCATTCATTGGATCATAGTGTATTAATAAACAATAGATATTATTGACGTTTTATTTCTTTTATACTTCCATTAATTTGCTGGAAATTAATACTGACTTTGAATATATGGGCCATTTCAGAAGGAGGCCTCCATGATTAAACCAAATGACACAAAATGTGTTTACTATCACAGACCCAGCCGTGGGCGGTACAGACAGGGCTCAGAGATAAGGGTTACGTTACGTATACAGTTGAAGCATGAGTTGTATGGACTAATACCACCGGCAATGTTTATATTAACTTTGCTAACAAAATACTTGACCCACCTTTGTTATGTGTAATAGGCATAGATGTAATAATACCATGAACGGGAGAAACTACAGTGTCATAACAGTGTAGCCATGCACTTGCAGCTAACAGCTACAGCTGTTCGAAAGTTCTGTGTTTTAAAATGATCTCGAGCCCACAGAGACTGCCCCAGATGTATATCCTACCCATAGATGCATGGTCTTACCTGAGGGAAAGAAGACTTCTACCTTTAAGCCGAAACACGAGACAAATAAGATACAAAAACAGAGCGAGGTTAGAAAGCTGCACTTCCTGCGGGGGTTGTTTTGAAACACGGTCCCGCCTTCACGACATCAGCAGCCAATCCACTGGTTCGTATAATAATGTAGTAGTAGTAGCAGTACCATGGAGTAGTCAGTCAGATATGTTTACAAAACAGGTATACTGGGACATACTGAAATATACTGAAACAGGTAGACTGAGACATGCATATGAGACATTCGAAATAAGACTGGTATATTAGATATTTCTACTCATACATTATGAGACAGGTATCATACTGCATACCATACATGTGCGTGCATAGAATGAACACATCGTTACAGAGCAGTAGAAACAGCAAATAAAAGACCGAAGAGGAGTAGACTGAAGTGCTTATTTGGCCTACCCTATTTACAGTCTAATTAGTATAAGTAAATAAGTACATAGACTGAACAGCTGCGTAACGGCAACAGAATAAACAAATTACAAAAGGCGGGATCTTTTGTAAAGTAGAGCAGTCATTGGTTTCTTTTATGTGATGATGAGCCAATCACGAGCCGACCTGATTCCGCATTAGCCAATCAGCAGCGACGTTGTAGCCGCGGCATCATCCAGCCAGCGGAACAGAACAGCGGAAAACAAGAGCATCTTTTTGTGATTTTTACGGACACTTCCAGAAAGAAACCTTTAGGTAATCCTCCATGCGTTTGGTTATGTTGTGCATTACGTGATAAATGTCCCCCGTGTTCCATCTCAGTGCATATCCTTTCTTTACGTCGCGCTTAGACTGCTAGCTCATAGTTAGCGTTCTTGTGTTTGTGTAACATCTGTTTTTGCAGTGTTCCAGGACACAAACATCACATCTTACCCGTCTGAGCAGTTTATCCCATTTCGCTGAAGCCACATTGTAATGTTTATATGTTGTGTATCCATCTGACAGGCAAGAATGGGCCGCAGGAAGTCAAAGAGAAAGCCTCCTCCAAAGAAAAAAATGACTGGAAACCTGGACACCCAATTTACCTGTCCTTTCTGCAACCACGAGAAGTCCTGCGATGTCAAAATGTGAGTTTAGCTGAGTAAAAATATCTGTTATTAATGTCATTTACGATATAACGTGTTTCTCCATAGGGAAAGAACACGAAACACCGGCATTATATCATGCAGTGTTTGTTTGGAGGAGTTCCAGACCCCTATAACGTGTATCCTTTTACTATTGTGCTGGTGGCTCCATTCGCAGCCTCATTCTTTTTCACATGTGTTGTGTAATACTGTAGTAATGTAGTAATGCATGGGTTAGATAATACATGTTTGTATTAATTATAATACTGTTATAACAATTCACTGGCCACCTTACCTGCTGCTATCATTACTATTGTTTATCTGGTCATATTCTCTGCTGATAAAGAACCAACCATCTGTAAATGTGAAACCTCATGAATGCTGCTGACTACAGAGTATACTCCACAAGTCACTTACTGAATCATTGACACAAGTGCAAATATACCTTTATCTTAAATGATATATCCTGTTTGATAGGTGCTCTTATTTCTTCTTCTATTCAACTGTAGTGTTTAAACTATGACAGAGAAATTTTGCCACTGAAGGATGAATGAATTTTACCTTAAAATAAAATTAGTGGTCCAGGGGTCAATATTAAGATTAATAGATAATTTATTCATCCCACAGTGGGGACATTTCAGTGTTGCATTATCGGTTACAGAGCTGTAGGAATGAGGAGCACACAAGTTTAGCATAATAAAGTAGCAAGTAACCTGTTATTTACAACGTTGTTTTTTATCACTAGTAGCCTATTTCTTTAACATGCTGCCCACATTGATTTTATAACATAGAAATACTGAATTATTCAAGCACAAGCAAACATATTAATGCTGGTTCAAAGCTTATCCGATGTACTGTGGACTGCCTTTAGTGCATATCCTGTGTCTTATACAATCCTTATTCCTTAACCATGTGATGTGCAGATCTGTCAGAACCAGTGGATGTTTACAGCGACTGGATCGATGCTTGTGAAGCCGCCAATCAGTAGTGTCATGTTTCACTCCACCTCATCGTTAGACTTTTCACATATTGGTCACACATCATGACAACGGACTTTAAACAAAACTAGATAGATTTTAGTTTCCTGGATCGGAGAACTGTCTTCATAATCCGATCTCACATCATGGCTGAACAATTTTGTCTCCCTTCAACTGTATAGTGTGTCTTTGTGTGCCATCCATTCAATCATTCATTCATAATCTCTGTAGATTTACCTACAAGAGACTTTGACTGCCTCACCCAGAATAGGGCCAAAAGCACCCAATGTCAACACAGGCCTCATATTGTGTTCAGGTATTTGTTACGGTATTATATGGAAGATTCATCTATTATTATTCTTTAAAATGACAATTATGTGTTTGATAATCGACTTACTTATATTCCTTTAGCTAATTATCGTTTTCCTTTTTAGCTGTCAATGTTTTACTCATTTTACTTTCCCTTTTTCACACACTGACTTTTTGTATAAATTAAATTACAATATTAAAATGAACAATCTTTTATAGTTGAAGTGTTTTATTGCACAAATGCCAGGTTTAGTGATGGACATACAAAAGATTGTCATTCACACCAAGTCTCTCATCACTAATGGGAAATATTATTCAATATAAAACATGTATAATTTATTTTAAAAAGCTATGTTTTATGAATGAATATTTCAAACATGAATGTTATTTAATTCATACAGACAGGGGGCAGAACTATCTTACAACACTAGATGGCGTACAACAACAACATAAGTTTAGTTGGACTCTGCAAACAATGAATTACACGTTAGTATACAGTATTGTGGACATTGACAGGGATAACACCCTAAAACACACGATACATTCAAGACGTTCGGTGGGTTTGGCGTTTAAAGCAACGCTGAAGCCACAATCTGCTTCTTCGCTGTTACTTGCACACGAGTGAGGAACGAGAGGAGAGAGACGTATAAAACTTAACAAAACCAGAAACTCAAACACGGTCAATTATGTCTCTCATATTCAACCCAGACATATCTTAACATGCTAAACAAACAAACATTTGCCCTGCGCAGTAGAATAATCTCGTAGTGAACTGAATCACTACAACATACAAAAGAAAAATTGTATGAATCATTAGTACCATCTTGATTTAGTATGTACCATATATCACTGTGAATGTGCCATGGAAATCAAGCTCTAAAAAGGCAAGTATAAAAGCACTACAAAAATGTATAAATAGCAATTATTATAAAACATTCATTTGGCTATTATGAAGCAAAACACAAACTGTCAAGGAATTTCATCTCAAAAGAGTTGGCCAAACTTCTGTTAAAAATATGTTTACGCTAGAAACTGTGGGAAGGGAATCAACAATGACGTCAATGAGTTAAATAAAAAGTCTCAGTGGTGACAGTGGTGTTGGATCGTTTGAAGCAAAAAAAAAAATGTAGAAGGAGGTTTTCAATCAGAGTACTGGTTATAGCCATCGAACTCCAGCACGTCGCCGTTGTCATAGAAGTTTTCGGTTGGGTTGGTGCAGTACTTGTTGTCGTATACTTGGCGAGGCAGGCCGTAGGTGGACATGCCCTGCTGAGAGGCCACTTTGTTGGTGCCCATCTGCAGGGAGATGGTGGAGGTGTCACAGTTCTCCAGCTCCAGCTTCTTGTCAAAGATGTGCCGCCGGGTTCCTGGTGCCGTCATGCCGGCCTGCCAGGGGAAAAGGAAGGGTAAAGAAATCAATGCGTTTCACATATTTCACATTTTAACGATAGCCTCATGGCACTTGTACTTGTGGGAAGCTCAAGGGAATTGACCGATAGAGACTTGTACTTCTATGACATCACAGCTGCTATATATACTGTGATTTTTCTTGCCCTTTGTCTATCATTTCTTTTATTGATTTTGATCTATTGCTTGTAAAGATTCAAGGATATATCACAGATTCGCATAACATATCTGAAAAAACTCTGGAGCCACCAAGATGCAGGTTACATCTTGTTACATAAACAGATGGATTTATAGTTGCTGTTACTTATATGCAAAGTGAAATTGTGATCCATGAATCCCCACGGTACAAAAGGGTTTTGACAGTGCTGGTGCCCACCTGGCTGGCGCCCTTGTTGGTTCCCATCTGCAGACTGATTGTGGACTGGTCCATAGGAGCATCCATGGCAATCTTTGCATCATAGAGATGACGTCGTGTGCCATAGGAGGTCATGCCCTTTTGGCTCGCCAGCTTGTTGGTCCCCATCTACAGAACAAATGTTACTTATTAATCATTATTATAAACTATTTGTAAAATTAACTAAAGGGCAATCACATCAACTCGTCAAGATTAATACAGAAACAAAAACTACCAGCTTTTATTTATGTCTAGGGTATTGGCAGTTGTCTTTTTAAGTCATTAGTCATTTGAAATTTAATCAGACTTTGATTCCACTTTAAAATCAAACATGATAACTACAAATGGGGTTTAAAAGTATGTTAAAAATCTAAATAGTGCACATCCGTAACCATCTTCTGACCTGCAGACCAATGACATTCCGTCCTTCTTTGAGCTTTTCAGGAGCAAATCTCCGCTGTTGTTTTTCTGCGTACTTCACTCCAACGTCATACTTGGAATGGACCCCCTTGGACTTGGCCTGAACCAGAAAAAAAAAAGTGTGGTTTTAAAGAATGCAATGGCTTCACAGTCGAACCTACAAACATGACACTAAGGCATGCAGCTCACCATTCCAGCCAGAGTGAGGAGGGTGGACTGGACCTGAGTGTGGTTGACGTTCTCAAACAAATCATTGGCCTCGAAGATGTCATGAGGCTTCAGGCCGTACTCTGTGATGCCACGCACAAAATTCCCGATGTTCTCCAACTGCGAAATGAAAGAGGAAAATCTAATTATCCGGGGGAAATGGAATATTTGTTTTCTTTTGCTAAGAGTACTGGACAATCTTTACTGGAATCCTTGTCATTCCCTCTGAAGGCCATTTGAAGTGTGTGTGTATATATGTACGTGAGTGGGTCTGTGTGTGATCCCAGCTTCCAAATGGAACTTTAAAGTGAAGGTCAGTTACTCTCTCAGAAGATTAACAGATATTTTTTTTAAACAAGTCCCAGTTAGACCCGCCCCCACAGGTTCCTGATTGGATGCCATTAATTCAAATCCTTTAAATTGGCCAGCTGAGGCCCCTTCCAATTGGCTTAACTATTCTCCTCCAGCAAATGTTATGGCTGATGGTTATTCCAAGGAAAGGGAGTTTTAAATGTATTTATTATGAAAAAATACTTAATACAGATGCTACAGGGTTCTTATATTTTTCAACATCATCTTAACAGTAAAATAATGCATCTGATTTTTATCTATGAATAACAATATGCAAGCAAAGTTCAATCAAACAATTAGAACAGACATACAGTTGAAATGCTCAGTAAAGCACAGATGACGACTGGATCAACAATAGTTCTGTGTTTGTAGAGCTCATTAGTTGTGTGGCCTCTTGTGAGATTCCTGAATTAGGCTCTCCAAGAACTATGCCACTGAGAATTCTCATCAGGCTTTCAAGTCTAACTATTAAAATCCTTGTTTATATTTTCTGCCTTGTAAAGGACCAATAAACGGAGCGGTAAAATTGACTTGCATAGAAATGATGGCCATAAAGAGGTTTATCAGTCCCTGTAAAGCCGTCCTAGAACAGTGAGAGTTGTTCCGCCCGACAGCGCTCGTTTCGTACCTTGTGCCAGTTTTGATTGGAGGGGTTGATCTTTCGCACAGAGCCAGGCTGCAGAGCGTTTATAAGTCTGCAAAAAAAAAAAGGAGGACGGTAAAAGCTCCGTCAGTGGAGATTGTTTAAAAAGATGCAGTGTTTGTTTTACAGTGATCTAAATCAACATACTATCACAGGCAGGTCAAACTCAGGCTCGAGGGCCACATTTTTAAGACAATTTTTAATGGCCCCTACAATTATTTTCAATTATTATTATCAAAATTGCAGCACTGATGGTAATGGGCTACCAAGGCATGTCATACATCATCTATTACCTCAGGAAAACAACCAATTTTATTCATTCTAGAATTTTGACCCAATACATCATTAGAAGTTCAAGGCATATAGGAGGATATTACCAAATTTTAGGAAAGAACCGTCTTGACTTTTTGAAAAGTTGTTTGACAAGCATGTATCACCAAAATGTCAATTAGGAAGATCAATAGTCTCGATGATCCCCCCCGGAAGTAGAATATATACCTTTAAACAGTTGAATATAAGACAATGGGTTTATTGTTTAGATTTAACCAAAACTGGACCAAGTATAAGTTAAACACATTTAGTTTTAAACAGAAAAGAATAGTGAAACTTCAGTCAACATAATGTAAAAAAAAAACCCATAATAACCCATAATAACCCTTCTATTCTTTTGGCCCCAGACCAGTTCCTCCTTTTTTATCCGGTCCCCAAATAAAAAATTGGACACAGCTACTTACTCGCACAGTATCACTCCGTCTTTGAGGCTGTCCATGAAGTTGTCCCCGATCCTATGGCCGGTCACCTCCTCGATCCATAACCGGAGCTCTTCTTCCTTTTGGGGGTCGTACTTCCCTGCCAACTGAGAAACACAAATACAGTTCAGTAAGCACATGGTTTGTTACGGCAGCAGTAAGTAATCTTTATCTATATAGCACATTTTTACAGACCGAGGCCATCCAAAGCACTTTATAATGTTCAGAGTTCAGATACTTTCCCAGTTACTCTACATTTCTATTTGTACATTTATTTATATATTTATTATCTCTCGCTTTATTTGCCATGCTGATCTGTTCCTCAATGTCCAACTTATGAAACACAGATGCTCAAATATAGACGAACATGACGGAAGCGAGATACTGAAGCCACTAGCAAATCTTTCATACTTTATTGTAAATATTTTTAGTTGTAGAGGATACCGGAGCACCTGGAGGAAACTTACGCAGAGAGAACATGTAAATTCCACTCAGAAAGGCCCTATTCCAACCGGGATTCGAACCCAGGACCTTCTTACTGAGAAGCGAAAGTGCTAACCACTCAGCCACTATTGAATGGAATAGTTTGATATTAGTGAGAGGGCGTGAGGCTCGGTCTTATTAATATAATCCTATACATTTTTACTACAAAAATGCACAACAACCTTTTAAATGGGTCAAAGGAAAATAAAAAGCAAGTTGAATGAAATAACCAGCTCACTCCAGAAAACAACGTCAAGACAGATGTTGAAAATCAAAAACGGAAAACACACATTTCCCATTTTTTTCCCCCCCAAGTTTTAATTCTTGGGGAAGACAAAGAGCAATACACATACTGCAAAAAAAGAAAGAGTGAAACCCTTTGAAAAAAAGCACCTGCCCTTTCTCACCCCATCTGCCTCCTGATTGGACAAACTTTATTCAAGCTCATCATTGGTTTATCTATTCTCCTCTAGCAAATCTTACTGGTTGTAGTTATGCCAAGAAGAGGAAGCATTTTAAATATATGATTGTTGAAAAATACCAATATAATATACATTATTTTCAACAATGTTATATTGCTGACATCACCTTTAACACAAATGTCAATGCGTTTTAAAATGCTTTACTTGCTTTATTCTTTACATATGTTCTGATAACATTTCTATAGAATGTAATCCTGCTATAGATATACACGTTATGTTAGGTTTGTACTAAAATGTGCAATAAAATGTGAGAACAACATTAAAACACTGCTGCTTCAGGCCAATGCAAAAGCGTATGTCCTATTAGATCCCGCTGTGAAGTATGGACACTGTAAAGTTTTACAACATTGGGTTAGCACAACACTACATCTCCCATAGATACAGATCTCGCCCGAGGAAACGACCAGCTTCATATGTGGGATTTTGTTACTAAAATAAGTCTCTCATAATAGAAGACAATCTTACTGTATGGAGCATTGGACCATATTGGCTAATAAAACAGCAGAGATAGAGTGCATAAAAATAACAGGAGAAATGAAAAACGCCTATGGCCATTCCTGCCCGACTGTCATGATTGTAGAATGCAATGGAAAACAAAACTGCAGTCCTTCTCTTCACTGTAAAGAACTATTTCCTAATCATTCATGACTAATGTTTTTTCAGTGAGGTATAAAAGTAACATTTGTTCTCACTTCCACACCAAAAGCTACTCTCACTGTAGCCTCCCCAAACAGGGACAGAAAGGCCAAAGAATTAGTCCAATTGTCAATTATTAGCCAAGGTCTTTTTTTAATCAAGAGCTCCACTTCCTGTCCCATCCCCAGTCAGAACAAGGCTGTAGTTTGGAGATCAACCATTATCATATAGAAATGACAATGGTTGATCACCTATATACTATGTAAAATATAAGGTGGCTTGGAAAAGTATCCATACCCGATGAAAGTTGTGATAATGAGGTATGAAAACATTTTGAAAATATTGCACAATGTTTGGATGAGGACACACAAATAGGTTATCCTTTCACCATGAACCAATAAAGTAGTGCTGTCAAAATTATGTATTGGTCTTTCCCATTTTGCTCTGGCTGACATAAAATATCACCTATTCAAATGTATTCCCTCGAATTATAATCATGTGTTAAAATGTGCACTGTGAGGCTATAACTAAACACCTACTCACATTTTTTATAAGCGACACACACACGTACACACACGTTTAACCATAATTCTGTGCAGATAACTCTTCTTAGTCTGGGATCAGCAGCCGCCAACAAAAGCATGCATTTCAAAAGGAGCCGGGTTTACATAGCCTCCACTCCATCACACCAAACTAGGGAGAAACAGCCTTTCCAAACGTGCTCCCCTCCCCCTCCCTCTCTCCCTCCTCCTCCCTCCTCCTCCCTCCTCCTTCCTCCTCCTCCCTCCTCCTCCCTCCTCCTCCCTCCTCCTCCCTCCTCCTCCCTCCTCCTCCCTCCTCCTCCTCCCTCCTCCCTCCTCCTCCCTCCTCCTCCTCCCTCCTCCTCCTCCCTCCTCCTCCTCCCTCAGAGCTCCTTGTCCGGCCTGGCTCGCTCCCCTCACTGGACCCGCTCATGTTTCACCCTCTCACTCCCGTTCCTGGGTTTGCTCAAAATCTAACCTTATACAGAGACTATTCAAGCAGAACGCCGCTGATAAAGAAAGGCCAATGGAGACAGCCTTACTTCCAGGCATTTCAAACTTCGTTACAGATTTTTAAATGACAGGTAAATAGGCGTGACATAGATTCAATGTTACCATGTTAATGCAAAAAGTATAGACACAGCTTTGTGATAACACAGAGGTCCAAGTCATTAGATTCAAAGCATTTAGTAGATTTACACAGTATGAAAAAACAAAAACAAAAGAGCCCTTTGATATCAATGTATTTAGCTTGACTTACTTAAACCTACTTTTGATGGCAGGGAGTCTTGTTGTCATAATTGTCTCAAAAAAAGCAGAATGTGTAAAATGACACATTTAATATCTACTAGTCCCTCAACCTGTGAAAAGAATTGGACTAAACATCAACAGTCACCAGCTAATTGAACATTTAGAATAAAATAAGTGTACAGCACTAGGGGTGGGGACCTAAGGGTACCTCACGATACGATACGATACACGATACAAAGCTCACAATAACGATAATATCACGATAACGATATTACGATAACGATTTTATCACGATATGACGATTATTGATATATTGGTCAGAAATATACAATATGCCAATATATGACATAAATAAAAGAAAAAAATACTCTTTATTTCATGATAAATAGAATGGAGATGCGTAATGTAGCCATATATTAAGTATTGATACCAATTCAAAAAAAAAAAAGTAAAAAAATAAAAATAAATAAAAACTTTTTTTTTTTTTTTTCAAAATCGATATCGATACTTGGCAAATGCATATCGATAATCGAATCGCGGGAGAAAGTATCGTCACACCCTATACAGCACATGATTGAATAAGAAGCAACAAGCAAAAATACAGTTTAAAAAAATCCCTGCTCACTAATTTACTCTTATCTAATCTAGAAATATGATATGAAAAGAAGTGAATGCTGATTCTGTGTACTGCCACAGAGACAGGACAAATAGATTTGGTTGGTGTGAGGATCTACTCACATAAAAGATAAAAGTAATTGTCTGATCATGCTGCTGAATCAACTTGTAATGCAATTTGTGGCAGAATCTCTGCATCGCTGAATGACAGCTTTACTCAGCCAACAACGGTTGGTGGCCTGATCCCAGCCTGCACCAGAGAATGTTGAGTACTGCAGTAGTTGAGGCCGTGCAGGTAAAGAGGCTTTACTCATAATCATTACTTTAGTGCTAAATGATATAAATATGGTATGGAATTTCCTTATAGCTCCGGCGTCACCAGTGGGACATGTACCACAGTTTGAAACAACTGCAGTGTCCTTAAGCAAGACACTTTATGATTCATTATTATTAGACCTTCTTACACCAGACCTTCTAAGACCAGACAAGCAAAACAAGAACATTTTATGGGACACTCAGACACACAGCACTCAGTACACTGCTGCCCTGGGGCAGACTTACAAAAAAGGCTGCCAGTCTGAGCCATCGGGCCCTGCGACCACCACCAATCATTCACACACACACACACTGGTAGGCGATGAGGGTGAAGTGTCTTGCTACACAACAACAGTTTGTACAGCCATCCCACTGTGGCCCCTGGAGTTCCCATAGGTCTCCCATCACAGCACTAACCAGGCCTTGCCCTGTTTAACTTTTAAGTGGCTCTACGTGAAGGAGTAAGGAACAGATTTCTTTTCTGGACTTGAATATTTATTTCATTCTGAGATTGTATGAAGCCCTTCGTAAATCCGTTTCAAAAAGGTGCTATACAAATCCCATATTATTAAATGGTTCCGTGATGTAAAATATGCCATCAGGTAGACGCCATTATTCATCAAGTATAGAGCAAAACAGCAGGAGACCACAGTCTGCAGCCTACAGTCCTGTGGCCGGAGCAAAATGCACCAATGGTCACCACTGTGGCCAGAGTGACCCCCACTGAACACCTCGGGAGAAAATTGTTAATTGCCTTTTGATTTTGTAATTGAATACATAACTTGAAATCCCACCAGATTGGTTTTACCTAAAAATAGCCTAAAGATAAAAGCATGTTTATAAAATGGTTTTATTGCACTGAAAAAAGTAAACAAACTTACTGGGAGCAGACTTGCATCTCCCCAAATGGACTCATACTGGTCCTAAATATGGTACTCTATAATTCAATGGAATCACAGTGACCAGTACCAACTTATGTGACATCACCTCGGACAACAATGATCCATTTCAGTAATCGTACAAATCTTGATGTAGCTCCTAAAGCATACACCTGAAGCAGTAAATAACCGGCCTTGTTCATAACCACATGTAAAACTTAAAGGTTGTCTGCAACATTTCACACTGGAGCTTAAAGACAATAGGTCGACCTGAGGCGGTTTTTTCTTGTTCCTATATAAGGCAGATCAGTGAAACAGGACAATAGAGTATGATTATTTGTTTGAAGGGCAATGGCACGTCCCCAGCGTCACGTCCCATCTGCTGCTTTCTGTCAGAGCAGTGTTTTGTTCTCTGAGACGTCCATGTAAACTGTTTATGGCGGCGCACGGAGAGGAGGCCTTAAAAGGCAGAGGAGCTGACTGATGTACCTGACACTGGCCTGCTGCATCCCTGCTGCTCTGAACTCACACTCATGGAATGTGCTACTTACAATGGGGACATACATCATATGTGCACTGACAACGGTACAACCACAGGACGAGAGAGAAGCGGCCTTCCTCATCCATCAGAATCTAGAGTGTACCTGTGCTGTCCCTGTTCTCTTTTTGAGCAGACATTTTGAAATCATTGGCAGTAATGATTCCACTCTACGCACGCAGACTTTGGACTTATTTCAGTTTGCAATCTCACCTTTAAAAGCATTTCTATAACAGCTGATTTGGTTATGGGAGAATATGATGTAAATATGATTGATATTTAGGTAAATAAATGAGTTTTTTGTATTGACTTACAATTCGTTCACAAATTGCACTTTTACTTTTCTTACCAATTTCTTTGTACCTTGTCTGAGCCAATCAATTAATTCCCTTGTTGTTGCATTGTTCTGGATCTACAGTCTGTCCATCTGTGGGAGCGGATTCCTCTCTCAAGTGGATCTCCCCGAGTTTAATCACTTTTCCCCACTTGGTTTTTGTGTCAATCCTTTATGATGCACTAGGGTTTTAGGACAGTGGTGATGATCCAGGCCTCATTGTTCCCTAAGCTCCAGCCTCAGCTCTGACGCAGCCCGGTCTACCTGGAAATGAGTCAAAGTTCTGGGACCGCTGTGTATTTTCTCCTCATGTGTTTACATGATTGAGAGGCGCACGATAACGGCCCGGACTTAGACCAGAGCATGTGCTAAATAAGACCACAAACAGGAATGTGTATGAGGGGACATGCCACTATAGAGTGAAGACACCAAAACCAAGCCCCCCCTCCCCAAAAACCCAAGTGGAATAAACAAGGAAATCGTACAATATAAACTTGGATGTATCGCTTTTAGACATGGCACTCGTTTGTGACCATGTGTCGTAAGTTCCACAGTATTCTTTGCTCAAATCCCCTCCCCTCATTCAGTTGCTCCTCCACAGATCTGACCTGTAACTGGGCCAGGGGCGTCACCTTCTCGCCTCCATGTGAAAAAGAGACAGTGAAATAGGGATAATGCATCTTGGTGAGGTCCCATACAGGATTCAGAAACAAAAAAAAATAAAAAAAAAGGAGAGATTGACTCCAGGAAAAATTCTTAATGAAATAGTCATTAACACTAGAACTCCTACAATTCTGAAACTACTAGAATATATTGAGAGCTCCCATTAAAATCAATGGAATTCGGAAAAATCAGCCCCAGAGTAGTGAAAAACTAAAACTTAGTGATTCATTTTTTTTTTTTTAAATCTTTAATCTTTAATACATGCTAAAACTGGGGAATACAGACAGTAAGACTAAATACTAATGGATGTAGGTCAACAGTGTGTATGGTCATAATTTCATAAACATAACTGCATAGAAAAAAACTGCATATACAGAAACAGTCACAAAGTAATGCAGACCAAGTATAAGCATTGTATTTACGCTTCCAAAACGAAAAGGGAGTTCTAGCGTTAACATAGGCTTGTATTTATGGATCACAGAATAACATTTTGAGTTTTGATATGGACTCATGGACCCAGGAACTTTCAGAGGCTTCTTGCTTTAGGGATGTGCATGTGACCACTTTCTTTCACATGCCATTGCAGCACAGTCACATGTCCCCACTGTCCAGAAGCACAGAGACTGATACAAGTACATTAATAGATCCAATGTACATCCTCTTACCTTGCTCTTGACCTCCGCGGACAGACCGAAGGACGGGCCGCTCCTGAAGTGTGTTGACATGCTGATAGCGCGCTGGACTCACGCACTGGGCCTTGGTCTTGATCTCGGTCTCTCTCTCTCACTCCAATCCGGGGATCACTCGCTCCTAAGTCCGGGACAGACCTCCGTGGCGTGGTGTGGCGTGCCTTTCACTCGTTCTGCTCACTTTACGACAGTTTCCCCAAATGTTTTAAACTCTTGCTACGCGTGCGCGCTCTGGTTGGCTCAGGGCACGGGCCAATCAGCGCGCTGCGTCCTCATCTGGAGTGATGTCATCGCTGCGGCATGGGCCTCTGGGTGTCAGTGTCACTCACTTTTTCCAGCTTCGGGCGAAAGAGAGAAGATGCTCCGGGCAGCCTGAGGAGGAGGGATGCAGGGGGCTGAGTGACGTCATTCCCAGGTTCACAGGGCTCCCGTTTACAGAGGATTATGGGAGAGATACTACCTGTTCTTTCCCTATTACAGGCAATGAGGAAGAAAATAAAAACTGAAGGAGGAGGAGGAATGGCAAACTTTTATGAGGCACAGAGACTATTCACTTGATGGCATGCTGTGTTTATATGTTTATCTTGCATGGTCTCTAACTTATTTATAGGCAGTAGTATTTTAACTTCAGAATCAGAATCAGAATCATTTTTATTGCCACGTAAGTAACAAACAAAGTTACCACTTTTTGAAATTGTTTTGGCAGAGAGCGTGCCACTTTGCCATTTACACTAGAATATACAGTAATATACAGTATGTCCTCACACGAATAAGGAGACTTATTAAATTAGATTTTATTTTATTTTAGTATAGAGTTATTGTTATTGTTCATTTATCTTTTGTTGTGTGCTCCTCATTCCTAATCTTCTGTAACTGATGATGCAACACTGAAATTGGACGAATAAAGGATCTCTTTGTTATGTGGTGAAAACAGAAGATGGACTCAAAATGTAAGACTGCCAAAAAATAAAAAATGAAAAACATAAAACATAAATAAATGACTAAATCCAAGATGAAACAGAACTCCAAACCAAGACCAAGACGAAACAGGGACAAAAACACAATGGACCAACAACAAGGGGAGAGGAGCACAGAGTTTAAATACACACAAGTACACATAGATACACACAGGTACACACAGGTACACACAGATACACACAGGTACACACAGGTACACACAGGTGAAACACAGGTGAAACACATCAGGGCGGGACAGGGATCAACTGAACAGAAAGCAACAATGAAAAGAACAAATATATCAAAATAAAACCAGGTAAAAGTGACCAAAAAGTTCACCCCATGACAACCTTAATCTACATCTGAAGTAGTAACCAACACTGGGCGACAAACAATAGGTTGAGTTATATGTTTTTATCATATTGAATGAAAGTGTTGTGAAATACATGTGACAAAAATAGAGTTTGGTTGTAGTGACAGTGAGGAGCCGGTGAGGAGCTTGTGAGGAGCTGGTGAGGAGCTGGTGAGGAGCAGGTGAGGAGCCGGTGAGGAGCCAGTGAGAAGCCGGTGAGGAGCCGGTGAGGAGCCAGTGAGGAGCCAGTGAGGAGCTGGTGAGGAGCAGGTGAGGAGCTGGTGAGGAGTAGGTGAGGAGCCGGTGAGGAGCCGGTGAGGAGCTGGTGAGGAGCAGGTGAGGAGCTGGTGAGGAGCAGGTGAGGAGCCGGTGAGGAGCAGGTGAGGAGCCAGTGAGGAGCCGGTGAGGAGCTGGTGAGGAGCAGGTGAGGAGCCAGTGAGGAGCCGGTGAGGAGCAGGTGAGGAGCAGGTGAGGAGCAGGTGAGGAGCCGGTGAGGAGCCGGTGAGGAGCTGGTGAGGAGCTGGTGAGGAGCAGGTGAGGAGCTGGTGAGGAGCAGGTGAGGAGCAGGTGAGGAGCCGGTGAGGAGCCGGTGAGGAGCTGGTGAGGAGCTGGTGAGGAGCAGGTGAGGAGCTGGTGAGGAGCAGGTGAGGAGCCGGTGAGGAGCCGGTGAGGAGCTGGTGAGGAGCAGGTGAGGAGCCAGTGAGGAGCCGGTGAGGAGCTGGTGAGGAGCAGGTGAGGAGCCGGTGAGGAGCCGGTGAGGAGCCGGTGAGGAGCCGGTGAGGAGCCGGTCCACTCTGTGTCTGTGACGTACAAGTCCCACATGAGTCACAGCAGCTTTGATCCACAGCTCATGTGTTGGAACAATCTGGAACATCCTGTGTCGGGAGTAAGAGATGGAGCTGCTGAATGAAGTGGACAAAAGCAGGGCACAAATGTCACATGCCTGGACACAGTCTGTTTCCTGGCAACAAAGCATAGTGGTCCAATCACAGATGAGAATAATTAGTGTGGTGCAATGTTCTGCACCAGAGACTTCCACCGAACAGAGCCATGACCTGTCACCGCAGAAACATCCTCGAGTCATGGATACACATGAAACATATGACACACGTCTCCTGCTGCAATCTGCTCAACAGAAGCACTCATCAGGTTTAGTCTTGTGGTCTTACACTATACATATAAACAGTTATATAAACATAAACTTAACTAGACATTTGTATACTTTAAACATATACAGTAAATATGTATATATACACACATATACTGTAGCACATATACTGTGTAGGACTATGTAACTTTTGTCATTCCAAATGTCAACGTTTGTGCGCTGTAAAAGAACGGAGGCGCTCTAATGGAATGCAGATTTGATCTATTACATGTGACACATAAAGCCTGAATCGTCAAAGGGGCTTTGAAGGTAACATTAGAATACAGTAAAATAAAACAAAGATTCAAATGAGCTGAGGGATGATAAATATCCTACAATACAAGGAAAGCCTTTATTTAACCTCTGTGCAGAGAGAATGTACCTGAATATAAAGTAAACAGCAGGAGTTTAGAGCGTGGAGAAGCTCCAGCGTCTGTTAGCTGTCAGGAAAGTCTATTATCTCATGTCTGTTGAGCTTTGCTGCTGTGAGCAGTTTTTAGAGGAATTGTAGTTTGCCCTCTAACTGCTTTAAAAAAGTTATTATGTCTTTAAGTTTATTTGTTAGGCACATTCTCTCATGGACAAAAATGAGAGAATCATGTGATGCTAATTCTGCTTCCTTTGCTTCCTCATCTCGAGAGCACAATATTAAATGTGAACATATAATCATTCCCATTCTATTTTTAGGTACGAACAAATCCTCATTCAAATGTTGGGGCTAAATATAGGTTGCACTTGTTGACCTTGTGTCTGGACACAGATCAAAGATGGAAACATAATTTAAAATCACATTTGACATCATGTCCTTTTAACTCAGCCACATGATGAGGGTCTCACAGAGCCTCCAGACCACAGACCTACTGTATGTTCAGGCTTATAAAAACAGTATTTTGAAGTCATTACTACAATAAAATTATTGGAATTATTACAGTAATAATACTAATAAAATAAAATAATAATAATAGCCCTTAAAGTTCCTTTGGGCAGTTCTGGAATTCTGACAATGAGTCAGAGTGACGATAATAACATGGAAGCAGATATTTGTACTTAATGAGTGAGTTCATTCATGGCCCCATGGGACCTCCTGTAACAAAGTATTCAGAGGATCATCTTCTAATCATCTCCCAGGAACATCGTAGAATGCACTCTTTATTTGGTCATGAGGCAGATGGTGCGATGTTCTATCAGAGAGAAATCCCTCACTCTAAAAATACTGGAGAGGGAATTGTTGAGTGCAGCGTGCCGCCTTTGTCACTGTTTATATTGGCTCCCGCTCAGACTGGTTCACAAATAATGCTACTGTGGCTGATGCTCGCTGACTGTGGATGGCAGAGCTGTTAAAGAACAATAGAGAGGTTTGTGTAAAGCACAGTCTGTAAATCTGCCACTGACAGCTGCAGTGTGGAGGAACACATACTGCACATGTTTAGTTAGGAGTGAAGAGGCAACAACTCAATGATCACATTCAAGTTTACCTCACTTTTATTTGGTTTCATAAATACATCAGAGCACAACACGGCGTCTTCATGTTAGGGAAAACATGTTAGATTATTATGCACTCTGCAAAATGTGATGAAAAATAATTGTACCTTAATCTGAGCACATTTTGATTTAAAACAATTTTTGAAGAAATGTCTCCTGTGGAATGAGAAAATAAAGCTTGAAAAAGACTAAATGGCTTTGTCCCATTGGCAAACATTTTTTTTTTTACGACAGTCAGAATGTACTCATATTACAATAAAATTCACTCAATCCAAGCAATTATTACATTTTACAATATCTTATCCTTGTTTGCAGTGCACTATGGGACTCTTTGGGCTGCGAGCTGATTAGTTGAATGAAGGTGATTTTATCTTTTCAACATTTCTGTCTGAGAAAACTGATCTAAAGATGATCCTGAAATACACGCTGGTGAGAAGTAGTGGTAGAATCAAACTGTTATGAGCGCGAGGAACTATGGTCACATGGATTTTTCATTTTATGACATCGTAAATTTTGATCCTGCATCTTAAGACCCCACACTGTTATGATGAATATTATAAACAGGAATGAATGTAACTTACTGGCCTAATGCAAAAAGCTTATCTGGGAAAAAATATGTATGTATTGAGAATTTAACGCAGGAACAACAATAATAATAATAATAATAATAGTACATAATTCCAGTTTGAATAAGGAGTGCTGAAGTCCATCTTAAATATAATTTTTCTTTTAATTTGTGCATATTTAAGAAAGGGCCAGGCAACATAAGATTATTTCTTCTTTCTGCTCCTTTTCATGTGTGACAGAACTAGTTATTTGAAATGTAATTTTACAATGTGATGTATTGTAATGTCCACAAGTGAAATAAATGAATAAAAATAAATACATGAAAATAAATAAATACAAATACATATACAAATTAAATACAAATAAATGCAAAAAAATGGATACAAAATGAGTAATCAATTATAAAAAGTTGTGCTCCTTGACCATCTCTTTCCCACACAGAAGCAGAGACATCGAACAGCTAATTATCACTTCTTTCTTGATACAACAAACTATTAAGGTGAAAACATATTGAAGGATTGATTGGCAACTTGCACTTGCGGCACAGCAGGAAAGAGAAAGTGGCAACAAACAAAAAGAACAAATCGTGCTTTATTTAAAAAAACAAAACAAACAAAAAAAACAGTTCAGCTCGACAAAATGAGAAAAACAAATCAAAAACGTTACACCGTGAACTCGTGACATTAAGAGAATCGCTGAAGAGTGGAAAACAAGAGAGAATTGGCACCACTCAGGTTCAATATCTGTGCGCACTCGAAAACGCATGGGGTGCTGGGAAAACAAATACCAAAAAAAACCCAAAAACAGCTATTGCTAGAATCGAGCCATGACTATTATAATAATGTTTTCTCCCAAACGAGGAGAGCCATCGTTCGTTGAGTTATATCGAGTTTGATGTGAGGCAAGAAATGGGAGACGACAGATCAGGAGAAGTCAATAAAGGACATTTGGAGAGACTAGACGGCGCATTATGAAGGAACACACAGATCTTTTACACTTAACCTCCTCGTACCGCACTGTCTGCCTATTTATGGAATACAGAAGGCGTCGGGATCACGGGAGCTCCTCTGGATGACATCACTGCTGCCTCCTGAGCACGCATGGACAGACCGAGGAGGTGGACGGCCATTTTTTTGATCCAGTTTAACAAACACACACTTATAGAGCTGTCGTCTGCAGCTTGAGTTTCACGTAGAATCCCTTTAACCCTTTGTGCTTACCCTAGAAACGCCACACATGATTCAAAGTAGAAGAAAAACAACCCCTAAACTATTGGTCCTAACAAATTTCTAAATGAGCCAAAGGTGGTCAAGTTGGGAAAAAGGCATAAAAATTCAGCTTGCATATTTTTTACACTGGCAGGTCATAACAAATACCTGTAATTGTTTTAATTGATGGGTGTAGTCTGTAAACCTGTAATTTTTAATGTATTTTTATCTGTTTGCCGTTTGCTGCCTCTTGACCACGACTCCCTTGAAAAAGAGGTTCTTAATCTCAAAGGGATTTTTCCTGGTAAAATAAAGGTAAAATAAAATAATAGTAATAATAATTTGACTCAAGGATAGCGCAAGGGTGAAGTGCTTTAATAGAATGCAACCAAAGTTAACATTATTTGCATTAAAGTTGAGGTACCTGCCTGTCAAACCCAGTGGGGGAGGGTCCCAGCTCAAAAGTGGCCAAAATGACGTGCGCTGCAATACCACCCCGGGCCGATGGGGGTGGACCCAGAAGTAGAATTAGCCAATGCTAACATATAGCATTGGCAGACCTCTCAAAAACGTCTTTACAGGATGGACCAAAAGTTGGCTCTTGTCAATGCTGAGGGGAGTGAATTTTTTTGGACCACTCTAGTTTACTTGCTGTGAATTTTTGAAGTCTCTCGTTCAAATGAATGGAGTTGCGCCGGCTGACGCATGCGCAGATGCGCTTTTCACAATTTTCTTGTGGGCGGGACGACTCGCTGCCATTTTGGAATGCTCACACCACATTTTTTGGCCCATTAGTTAGAACGGCGGAGATAGGCGTGACTCTGTCCATTAATATATACAGTCTATGGTCAAACCACACAAACAGAAAAACCCAAACTTAACTCATGGACTGCCAGCCGTTTTTGATGATTTTTTTTCAAGACCCACAGTACATTGTGTGCTATGACTATGTGAAATATGAAACCAGATTCTGAAAGACTGGACTGTCCACTTTCATCAGCAAAAATATGTTGGTTTCTAGCTGGTTTTGTTCTCCTGTAATCGCCAGTCGAAAAGAAGGAAGTTGGACAGAAATCACCGGCCTTAGACAAATACGACAATGACAGTTAATGAGTTAATTAATCAAACGTTCAGAACAGTCTTGTTTATTTCTAATGTTACTAATAACCTTTGTTTAATATATGTCGCCTTTGTTGGTAGGTTTGCATAGGTTTCCTCTAGGTGCTCCGGTTTCCCTTGCCACTAAAATCATGCACTATAGGTCTGAATGCATTGAGTGAGTGAATGGATGTGTTGGTTGGGGCTTTGATGCTCCAGTGTGTTCGGCGTCTCGCTTCCGTCATCACCGTGTTTGGAGAGATCTCTGGACCAAAAATATCTGGATTTTCAACAATTGTAAAGCACTTTGGGTGTGCTTGGTCTGTGAAATGTGTTATATAAATAAAGATTACTTACTTTAACAAGGAAAGCGCCGCTGAGATTTCAGAGACTTTTTTCCAAGTGTGAGTGAGGTCCCAGACAGGAGTGGGGTCAGGGAGGTTGTTTTTTGTGGTAGGGGAAACCGGAGCACCCAGAGGAGATCATGCAGACAGGGAGAACATGCAAACTCCACACAGAATGGCCCTGTAGAGGGAATCCAAACTGAAGCACAACCGCTAACCACTGCCGCCCGTTTGATTGTGATATTTCAAATACATTTATTGTTTCGGCTTTTCCAGACAGAAAAGTACAAAAGTGAAAAAACAAGGATTCGGCCAATTCAGCCAATCAGCGCTCAGCCTGAAGCGTTGAGTGACTCAGGGCTCTACTTCTATAAAATGCAAAATATTACATTTTTAAATAAGACGTATTCACAATATTTTACCAAACTCCTTCTGTTGGGACAAACACAATGTATTATTTATGAAGAAGAAAAAGTTGAGTTTTCTAACATTTAGAAAGAATGACCCTAATCCTGCCTGTCTGTGTCCCTAAGGCTTTTTGCGCGAACAAAAACATTTTTTTTTGGCAAGTATGAATATAATTTTATGCACTCATTCATTGGAGCAGAAAGTAGAATTTATACATTCATCATATTTTGCCTATACTGTACATATTGTATCCTGAGACACTGATATATAATATACAGTGCCTTGCGAAAGTATTCGGCCCCTTGAACCTTTCAACATTTTGCCACATTTCAGGCTTCAAACATAAAGATATAAAAATTTAAAAAATTGTCAAGAATCAACAACAAGTGGGACACAATCGTGAAGTGGAACGAAATTTATTGGATAATTTAAACTTTTTTAACAAATAAAAAACTGAAAAGTGGGGCCCCCTTGCGCTAATACTTTGTAGCGCCACCTGCAAGTCGCTTGGGGTATGTCTCTATCAGTTTTGCACATCGATAGACTGGAATTCTTTCCCATTCTTCCTTGCAAAACAGCTCGAGCTGGAGAGCGTTTGTGAACAGCAGTCTTCAGCTCTTTCCACAGATTCTCGATTGGATTCAGGTCTGGACTTTGACTTGGCCATTCTAACACCTGGATACGTCTATTTGAGAACCATTCCATTGTAGATTTGGCTTTATGTTTGGATCATTGTCCTGTTGGAAGATAAATCTCCGTCCCAGTCTCAGGTCTTTTGCAGACTCCAACAGGTTTTCTTCCAGAATGGTCCTGTATTTGGCTCCATCCATCTTCCCATAAATTTTAGCCATCTTCCCTGTCCCTGCTGAAGAAAAGCAGGCCCAAAGCATGATGCTGCCACCACCATGTTTGACAGTGGGGATGGTGTGTTTAGGGTGATGAGCTGTGTTGCTTTTACGCCAAACATATCGTTTTGCATTGTGGCCAAAAAGTTTGATTTTGGTTTCATCTGCCCAGAGCACCTTCTTCCACATGTTTGGTGTGTCTCCCAGGTGGCTTGTGGCAAACTTTAAGAGACTTTTTATGGATATCTTTGAGAAATGGCCACTCTTCCATAAAGGCCAGATTTGTGCAGAGCACGACTGATTGTTGTCCTATGGACAGACTCTCCCACCTCAGCTGTAGTTATCTGCAGTTCATCCAGAGCGATCATGGGCCTCTTGGCTGCATCTCTGATCAGTCTTCTCCTTGTTTGAGATGAAAGTTTGGAGGGACGGCCGGGTCTTGGTAGATTTGCAGTGGTCTGATACTCCTTCCATTTCAATATAATTGCTTGCACAGTGCTCCTTGAGATGTTTAAAGCTTGGGAAATCTTTTTGTATCCAAATCCGGCTTTAAACTTCTCCACAACAGTATCTCGGACCTGTCTGGTGTGTTCCTTTGTCTTCATGGTTCTCTCTGCGCTTTAAACAGAACCCTGAGACTATCAAAGAGCAGGTGCATTTATACGGAGACTTGATTACACACAGGTGCATTCTATTTATCATCATCAGTCATTTAGGACAACATTGGATCATTCAAAGATCCTCACTGAACTTCTGGACTGAGTTTTCTGCACTGAAAGTAAAGGGGCCGAATAATTTTGCACGCCCCACTTTTCAGTTTTTTATTTGTTAAAAAAGTTTAAATTATCCAATAAATTTCGTTCCACTTCACGATTGTGTCCCACTTGTTGTTGATTCATGACAAAAAATTTAAATTTTATATCTTTATGTTTGAAGACTGAAATGTGGCGACATGTTGAAAGGGTCAAGGGGGCCGAATACTTTCGAAAGGCACTGTAAGTATGGTAGTGTTTGCATATAACCACAGCACATCGAGTATCACCTCGATGCTAAACATAGAGCAGCTAGCATGAACGTTAGCCTCAGTGCAAAGACCAACATCCAAGCCACACTCCACCAGGTGACTGCTTTAAGGACCAGAGGAACTAAGCCCATGTCTGAACAAATAACCAGTGGCCAGGCTCACTGGATTGCACTCGACTGTAGAACACTTCTACTGGTGGAAGATAAGAGCCTGCAAAATATATTATATTTCTAAATATGCTAATGCTACACTTATTGGAGAAAGTTGCACTGGTCTGTTAGACTCGGCTGGACAAAAATATAAGATTTAGTTGCTTATGCGTCTCTTTAGAGTCATTGAAAAAAAATACTTCTTACTGTTCAGACACCAAATAATGTGTAATTAAATGCAATTCATTTTGAATAATTCATTACACAGCCTCTAATCAATTATCTCAATAAAGGTGTGTAGCTTTTATCTTCAAACCTGTGTGCGTGTACACGTGGGTGTGTGTGCGTGTACACGTGTGTGTGTTTGTGTGCGTGTGTGTGTGTGCATGTACACATGTGTAAGTGTGTGTGTGTGTGCATGTACACAAGTGTAAGTGTGTGTGTGTGTGCATGTACACATGTGTAAGTGTGTGTGTGTGCGCGCGTGTGCAGTGATGGGAATAACGGCGTCTTTTTCCAGTAACGAGTAATTTAATTAATTACTTTGACTGGAACTATAACACCGTTATCATTTCCGACGTCCCGTTACTGCGCGTTACTCAAGTCGCACAATGAACCTCTCTTTTTACTTTGTGATAGGACTCGTGCGCGTGTTGTCATGAGAGAAGGGAGGATGAGAAAACCTCTCAGGTTTTTATTGGCTGATGTAAAACATATTTCCTTAACAATCTACATGTCTGCAGTTGAGAGGATGGCTAATAAATTGTGTTTTTGAAACAAATATGGGTCTTAGTCGCGCTAAACCACGGCTTGTATCACCGTGAGGCCTCAGAGGAGCGCATGTGAGCGCAGAAGTCGGCTGCATACAATTCCATCGAAAAGCTCCTTTCTCTTCCTGGTTTATCTGCTAAGGACAGCAACAGGTTTGGCTAACATACATGTAACACATTTTAAGATAATTTAAAATGCACTTAGGGTAATTTTTCAATGACTATAGGAATGATAAGAAAGAGAGGTGAAGTGGAAGAAGGTTAATTTTAGAAATTGGATGCACCCGGCTGCAGATAGCAAAACAGAGGAGTTTATGGAGGACACACGCGTTTTGTTTTGCTTTTTAAAACTCATTGGACTCATTTCCAAATGGAGGATTACATATCTACGCTCAAACTATTATCTGGACTTAAACACGGAACTGGTCTGAACCGAAGTGGCCTGTGCAGGTCATTTATAAGGTAAGACCCATAACTCATAGTTTTGCGTTTTGTATGAACAAACAATGCGGGCATGAAACATATTCTGCTGTAGCCAAACACACTGTGAATATGCCACTCTCTTGGTCCAGTTGATTTATATGATATATATGTTCATCTGATTGGGCTGAAGTCAGTGCTTCACCGGTGTTTCCACATTCACAGTGGCGGGTGTTGGTGTTTAGTGCTTACAGCACAGAGAGAGATGGAGAGTGAACAGGACTTAAGCAGCAAAACAGCCATTTCCAGATGGAAATATTGGAACTATTTCAATCTCACTGAGGTTAAAGGTAAAAATGTGCACGTCGAGTGCACATTATGTTCCAGAACAAAACAAAAAAGAAACGCAATAGTTACTTTTACTGGTAACTAGTGACTTTTAGTGGAGTAACTCCGTTACTTTTTGGGGGAAGAAACTAGTAACTATAACTAATTACTTTTTCAAAGTAACGTGCCCAACACTGCGTGTGTGTGCCTGTACACATGTGTGTGTGTGTGTGTGTGTGTGTGTGTGTATTTCTCACACCTTGCTTTTGCCTTAGTCTGGACCCTCCTCACTCTGGATTTGTTGCTGGACTCCTGATCCACAGGTCGATCAGCAGGAGTCTTCCGCCTCATCCTTCCCTTCTTCCCCCGCCGCATTATCCTAAAAGCAGAAAGAAACAAGACACAGATTTTCTAATGAGTCAAACCTGGACATGGAAGTACGACCAAACCTTTCTCCATTGAATGAAATGCATTATTTCTGTGTTGTATTTACTCATCAAGTCAAGGATCATATCTATAATGATTACACATTTCAAACTAAATATTCAATATTTGGATGGTCAGAACCTACTTAAAGCTTTCTTATAACAGAAATCTGAATGGCTAACTATGATGCATAAACATTTGACCAGTCCCCAGCTCAGATAAGCACAACACAAAACATAACAAAACTCTGAACTCATCTGACAGTGAATAAACAAACCTCTGTAATTTCTCAGGGTCACAGAGTGGGAGCGATGACGAGCCTGGGAGACAGTCTAGGTCTGGGATCGGGGCCGGACTGGACTCCTGCTTCTCGGGAATCGGACTGAATGAAACCAAAGATAATATTGGATTAGATTGTGTTCAAACTTAAGCACAAGTATTTTAAATAAAACATTAAAGAGTCATATACCTTGTTTCCTGCTCACAGCCGCTTGTATTGCTGTTGGAGTCCTGCTTTACACACGGCACATGCGGAGTCTTCTGCACCAGCTTCTTCCTCCTGAAGACATGAGACACACACATTGAAAAGAAGAGATATAATTAGTGTCGGGACTTTAACGCATTCATTGGAGGAATTAATTACACATAAACAACATGCAACAGTTTGCACGGCGGAACCTTTCTGCATGGGATGGGTTTCAGCGGACCAATGGGAAATGTTATAAGATTGAACTGATGGAAGCGTCAATATAAGTATGGTAGTGTTTGCATATAACCACAGCACATCGAGTATCACCTCGATGCTAAACATAGAGCAGCTAGCATGAACGTTAGCCTCAGTGCAAAGACCAACATCCAAGCCACACTCCACCAGGTGACTGCTTTAAGGACCAGAGGAACTAAGCCCATGTCTGAACAAATAACCAGTGGCCAGGCTCACTGGATTGCACTCGACTGTAGAACACTTCTACTGGTGGAAGATAAGAGCCTGCAAAATATATTATATTTCTAAATATGCTAATGCTACACTTATTGGAGAAAGTTGCACTGGTCTGTTAGACTCGGCTGGACAAAAATATAAGATTTAGTTGCTTATGCGTCTCTTTAGAGTCATTGAAAAAAAATACTTCTTACTGTTCAGAGACCAAATAATGTGTAATTAAATGCAATTCATTTTGAATAATTCATTACACAGCCTCTAATCAATTATCTCAATAAAGGTGTGTAGCTTTTATCTTCAAACCTGTGTGCGTGTACACGTGGGTGTGTGTGCGTGTACACGTGTGTGTGTTTGTGTGCGTGTGTGTGTGTGCATGTACACATGTGTGCGTGTGTGTGTGTGTGCATGTACACATGTGTAAGTGTGTGTGTGTGCGCGCGTGTGCAGTGATGGGAATAACGGCGTCTTTTTCCAGTAACGAGTAATTTAATTAATTACTTTGACTGGAACTATAACACCGTTATCATTTCCGACGTCCCGTTACTGCGCGTTACTCAAGTCGCACAATGAACCTCTCTTTTTACTTTGTGATAGGACTCGTGCGCGTGTTGTCATGAGAGAAGGGAGGATGAGAAAACCTCTCAGGTTTTTATTGGCTGATGTAAAACATATTTCCTTAACAATCTACATGTCTGCAGTTGAGAGGATGGTCATAAATTGTGTTTTTGAAACAAATATGGGTCTTAGTCGCGCTAAACCACGGCTTGTATCACCGTGAGGCCTCAGAGGAGCGCATGTGAGCGCAGAAGTCGGCTGCATACAATTCCATCGAAAAGCTCCTTTCTCTTCCTGGTTTATCTGCTAAGGACAGCAACAGGTTTGGCTAACATACATGTAACACATTTTAAGATATTTTAAAATGCACTTAGGGTAATTTTTCAATGACTATAGGAATGATAAGAAAGAGAGGTGAAGTGTAAGAAGGTTAATTTTAGAAATTGGATGCAGCCGGCTGCAGATAGCAAAACAGAGGAGTTTATGGAGGACACACGCGTTTTGTTTTGCTTTTTAAAACTCATTGGACTCATTTCCAAATGGAGGATTACATATCTACGCTCAAACTATTATCTGGACTTAAACACGGAACTGGTCTGAACCGAAGTGGCCTGTGCAGGTCATTTATAAGGTAAGACCCATAACTCATAGTTTTGCGTTTTGTATGAACAAACAATGCGGGCATGAAACATATTCTGCTGTAGCCAAACAAACTGTGAATATGCCACTCTCTTGGTCCAGTTGATTTATATGATATATATGTTCATCTGATTGGGCTGAAGTCAGTGCTTCACCGGTGTTTCCACATTCACAGTGGCGGGTGTTGGTGTTTAGTGCTTACAGCACAGAGAGAGATGGAGAGTGAACAGGACTTAAGCAGCAAAACAGCCATTTCCAGATGGAAATATTGGAACTATTTCAATCTCACTGAGGTTAAAGGTAAAAATGTGCACGTCGAGTGCACATTATGTTCCAGAACAAAACAAAAAAGAAACGCAATAGTTACTTTTACTGGTAACTAGTGACTTTTAGTGGAGTAACTCCGTTACTTTTTGGGGGAAGAAACTAGTAACTATAACTAATTACTTTTTCAAAGTAACGTGCCCAACACTGCGTGTGTGTGCCTGTACACATGTGTGTGTGTGTGTGTGTGTGTGTGTGTGTGTATTTCTCACACCTTGCTTTTGCCTTAGTCTGGACCCTCCTCACTCTGGATTTGTTGCTGGACTCCTGATCCACAGGTCGATCAGCAGGAGTCTTCCGCCTCATCCCTCCCTTCTTCCCCCGCCGCATTATCCTAAAAGCAGAAAGAAACAAGACACAGATTTTCTAATGAGTCAAACCTGGACGTGGAAGTACGACCAAACCTTTCTCCATTGAATGAAATGTATTATTTCTGTGTTGTATTTACTCATCAAGTCAAGGATCATATCTATAATGATTACACATTTCAAACTAAATATTCAATATTTGGATGGTCAGAACCTACTTAAAGCTTTCTTATAACAGAAATCTGAATGGCTAACTATGATGCATAAACATTTGACCAGTCCCCAGCTCAGATAAGAACAACACAAACATAACAAAACTCTGAACTCATCTGACAGTGAATAAACAAACCTCTGTAATTTCTCAGGGTCACAGAGTGGGAGCGATGACGAGCCTGGGAGACAGTCTAGGTCTGGGATCGGGGCCGGACTGGAATCCTGCTTCTCGGGAATCGGACTGAATGAAACCAAAGATAATATTGGATTAGATTGTGTTCAAACTTAAGCACAAGTATTTTAAATAAAACATTAAAGAGTCATATACCTTGTTTCCTGCTCACAGCCGCTTGTATTGCTGTTGGAGTCCTGCTTCACACACGGCACATGCGGAGTCTTCTTCACCAGCTTCTTCCTCCTGAAGACATGAGAAACACACATTGAATAGAAGAGATATAATTAGTGTCGGGACTTTAACGCATTCATTGGAGGAATTAATTACACATAAACAACATGCAACAGTTTGCACGGCGGAACCTTTCTGCATGGGATGAGTTTCAGCGGACCAATGGGAAATGTTATAAGATTGAACGGATGGAAGCGTCGATATAAGTATGGTAGTGTTTGCATATAACCACAGCACATCGAGTATCACCTCGATGCTAAACATAGAGCAGCTAGCATGAACGTTAGCCTCAGTGCAAAGACCAACATCCAAGCCACACTCCACCAGGTGACTGCTTTAAGGACCAGAGGAACTAAGCCCATGTCTGAACAAATAACCAGTGGCCAGGCTCACTGGATTGCACTCGACTGTAGAACACTTCTACTGGTGGAAGATAAGAGCCTGCAAAATATATTATATTTCTAAATATGCTAATGCTACACTTATTGGAGAAAGTTGCACTGGTCTGTTAGACTCGGCTGGACAAAAATATAAGATTTAGTTGCTTATGCGTCTCTTTAGAGTCATTGAAAAAAAATACTTCTTACTGTTCAGAGACCAAATAATATGTAATTAAATGCAATTCATTTTGAATAATTCATTACACAGCCTCTAATCAATTATCTCAATAAAGGTGTGTAGCTTTTATCTTCAAACCTGTGTGCGTGTACACGTGGGTGTGTGTGCGTGTACACGTGTGTGTTTGTGTGCGTGTGTGTGTGTGCATGTACACATGTGTAAGTGTGTGTGTGTGTGCATGTACACATGTGTAAGTGTGTGTGTGTGTGCATGTACACATGTGTAAGTGTGTGTGTGTGCGCGCGTGTGCAGTGATGGGAATAACAGCGTCTTTTTCCAGTAACGAGTAATTTAATTAATTACTTTGACTGGAACTATAACACCGTTATCATTTCCGACGTCCCGTTACTGCGCGTTACTCAAGTCGCACAATGAACCTCTCCTTTTACTTTGTGATAGGACTCGTGCGCGTGTTGTCATGAGAGAAGGGAGGATGAGAAAACCTCTCAGGTTTTTATTGGCTGATGTAAAACATATTTCCTTAACAATCTACATGTCTGCAGTTGAGAGGATGGCTAATAAATTGTGTTTTTGAAACAAATATGGGTCTTAGTCGCGCTAAACCACGGCTTGTATCACCGTGAGGCCTCAGAGGAGCGCATGTGAGCGCAGAAGTCGGCTGCATACAATTCCATCGAAAAGCTCCTTTCTCTTCCTGGTTTATCTGCTAAGGGCTGCATCAGGTTTGGCTAACATACATGTAACACATTTTAAGATAATTTAAAATGCACTTAGTGTAATTTTTCAATGACTATAGGAATGATAAGAAAGAGAGGTGAAGTGTAAGAAGGTTAATTTTAGAAATTGGATGCACCCGGCTGCAGCTAGCAAAACAGAGGAGTTTATGGAGGACACACGCGTTTTGTTTTGCTTTTTAATACTCATTGGACTCATTTCCAAATGGAGGATTACATATCTACGCTCAAACCATTAACTGGATTTAAACACGGAACTGGTCTGAACCGAAGTGGCCTGTGCAGGTCATTTATAAGGTAAGACCCATAACTCATAGTTTTGCGTTTTGTATGAACAAACAATGCGGGCATGAAACATATTCTGCTGTAGCCAAACAAACTGTGAATATGCCACTCTCTTGGTCCAGTTGATTTATATGATATATATGTTCATCTGATTGGGCTGAAGTCAGTGCTTCACCGGTGTTTCCACATTCACAGTGGCGGGTGTTGGTGTTTAGTGCTTACAGCACAGAGAGAGATGAAGAGTGAACAGGACTTAAGCAGCAAAACAGCCATTTCCAGATGGAAATATTGGAACTATTTCAATCTCACTGAGGTTAAAGGTAAAAATGTGCACGTCGAGTGCACATTATGTTCCAGAACAAAACAAAAAAGAAACGCAATAGTTACTTTTACTGGTAACTAGTGACTTTTAGTGGAGTAACTCCGTTACTTTTTGGGGGAAGAAACTAGTAACTATAACTAATTACTTTTTCAAAGTAACGTGCCCAACACTGCGTGTGTGTGCCTGTACACATGTGTGTGTGTGTGTGTGTGTGTGTGTGTGTATTTCTCACACCTTGCTTTTGCCTTAGTCTGGACCCTCCTCACTCTGGATTTGTTGCTGGACTCCTGATCCACAGGTCGATCAGCAGGAGTCTTCCGCCTCATCCCTCCCTTCTTCCCCCGCCGCATTATCCTAAAAGCAGAAAGAAACAAGACACAGATTTTCTAATGAGTCAAACCTGGACGTGGAAGTACGACCAAACCTTTCTCCATTGAATGAAATGTATTATTTCTGTGTTGTATTTACTCATCAAGTCAAGGATCAGATCTATAATGATTACACATTTCAAACTAAATATTCAATATTTGGATGGTCAGAACCTACTTAAAGCTTTCTTATAACAGAAATCTGAATGGCTAACTATGATGCATAAACATTTGACCAGTCCCCAGCTCAGATAAGAACAACACAAACATAACAAAACTCTGAACTCATCTGACAGTGAATAAACAAACCTCTGTAATTTCTCAGGGTCACAGAGTGGGAGCGATGACGAGCCTGGGAGACAGTCTAGGTCTGGGATCGGGGCCGGACTGGACTCCTGCTTCTCGGGAATCGGACTGAATGAAACCAAAGATAATATTGGATTAGATTGTGTTCAAACTGAAGCACAAGTATTTTAAATAAAACATTAAAGAGTCATATACCTTGTTTCCTGCTCACAGCCGCTTGTATTGCTGTTGGAGTCCTGCTTCACACACGGCACATGCGGAGTCTTCTTCACCAGCTTCTTCCTCCTGAAGACATGAGACACACACATTGAAAAGAAGAGATATAATTAGTGTCGGGACTTTAACGCATTCATTGGAGGAATTAATTACACATAAACAACATGCAACAGTTTGCACGGCGGAACCTTTCTGTATGGGATGAGTTTCAGCGGACCAATGGGAAATGTTATAAGATTGAACGGATGGAAGCGTCGATATAAGTATGGTAGTGTTTGCATATAACCACAGCACATCGAGTATCACCTCGATGCTAAACATAGAGCAGCTAGCATGAACGTTAGCCTCAGTGCAAAGATCAACATCCAAGCCACACTCCACCAGGTGACTGCTTTAAGGACCAGAGGAACTAAGCCCATGTCTGAACAAATAACCAGTGGCCAGGCTCACTGGATTGCACTCGACTGTAGAACACTTCTACTGGTGGAAGATAAGAGCCTGCAAAATATATTATATTTCTAAATATGCTAATGCTACACTTATTGGAGAAAGTTGCACTGGTCTGTTAGACTCGGCTGGACAAAAATATAAGATTTAGTTGCTTATGCGTCTCTTTAGAGTCATTGAAAAAAAATACTTCTTACTGTTCAGAGACCAAATAATGTGTAATTAAATGCAATTCATTTTGAATAATTCATTACACAGCCTCTAATCAATTATCTCAATAAAGGTGTGTAGCTTTTATCTTCAAACCTGTGTGCGTGTACACGTGGGTGTGTGTGCGTGTACACGTGTGTGTGTTTGTGTGCGTGTGTGTGTGTGCATGTACACATGTGTAAGTGTGTGTGTGTGCGCGCGTGTGCAGTGATGGGAATAACGGCGTCTTTTTCCAGTAACGAGTAATTTAATTAATTACTTTGACTGGAACTATAACACCGTTATCATTTCCGACGTCCCGTTACTGCGCGTTACTCAAGTCGCACAATGAACCTCTCTTTTTACTTTGTGATAGGACTCGTGCGCGTGTTGTCATGAGAGAAGGGAGGATGAGAAAACCTCTCAGGTTTTTATTGGCTGATGTAAAACATATTTCCTTAACAATCTACATGTCTGCAGTTGAGAGGATGGCTAATAAATTGTGTTTTTGAAACAAATATGGGTCTTAGTCGCGCTAAACCACGGCTTGTATCACCGTGAGGCCTCAGAGGAGCGCATGTGAGCGCAGAAGTCGGCTGCATACAATTCCATCGAAAAGCTCCTTTCTCTTCCTGGTTTATCTGCTAAGGGCTGCATCAGGTTTGGCTAACATACATGTAACACATTTTAAGATAATTTAAAATGCACTTAGTGTAATTTTTCAATGACTATAGGAATGATAAGAAAGAGAGATGAAGTGTAAGAAGGTTAATTTTAGAAATTGGATGCACCCGGCTGCAGCTAGCAAAACAGAGGAGTTTATGGAGGACACACGCGTTTTGTTTTGCTTTTTAATACTCATTGGACTCATTTCCAAATGGAGGATTACATATCTACGCTCAAACTATTATCTGGACTTAAACACGGAACTGGTCTGAACCGAAGTGGCCTGTGCAGGTCATTTATAAGGTAAGACCCATAACTCATAGTTTTGCGTTTTGTATGAACAAACAATGCGGACATGAAACATATTCTGCTGTAGCCAAACAAACTGTGAATATGCCACTCTCTTGGTCCAGTTGATTTATATGATATATATGTTCATCTGATTTGGCTGAAGTCAGTGCTTCACCGGTGTTTCCACATTCACAGTGGCGGGTGTTGGTGTTTAGTGCTTACAGCACAGAGAGAGATGGAGAGTGAACAGGACTTAAGCAGCAAAACAGCCATTTCCAGATGGAAATATTGGAACTATTTCAATCTCACTGAGGTTAAAGGTAAAAATGTGCACGTCGAGTGCACATTATGTTCCAGAACAAAACAAAAAAGAAACGCAATAGTTACTTTTACTGGTAACTAGTGACTTTTAGTGGAGTAACTCCGTTACTTTTTGGGGGAAGAAACTAGTATCCATCCATCCATCCATCCATCCATTTTCTTCCGCTTTATCCGTTGCCGGGTCGCGGGGGCAGCAGTCTAAGCAGAGACGACCAGACTTCCCTATCCACACACACTTCCTCCAGCTCATCCGGGGGGACCCCAAGGCGTTCCCAGGCCAGCTGAGAGACATAGTCCCTCCAGCGTGTCCTAGGTCTTCCGCGGGGCCTCCTCCCGGTGGGACGTGCCCGGAACACCTCCCCAGGGAGGCGTCCAGGAGGCATCCGGAACAGATGCCCGAGCCACCTCAACTGGTTCCTCTTGACGTGGAGAAGCAGCGGCTCTACTCCGAGCTCCTCCCGTGTGACTGAGCTCCTCACCCTATCTCTAAGGGAGCGCCCAGCCACTCTGCGGAGGAAGCTCATTTCGACCGCTTGTATCCGCGATCTCGTTCTTTCGGTCATTACCCAAAGCTCATAACCATAGGTGAGGGAGGGAACGAAGATTGACCGGTAAATTGAGAGCTTTGCCTTTCGGCTCAGCTCCCTCTTCACCACAACGGTCCGATACAGCGACCGCATAACTGCGCACTCTGCACCGATCCGCCTGTCAATCTCACGCTCCATTCTTCCCTCACTCGTGAACAAGACCCCGAGATACTTGAACTCCTCCACTTGAGGAAGGACCTCTCCACCCACCTGCAGAGGGCAAGGCACCTTTTTCCGGTCGAGCACCATGGCCTCGGATTTGGAGGTGCTGATTCTCATCCCAGCCGCTTCACACTCGGCTGCAAACCGCCCCAGTGCATGCTGCAGGTCCTGGTTCGTTGGAGCCAACAGGACAACATCGTCCGCAAACAGCAGAGATGAAATCCTGTGGTCTCCGAACCGGACCCCCTCCGACCCCTGGCTGCGCCTAGATATTCTGTCCATAAATACAGTGAACAGAACCGGTGACAAAGGGCAGCCCTGTCGGAGGCCAACATTCACCGGGAACAGGTCTGACTTACTGCCGGCAATGCGAACACAGCTCTGGCTCCGGTCATACAGGGATCGGATGGCCCTCTGCAGAGGACCTCCGACCCCGTACTCCCGGAGAACCCCCCAAAGGACACCCCGGGGAACACAGTCGAACGCCTTCTCCAAATCCACAAAGCACATGTGGACAGGTTGGGCGAACTCCCATGAACCCTCGAGTATCCGATGGAGAGTATAGAGCTGGTCCAGTGTTCCGCGACCGGGACGAAAATCACACTGCTCCTCCTGGATCCGAGATTCGACCATCGGCCGTAACCTCCTCTCCAGTACCTTGGAGTAGACCTTACCGGGGAGGCTGAGGAGTGTGATCCCACGATAATTGGAACACACCCTCCGGTCCCCCTTCTTGTAGAGAGGGACCACCACCCCGGTCTGCCACTCCATTGGCACTGCCCCCGATCGCCACGCGATGTTGCAGAGACGTGTCAGCCAAGACAGTCCTACAACATCCAGAGACTTTAGATAGTCAGGGCGGATCTCATCCACACCCGGAGCCTTGCCACCATGGAGGCTACCAACCACCTTGGTGACCTCAGCCAGGGAGATGGATGTACCCGCCCCAACATCCTCAGCCTCTGCCTCTGTAACGGAGGACGTGACGGGGGGATTGAGGAGAACCTCAAAGTATTCCTTCCACCGCCCGACAATATCCCCAGTCGAGGTCAGCAGCTCTCCACACGCACCGTACATGGTGCTGGCAAAGAACTGCTTCCCCCTCCTGAGGCGTCGGATGGTTTGCCAGAATCTCTTCGAGGCCGACCGATAGTCATGCTCCATGGACTCCATGGCGCTTTGCGTTGCCTTGTGTAGGAAAGGCGCTCTATAAATAAACGTTGATTGATTGATTGATTGATGGACTCTCCGAACTCCTCCCAGTCCCGGGTTTTTGCCTCTGCAACAGCCCGGGCCGCGGCACGCTTGGCTTGCCGGTACTGGACAGCTGCCTCAGGAGTCCCCCGAACCATCATGGCTCGATAGGACTCCTTCTTCAGCCTGACAGCATCCCTTACTGCCGGTGTCCACCACCGGGTTCGGGGGTTGCCGCCGGGACCAGCACCAGAGACCTTGCGACCACAGCTACGAGCCGCCGCATCGGCGATTGAGGCAGAGAACATGGTCCACTCGGACTCCATGTCCCCCTCCTCCGCCGGGACCTGGGAGAAACTCTCCCGGAGGTTTGAGTTGAAAGTCTGTCTGACAGGGGGCTCAGCGAGACGTTCCCAGCAGACCCTCACTATACACTTGGGTCTGCCAGGTCTGACCGGCTTCTTCCCCTGCCAGCGGATCCAACTCACGACCAGGTGATGATCGGTTGACAGCTCCGCCCCTCTCTTTACCCGAGTGTCCGAGACACGCGGTCGAAGGTCAGATGATACGACAACAAAGTCGATCATCGACCTCCGGCCTAGGGTGTCCTGGTGCCACGTGCACTGGTGGACACCCTTGTGCTCGAACATGGTGTTCGTGATGGACAAACCGCGACTGGCACAGAAGTCCAACAACTGAACACCGCTCGGGTTCAGATCAGGGGGGCCGCTCTTCCCGATCACCCCTCTCCAAGTGTCACTGGCGTTTCCCACATGGGCGTTGAAGTCCCCCAGGAGAATAACGGAGTCCCCGGGCGGTGCACCGTCCAGTACCCCTCCCAAGGACTCCAAGAAGGCCGGGTACTCTACACTGCCGTTAGGCCCGTAGGCCGTCACAACAGTGAGAGACTTGTCCCCCACCCGGAGGCGGAGGGACGCGACCCTCTCATTCACCGGGGAGAATTCCAACACGTGGCGGCTGAGATGGGGGGCAATGAGAATGGCCACCCCAGCTCGCCGCCTCTCCCCTCCAGAAAAGTGGAGCGTCCAACCCCTCTCAAAGGAGTTGGGTTCCAGAGCCCAAGCTGTGTGTGGAGGTGAGGCCGACTATCTCTAGTCGGTATCGCTCAACCTCCCCCACGAGCTCGGGCTCCTTCCCCCCCAGTGAGGTGACGTTCCACGTCACCGCACTGGGGGGGAAGGAGCGTCAAGAAACTAGTAACTATAACTAATTACTTTTTCAAAGTAACGTGCCCAACACTGCGTGTGTGTGCCTGTACACATGTGTGTGTGTGTGTGTGTGTGTGTGTGTGTATTTCTCACACCTTGCTTTTGCCTTAGTCTGGACCCTCCTCACTCTGGATTTGTTGCTGGACTCCTGATCCACAGGTCGATCAGCAGGAGTCTTCCGCCTCATCCCTCCCTTCTTCCCCCGCCGCATTATCCTAAAAGCAGAAAGAAACAAGACACAGATTTTCTAATGAGTCAAACCTGGACATGGAAGTACGACCAAACCTTTCTCCATTGAATGAAATGTATTATTTCTGTGTTGTATTTACTCATCAAGTCAAGGATCATATCTATAATGATTACACATTTCAAACTAAATATTCAATATTTGGATGGTCAGAACCTACTTAAAGCTTTCTTATAACAGAAATCTGAATGGCTAACTATGATGCATAAACATTTGACCAGTCCCCAGCTCAGATAAGCACAACACAAAACATAACAAAACTCTGAACTCATCTGACAGTGAATAAACAAACCTCTGTAATTTCTCAGGGTCACAGAGTGGGAGCGATGACGAGCCTGGGAGAGAGCCTAGGTCTGGGATCGGGACCAGGGTCGGAACCGGACTGGACTCCTGCTTCTCTGGAATCGGACTGAATGAAATCAAAGATAATATTGGATTAGATTGGACGCAAGCTCCCTCCCCCTTCCTTTCTGATTGGTCTACGCCTACGTTTCCGTAACAATCATTCCATCCATCCATCCATCCATTCTCTTCCCCTTAATCCATTTCTGGGTCGGGGGGGTGGCAGTCAGAGATGCCACCCACTAAATGATCAGACTGATGGGTTGCATTTGTACGTTTACTTTGCACTCTGTCATAAAACAGAACAGACATGTTGCTGCAGCCGTCACTATTTGTCGGCTCGCACTTATCTTAGCAGAGTATGTGGTTCACGAGTAGTCAAACATTACAGACAATATGGGCCAGAGAACTGTAGAGCAGTAAAGGCTGCTGTGGTCCATAGACTGTATATATTAACTGTGGTCGGACACTACTCTCTGAACTGCGTGAAGCGGAGAGAGCTGCGCACGGGCAGCCGTAAATGTGAAATGTCAGTGAAAATAGTATTTTACAGATATTGCTTATCCCATGTGAATTCACTGCAAAATCTCAGACGTCTTCGTGATTATCACAAATTGTCAGGGGTCCACAGGTAATACTGATCCAGTGCGAGTAAACAAACTTGTTTCACTTCCAGGTACGCCGAAATGTATTAAATACATAATAAAAAAGGTTATTATAATATGTATGTCTTATAAGCGATGAAAAAAAAAAAAATTTGTCATTTTTGTATATTGCTGTGTGCTTGAAAATGCAAAATAGGCTTTTTTTCAATTTTCCATTTCCCTTCAATAATAGAAAATGTATTGAACGCAAAAGTACACGGACCCAGAAGTTGGCTGTGCAACGTTATTTTCGTCTGGTTGGAGACAGCAGAAAGCAGGCTGGCCTCAAGCGAGTTAAGTCTTAAACTGAAAATGTGAGGAAATAGGCGGAGGCTGCATTTTTATATATTTCATTTTTGATTTTAATTTGAAAAAAACCATTGAACGAAAAATACACTGACCCCTTTTCATGTCATTATTTACAGACAAAAATAATTGTGGCTTTTGAAGATTTTTTTGAGCCAAAATAGATAACCTGAGTTATACATTTTTTCCGCCGCATTTTTAGGTCTCCATACGGTTCAAAAAAGTAAGTAAGTAAGTAAGTAAACTTTATCTATATAGCGCCCCTCACAGTCAAAAAAAGGCGTTGGATGAAGTAAATGTTTATTTGATACCAACCCCCAACACACACTGTTTTAACAATATCATTACAAACAGGAAAATCAATACTACCACCGATGGTATAAGACAGACAACACAAAACACACAACACTCTGACAACACACAGGCTCAAACACTCTCCGACCCTACACCTCTCTAACACTACTAATCTGTGCTCAAGGCATCACTCTGTTTCTTCCACATATTTCTTCCGTACATATTTTTTTAAACATTCTTTTAAATGTAATTAGGTTTGAGGATGTCTTTTATTCATTTGATAAAATCATTCTAAACAGCAGATCCACGAACTGAGGCGCACATTGATTTTTAAAGTAGTACTACATCTAGGCGACATACATTTTATTACTTCCTCTTAGTCTATAATGATTATCTCTATTATAGAATAGGTTCTGTAACTTAAATGGCAGTGAGTTTTCAGATGCCTGCAGGGTGCCCACCAACCCTTTCATTGATTGTTCTGTTTTGTGATAGGAGTGGTTAGGACACACCAATGGAGAACTGTGGCAAAGCCCAAACTTGTTCTACTTTGAAGAGTACCCTTCTCCTCTCGAAGTGCTGTCTGAGCTGCCTTCAAACCCCCTGCAGGGCCCGCCACTGCCCCCTAAAGGCAACAGGGAGGCTCAGCGCGAGAAGACTCAAGCAGACGTAGGGCTGCCACTGCAAAGGGAAGATTCTGCTCAGAGCGAGGATTGGACAACAAAGTCACATGATCGCTGGTTGATGGAGCGTCTACAAGCACTCCAGCAGCACCCCGTCCCATACTCACACGAGTCTCAGGACACGTATGTCACACTGAGCCACAACAACAACAGTGAGGACGGACAAGACGGGGTCCCAGTGGAGAATGTCCCTCTTGAGGTTCTGTTCACTTCAAGGAAACAGTCAGAATCTCACTCGGACTTAGGTTCTGGGTCGGGCCAGCTGTCATCCCTGTCCAGTTTTGAGTACTCAAATCAGGACTGGGCTCACAAACCACCTGGATACACCTACATGGCAGTGGCCGACTCTGGAGTATCCATGGACTACAGTCCCATGAACCGGCTGGAGGACATGGGGAGAGTACCTGTATTTACTCATGAGTATAAGAACGACATGGTTTTGAGGAAGGCCTTTCTGACCAGACAACATTCTGTCCATGATAACTTCTGAGCCAATACTGAGAATCTAAAACTTCTTTAGACCAACATGTCAGTGAGCTTTCTTTTAGTATATCACAGTAGTTACTGCGATAACTACTGCAAACAGTACTAACTATTGTGTCTCTGTCAGTATCTCAAAGTTTTCAGTCATTCATGCATTGACGAGACTGCTTTTTTAACTTTGCACTTTAAACCTTTCATTTCCATTCACAATATATTTTCAAAACATTTAGAAAGTATTTAATTCAGGTGCATAAACCTAACATGGCTACTACTTGACTGATTGGTAGCAGCTTGTCACATCATGAACAAGAAAATGTACAAAAAACAAAACAGAGTTGGTTAAAAAGACATGTTTAATGTTGACCCCCAACAAACTTCAGTGGGTGATTTGAAATACTAATGACATTTATAATGTTATGCATGACGCAAATGGGGTTTGTCTCAGTTTTGGAACGGCAAAAGTAGCCAGCAGCCTTTTCCCACTGTACCACATGCACCGTGAAAAGATCAGGCTTGAAGCTGCTCTGTGTGGAGCTTAGGACAAAAACTGTAAGACAAGAATAAGCTAAAACCCGGAGTCTACAAATTGTACATGTTTCATATCTGTACAGAATTTCTATTTTGTTATTTGTGAATAACTGTCATTTTGTTTTGCTTTTAAATGCCTTTTGTGTCACATTTATTTTTGACCACACATAAAATATTTGAGGGTCTAAGGTCAGTGATGATCTGGGACATTGGTCATCCCACTACCCTAGGGACCAATGGCTCTTCTGTGTTTGTTTTTATATTGCATTTCCTGTGTTCTAATTGTTTGTTCATCTGATCTGTTTTTGGCAAATCGTCAATTTTGTAAAAGTCCTCCTAAACGACTGCGATTGTGAATAGGGCTGTACAAAAATTTATTTAATTAAAACAATAAAATACTTTGAAACTCTGAACCACTCTCAATGGCCATGATGTTCATGAATTATTTTAGAATTTTGTTCACTTTTTAAAATTTTGTTAACCAAAATTACATTTAAATCCACCAACATTGAGTGAATAAATTCTCCAAACACATAGGAGTTGAAATAACATTTTATTTAAGTACCTCCTAAAAACATATGGTATAAATGTGTTGGTAAATGTGTTAACCAAAATAAGTCAAAAGAAAACTTTTAAAACAGTTTGACAAATGGTTGGATATAAATCAGTGTTTCTGAGCCTGTTCAAACTCCATTAATCCATCAGGTAATAGCAGAAGCCTCCACTCATGAAATGGATGCTCTTCTTTCTTTTCCGCACCATCCTTATGGGAAGTGTTTTTCATTCCTAGACAAGACAGATAAATGTTCCAAACCTGTTGGAGCCCACCTGACGTTGACTCGTAACTACTGTCCTGGTCCAACGTGCACCGAACCTGGAAATATCGATCGAGAACATCCAAAACAGGGTAAGCTGAGCTCTCCCCTCCCTTTGGCTCAGTGTGTCCTTGTGGCTGGAAGGAGGCAACAAGGCGACAGAGAGTGTGAGGAGACCCTTGTTTCTTTGACCGCTGGGTTAGGAAGGAGGCAGTGTCACAGAGCAGAGCAGAAAGGTGAGCAGCAGAAGACTGTTCACTGGTATTAAATGCACTGGAAGAGGCAGCTGCAGGGGCACATAAGTAATGCTCCAACCCGTCCACTATGATCAGTGCAGGGGGCGAATGGGGCAGAGACTCATGAAGACCTGCCACCTGGACAAGCAGCTCTTGCAGGGTGCGAGGGTAGCAGAACTTGATTTTCTAGAAAGGAGAAAAAAGATGATAAGTGATAGAATTATAGACAACAAAACCTTATTGATTTAAGTAGTTACTTTTGTAACTGGTTCCATATTTTGTAATTCACATGCAATTTTATGAAAACTCTGGTGCCTAGAGTTAATAGCTATTCAGTTTCTATTCACCTAGTGTGGTTGAGTGTCTCCGTTGTGACACAAATAAATGTCATCTCAAAAGTTATTAAGTCCCTGTACCTTGAGAGCGTCAGGAGTCACAGTCGGGACCCGCCTCTGCAGTGCCACCGGGAGGCTCTGAATCTGAGTGTGAGTAAGGAAGACCACCCTGAGGCCGCTCTCAGAGGCAGCAGTCACCGCGGCCAGCAGCAGCACGGAGCGGCTCAGACTGTGGCCCCCGACCATCAGAGCACTGGGAGCCGAGTCAACAGAAGACCCTTCAGTTACCACCGACCCACTCCGCCGCGCAAATGTTTTGAACACAAGCAACAAGACGTCTGTCATCATTTATTTTTAACAAAATACATAAAAAATTGTTTTGCCAATCAACGACTGTAATGTTCAAACGTGAAGCCCATACACAGCAGTTTGTGGAGAAGCTGTTTGATTCTATCGCGGTTGTTTACGTATGCACGCTGGTGTTCGTCTAAAGCAGCCCCCCGCCCCAAATGACATGTCTTTAGTTCCTACCTAGTTGGATTTATGCAAGTATGATTCAAAAATATATAATATTGCTAGACATATTATCCACCACAATATTACCTAATAATTTGTTATTCTTTTTACCCCTTTACATTTGCTTTCTGGTGTAGAGAACCCATGAGAGAGCCGCACTTCTTTTTAGCTCGCGATTTCCGCTACGTCATCACAACATCAGCTGTAGCCAAGATGGCGCACACAGAGGCAGAGGCTGCGGACACTTTCTGCACTGATCCAGAGCATGGAACAGGAGGGTACAGGCGCAGCAGAGGCCGACCGAGACTCACGGACTCAGACAGAGCTAGGAGGCGACACGAGTCCCGGAAGAAATATGACGTGAGGAGAGTTTATCTCGGAGAAGCGCATAAAGTGTGGAGTGAGCTCCGCCGCAGGACCAGTCTGAGTGATGCTGGGCTGGCAGAGTACCTGATCCTGCTCCACTCTTCTCATGAAGAGAGCGGCCAAGACAAGCTTTGTGTGTAAGTCTGCACAGCGTTGTTGCTTCCAACCTGGCTATTTTGTCGCTTCCTGTCATTGCCTAAGTATATGTTGTTTATTTAGGGAACAGACTGGAGAAGACATCTCGTCAGCCCAGAAAAATGGTAATTATAACCATTACTATTATTTATTTACTATGGTTGATTGATATATCATCATATCTGTTCTGTTTGCATAACTGCTTGGCATTGTGTTTGCAGACAGTGCAGGCTGTTTGTCAAGCTTACAAGGTCTTGTCCAATGGTACCAGGAGCACTGTGATATCTGTCCCCTTGAGCCTCAGCTCAGGTCTCTGGAGGGTCAACCAGACTCGTCCATAATAGTTCTATGGCAATGTGACTCTGGGCACTCCTTATCTCAGTGCCTGTACCCCCCACATGCTGCTGAGGCCAGTGATGGTGAGCAGGACGAGGAGGCACACACAGAGGTAGCTCAGGAGATTACTGCAGTGAAGGCTGTATCAAAAGTTAAAAAGTCTGTGGGCAGAAAGAGACGAAAACGGACTCGAAGAAAAGCCAGAGGTACAATCTGAATGCAAAAATGTTTTGTCTTTCCTTATTTTTGCTATAATTTTAATATTTAGGTATCAGTTGAGTTGTCCATAGATTTTTTGATACACAACTTATTTTTTATTTTATTTATGTTATTTTTTCAGCTGTGGAAGAAAATGATCCTGTTGAAAATATGCAACACAACTCTTATCCCAATGAACACATTCCACCTGTCTCTCCTGAAATGCCCAGGGGTGTATCAGAGACAGAGCTGCCCTCAGCCTGGGACATGGAGGGTTCCCCTGGTGCTTTTCATTCTGAGGACGATTGTGAAAATGCAAGAGCTCCTGAAGACGAAGAAATGGACTCAATCAGGAACGAGCCGGATGCATACCAGTGTGTGTCTTTGGTGAATAAAGTGGACAGCATTAACGACGAATCGATACTGAGTGGAACTGTGCCTCTACCAATGCATTTACAAGACCCAAGCACACTCTATGACCCTCAAAGCCTGCAAACAATTGTCAACTGTGAGATTCCAGACCAGAGGAGTGGACTTGAAGCTTCACAGGTAAAATTGATAGTTTGTTTGTAGGGAAGGGACACAGAATATCCATGAGATTAAGAAATTGGGTCCTCTCCCAAGATATGATAGTTATGAAATTTCCCCACTGTGGGGCGATTCTTAATCTCTTAATTAATTATGCTACAGTGAGTGTTATTTGTACTATTATTTATACAAAGTTTAATAAAAAATAAAATATTATCTATTCTTAATACCTTTTTATGGCGGGCGACAGTGGCTCAGTTGGTAGAGCATTGGCCTTTGGGCCTGAAGGTCGTGGGTTCGAGCCCACCATAAGACCTACTTCACGACTCCCACTGATGACTGCTGTCGTTGTGTCCTTGGGCAAGACACTAAACCCTACTTTGCCTGAAGCCTCCACTGAAAGATCTCAGCTCCTGTGGACTCACCACCTGCAGGAGGATCAGTGAGGGGCTGGTGCTCTGTGAACTGGGTGCAGCTCTAACTGCCACCCCCCCCGACCCAGATTAAGGGGAAGAAAATGGATGGATGCATGGAATACCTTTTGATGTGTTATAACATTTAAACATTTGTGGTTTGTAACTCTACATCCTTTCAAATCTTTCATATTACAAACACTTGCTTAGTAAGTGTATAAAGTATAAGACACTAACGTATTAAAACATGTGTTCCTCTCGTTTCTTATGCCTGCAGTTGATTATCATCACTGGCCCCAGCTATGAGGCTTTAGCTTCAGAGGGAATTCAGCTTAACATGACCGATGGAGCCAACATGGAGGAGGTCACGTGCACTGTCATTGGAAACGTATCCTACAATCAGATCTTTCCACTGGATACAAAAGCCCGGATGCACCAGGACCAGTTTGCACCAGGTGAGAAGGCTAAATGTGTTTTTGTCAAGCACAAGTACAATAGTACTAGTAGATATGTTTTATTATCACATAATTACCTTTAATTTCCTTTGTGGATAGTTCATATCCAGTTACATCACTATGTGGCAACTTACATTTTCCCATTTCAAGTGTTGACATTTACTGCTGGGACAGAACCCCGGGTAAATCTTTATAGTTATTCATCAAATAACTATAAACCGTCAAATGAATAAAATGTTATTCAAATTAATACAATTTTAATACATGCTGAGTTCTAAAATGGAATCCCTTCATCTATGTTTCAAATTCATGCACAAGAAAAACGATGACTGTTTAAACATTCATTCAACAATAAATACGTTGAATGGATTTTATATGTTATATAATGGATTTACTTTGTGGTTTCTATGATGACATTCTCCCTGTTGTGTGCATGAATGCTTGGGCTACTAATCTGTACCCCTTATATCTAACTATGTTACAGTGAAATGAGCAGTCTAACTAATCATATGGACTGTTGTAGATCTGAGCGATCAACAGTTGCATTTGAAGAATGAAGACTCTCAAGAGAGTCCTGACCAACGACCACACAGAAGCAGGTTTGTCAGTCATTTACTTGTATGTGAAAGCCAGATCCCGTCAGACCTCTGAAGCTGTGCTTGGCCGGTCCTGGTTAGTACTGAAATGGGAGACCTCTGGGGACATCAGGTGCCACCGTGGGTCAGCTGCGCCTTAAAGTGACAAGCTGTTGTGTTCATAGCCGAGACATTTCACCCACATTGCCTATAATGAGTCTGATGTGTGTGATTGGTTGGTGGTGGTTGGTGGTGGTTGCCTCGCTTCTGTCAGTGTGCCCCAGGGCAGCTGTGATTCCAGTATTAATTTATGTGTAGCGTCTTTGAGTGTCCTGAAAAGCGCTATATAAAATCAATGCATTTTTGGTTTCCCCATTTGGCCAACTGTCTCAATATCAAATAGTATACATAACAACAGGAGTTCAATTCTAAAATTCTAAATTCATTGATGATGAAAGCTATATCTTGATAACAAGATGGCGCCTCGTACGGTCGACATGGCTCTTTGCTGCTCTCTTTTTCTTTTGTTTTTACTTTTTAACTGTGCATCTGGCTGTTCCTACACCCGTGAGGAACTTATGAACATCCGACCCACCGTTCCCATGGACCTAATTCCTGTTTTCTTGGCATCTGCGGCTGATTTAGTTCATGTTCTAGCCAAAAAAGTGTGGGCCCGTAAAAGGGGAAAGCGAGGAGGCCTGCTCGTGCGTCTTAGGAGGAGAGGAGCGCGCACGGCTCTCCCCGGCATTTTTCTCTCCAACGTACGCTCACTGGGCAATAAGATGGACGAACTCAGCCTGCTCATGAGAAGAAACAAGGACTTCGCCACATCCTGTGTCCTCTGCTTCACTGAGACCTGGCTAAATGAGCGGATCCCGGACTGCGCTCTGGAGCTGCAGGGCTTTGGGCTGTTTCGCGCGGATCGCCATTGTGCGCTCTCAGGGAAGAGCAGAGGCGGAGGGCTCTGTTTCTACGTCAATACAAACTGGTGTAACGATGTGACAGTGATCTCCAAGCACTGCTCTCCTGCTCTGGAATATCTTTTCATTCATTGTAAACCATATTACTCCCCGCGGGAAATTGTTTCATTCATTCTTGCCTCTGTTTACATACCGCCATGCGCGGACGCGCGCGAGGCTCAGCGCGCACTCGCAGAGCAAGTACTGTGTATGGAACGCTTATACCCGGACTCTCTGATTATTATCCTGGGGGATTTTAATAAGGGAAACTTGAGCCAGGAATTACCCAAATACAGACAGTTTATCAAATGCCCGACCAGAGAGGAGAACACTCTGGATCACTGTTACACCATGTGCGCGGAGCTTTTCGCGCTGTTCCCAAGCCAGCCCTCGGCTTCTCAGATCACTCCATGATACATCTGGTTCCTGCTTACAGACAGAGACTAAAGCTCTCGAAACCTGCAGTGAGGAGCTCCAAAGTGTGGTCTGATGAAGCTGTGGAAGAGCTGCGCGCATGCATGGAATCTACAGACTGGGACCTTTTCAGAGCTGCCACAGACAGCTTGGATGAATATACGGACACTGTGACGTCATACATCCACTTCTGTGAGGATAGCATCATTCCAACAAGGACCAGGGTCATCTATAACAACGACAAACCCTGGTTCACTGCTAAACTCCGGCAGCTCAGGAAAGCAAAGGAGTCTGCTTTCAGGGAGGGGGACCGCAGCGGCTACAAAGCAGCTAAATATCAGTTCAGGAAAGAACTGAAAGCAGCCAAGTCCCGGCACAGAGAACGACTACAGGAGCAGTTTGGTAACAACGATACTGCTTCTGTCTGGAGGGGCCTACGGGAGATCACCAACTACAAACCCAAAGCCCCCCCCTGTGCTGATGACCACAAGCTAGCTGACGATCTGAACTTATTTTTCAGTCGCTTTGATGCTGCCCCTGACACCTCTCCCTCCCCCACCCCCCACTACTCTAACGACCCACCCATCAGCCCTGCCCCCAGCCTAACAATAGCCGCTAAAGAGATTAAACAACTCTTCCTGAGGCTGCACCCCCGCAAAGCTCCTGGCCCGGACCACGTGTCTCCGGCCACTCTGAGACACTGCGCCAGTGAGCTTACTCCTGTGTTCACGGACATTTTCAACACCTCTCTGCAGTCCTGCCATGTCCCGGCCTGCTTCAAATCCTCCATCATTGTCCCCGTCCCGAAGAAGCCCAGGATCACAGGACTCAATGACTACAGACCTGTAGCACTTACGTCTGTCGTCATGAAGTCATTTGAACGCCTGGTTCTCTCCCATCTCAAGTCCCTCACCTCACCCCTCCTGGACCCCCTGCAGTTCGCCTACAGAGCCAACAGATCTGTAGACGACGCCATTAACCTGGCCCTCCACCACATCCTACAGCACCTGGACTCCCCGGGGACCTACGCCAGGGTCCTGTTCGTGGACTTCAGCTCTGCCTTCAACACAATCCTGCCATCCCTGCTCCAGGACAAGCTCTCCCAGCTCAACGTGCCCGATTCCACCTGCAGGTGGATCACTGACTTCCTGACGGACAGGAAGCAGCGAGTGCGTCTGGGGAAGAATGTCTCGGACTCTCGGATTATAAATACAGGAGCCCCACAGGGCTGTGTTCTTTCTCCCCTGCTCTTCTCCCTGTACACCAACCACTGCACCTCCAGCCACGACTCCGTGAAGCTGATCAAGTTCGCGGACGACACCACCCTCATTGGACTCATCTCCAACAACGATGAGTCCGCCTACAGGAGGGAGGTGGACCGGCTGGTGTCCTGGTGCAGTGGTAACAACCTGGAGCTGAACGCCCAGAAGACAGTGGAGATGATTGTGGACTTCAGGAAGAGCACTGTCCCCCCGCCCCCACCCTCCGTGATGGACTCCCCCATCACCTCTGTGGAGTCCTTCCGTTTCCTGGGCACCACCATCACCCAGGACCTCAAGTGGGAGCCGACCATCAGCTCCCTCATCAAGAAGGCCCAGCAGAGGATGTACTTCCTGCGGCAGCTCAGGAAAGCCAAGCTGCCTGCACAGATGTTGGTGCAGTTCTACACGGCCATCATCGAGTCCATCCTCACCTCCTCCATCACCGTGTGGTTCGCTGGAGCCACAGTCAGGGACAAACAGAGACTACAGCGCATTGTGCGCTCTGCAGAGGAAGTGATCGGCCGCAGCCTTCCATCGCTGCAGGACCTGTACGTCGCCCGAGCTCGAGGCCGGGCTGGTCGTATCACAGCCGACCCCTCTCACCCTGCACATGGACTATTCCAACCACTCCCCTCAGGCAGGAGGCTGCGGTCCATCAGGACTTGAACCTCCCGCCACAAGAACAGTTTCTTCCCCTCTGCTGTTGGACTCTTGAACACTTCTTAACCTGTCCCCCCGCCCTTTATAAAGTCACTTTACTGCCCATCATACGTCACTTTACTTCACTGTACTGCTGTCACCTTACATTGTGTGCACCATGTGCACTTGTATATTGTAAATAGTAACTGTAACTCTATTTTAAATTTAAATTTATTCTTTAGAAGTGTTTTTTATTCTTATTTTTATTATCTCTTTTTGACTGTTGCACTGAGCCAAAGCAATTTCCAAGTCTGTGACCTCCCGTTACTTACGTTGGCAATAAAAATGATTCTGATTCTGATTCTGATTCTGACATGTTCTGCTTGCAATCATGCTAAATATTGAAATGTCATCATTATTATCAGACGGAAAAGTAGACGTGGTCCTGTGATTGAGCCAGATGGAATGCTGAAGATGTTTCACTGTCCGTATGAAGGCTGCAGTCAGGTCTATGTGGCCATCAGCAGCTTTCAGGTAAAACAACATTTATTGCACAAAATACCTTTGACAGGAGTTGTCTGGTTTCTCTAATTGTCTCCCTAATCTTTTGTAGAATCACGTCAATTTGGTCCACAGGAAAGGCCGAACCAAAGTGTGTCCACATCCAGGCTGTGGGAAGAAGTTCTACCTCTCCAACCATCTGCACCGTCACATGATCATCCATTCAGGTGGCCTCACTTCACAAGCATGATGTGTTCTTTCCCTGACTCTGCATAACAAACTCAGTGCAACAGCATTGAATAGTAAACACGTCTGTCCTTTTAATAGAAAGTGTCTGCTTTTACTACATGTTTTCCCAATATTCTGGTATCCGGATATATTACTCCTCCCTTTTCATTTTTATTTATTTATTATGTTTTTTTGTGTTTTGCTATTCTGACTTCCAGGAGTTCGAGACTTTACTTGTGAGACGTGCGGAAAGTCCTTTAAACGCAAAAATCATTTGGAGGTCCACAGGCGCACTCACACCGGAGAGACCCCATTGCAGTAAGTCAACCCAACTCTGTCCCTCTTTCATGACATATTTTACAAACTACAAGTTGTACCAGTAAAAAAAGAGGATTTTAATATTTTCAATGATATATGGGCATTTTGGGAATTAAAAATGATAATTCGAGATATTTAATTCATGTTTTAGAATTTGAATTCAAATCTTAAGTAGATGATTTACCCTTCATACCACAATTATGAAGTGTAAAAATTGCTTTCTGCCTGTAACTCCCTATTCTACCAGCAGAGGGGTTAGTTGAATTAGTTGTTTTTTCCAAATGTTGCGTTTGTATAGAGAGCAATTTCAACTAGGAAACTAGTTCAGTGGCACTACTGCTGTGAGTGTAATGTCATACTGGTACAATGACACACTATTACAGGACAGAGCTTTTAGACATAAGGGGCAGAGTTACATGTTTGTGTGGTTTTATCTAAAAAATTCCATGTATTAGTGGGTGAACAATCCAACACTTGGTGAATAATGCTTCACAATGATATTTTACCATATTACCTAATTACCTAATTTGCCACTCCCCTGACCCAGATATCGACAAAGGGGTTGAAAATGAATGAATGAACTCCAGGCCCATGTATAAGTGCGACTTGTCGTCCAAATAAAATATCACAAATATTACTTTGTCACTGCAGTGTTTGTGTGACCCCTCTGGACGTGTGTGGCAGGTGTGAGATCTGTGGGTACCAGTGTCGCCAGCGGGCCTCTCTGAACTGGCACATGAAGAAGCACACCTCGGAGGCACAGTACAACTTCACCTGTGAATTCTGCCACAAGAAATTCGAGCGGCTTGAAAGCGTCAAGTTCCATAAGTTGAAAAGTCACCCAGACAAACTGCTGACGTGACACACACGGCACACGTTACAGGTTACACACACGGGTCTGATGCAGCAGCTGTGCGGGACATAAGCTGCTGTTCGAGCCAAAGGAAATAGTGGGAAATGACTATACCACTTTGCATTGGGTGGTATGCAGTGGTGCAGAGTAATCGTTTTGTTCAAGCTCAAGAGAAGAAGATCGATAGAGCTGAACTTTTATATCGCTGCCAACCAGGTAGCTTCTTCAGGGCTATTATTATTTACTGTGTTTTTAAGATGTTCATTATTTAAATGGGTATTATAGAATATTTTCCCCCGTCGTGGGTCTGTCAGACATGCTGCAATTCACCTACAGGACATGGAGTTCAAAAGGAATTGGTCTTGTCGGGTAGAAAATCAACAATGTGGATACTTATTTACATGTCATTTACAGTTTACAAATTGTATCCTCTTTTTCTCTGTAAAAGGACCTACTATACTTTCTTATTCTACAGTATTTGTTTGAACTTTAGTATTTAAAGTTTTTTTAAAAGATAAATTATTTTGTAATAGATTTATTTGTTTTTAATAAAAAAAACAATGCAATAAGTGTGTAAAGATTTGTTTCAATATATCTTTTTTAACTGAGAATGTGTGTGGAAATGGATCGACCATATTGATAGGTAGTAACTCATTTCACAGTCATAATCTATATACCTATAGTAGATCTTTAAATAAGGATGATTTGTATGACTTTATTTGAGATGTTTTGTTGAATCCTTGCTTAATATTGTTGTTGTTTTTTTTACACTGGGTCTCTGTGAAAGAAAACTCCAAAGCCTCCTGTGCAATCTACATATAATTTCCTTTTCTTCTTGTATTGACATGCACCTATATGGTTACAAATGCCTATTCAAACGGACACAAAGGCCGCTCGAGCCAACAGGTGAACATCCTCTCTCCTCCCCCTGAGGATGACGGCCCAGAACTGCTCCATGGTGATGGGAGCTCCTCTGGGTTAGGGAGTGGGCACTACCCACTCCCCTCTGATCACCTGTAACTATGCATGCAATTCAAATCAAGCCAGTTTCTCTGGCTTGATTTGTACACTGGATATATGTAATTCCAGTACTATTACTGGAATTACTGGTGTTATTTCATCTCTTTAGTAAAGTCTTCAGGGACCAGGCGACTGAATTGCAGCAGTGATAAAGGTAAGCTTTGATTTTTGTTTACATTTTACTCAGTACATTACTATAACAGTAGTAATTAGTTCTAAAATGACTTTCTCTCCTGCCTGAAAGAGAGGCTCGGTGAGTTTTGAGTCAAAGATGCTCCTGTGAGAACATTATACATTGTACAAGAGTATAGGCATATGTCTTTCATTCAAGTATGTAGGTGTCTGTTAAGTTGATAATTTTATTTAAACTGGGTATTTTTATTGATAATTATAATATTTTTAAACCTGGATGCATTTCAAACTGATTTACAAATTGTCCATGCTAAATACATTTATTTCTAACATAAAAATTATTGCAATATTTACAGTCTGTCTCAAACATGATCCTTTCAGAGAAAAGAAGGAAAGATAGATAGATACTTTATTGATCCCCGTAGGAGAAATTCTGGTGTCCAGTAGTAGCACAAAAAAAAATTAAATTGATCATTCCAAAAAGCTAATAATTAATAGTTACTTAATGTAACTTAAGTTCTACGAATAGGTGCGTAGTCCCTTAGGACTTCGCTAGTGGGATATCACTCGTGACCCCCAGGTCACACGCCAGAGAGATCAAAATAATTTGCTCCAATCACCAGCCACCTTCCTCTATAAATGCCCCTGCACAAGGCCGCACCCCCTCTTGAACTCTGCCAAGCCGGGCTGGCCTGATGGGCTCGTAGCTAAGGGACTACGCACCTATTCGTAGAACTTAAGTTACATTAAGTAACTATTAATTCTACGTCATGGTGCTACGTCCCTTAGGACTTCGCTAGTGGGACACAACGCGGAGGCCGTAGGAAAATGTACTCCCAGCAGGCCAGCGAAGGGTGATTGGAGCTCCGCCCGAGCAAGACCCTCACAACGTGAGAGGACTCAGGGCAGAAGAAACAAGCGTGTTACGGGGCCACTCCTACCAAGGATACCCCCACGTAACACAAGCCGTAGGTCATCCATAGTCACAGGACGCCTCTCCCAAGAGCTCCTGACGTGGACTACCAGACCGACCACACACACAAATGTACCGCACCTGTAGGATGCCTCTCCCAAGAGCTCCTGCACCAGGGCGGAAAATAGACCGAAGGCCCCCCTCAGGGGAGGGACCCAACGGTCTAACTCAGTCCGCTGCACTCAGCACGGAATGGGCCACCGACCGGTCCGACACATCCGAAAGATAAGACCGGACGAAAGAGGAGGACGACGCCCAAGAAGCCGCACGGCAAACGTCCTCGACCGACGCCCCCCTGAGAAGGGCCGTAGAGGCCGCCATCCCACGCGTGGAATGCGACCTGAAACCCACCGGGGGGGCCAGACCCTGCGTCTGATACGCCCGCCGCACCGCCGTGGCGACCCAATGCGCCAGCCGCTGAGCCGACAGCGGGGCGCCCCTGTTCTTGGGGCCCAGACACACAAACAGCTGATCACCCGACCTGAATGACGACGTCATGGCCAGGTAATGCCTCAGCATTCTGATAGGACACAGAAGGTGCTGCCGCTCCTCCTCGGGGGAGGCATGCGGCGGCGGGTGGAAAGCCCTAATCCTGATGACTCTCGACCTAAAGGCCGACGTGATGACCTTGGGGAGAAAAGCCGGATTGGGCCACAATTCCACCATGCCGTCGTCCTCTCCAAAGGACAGGCACGACGAGAGCGCACACAAATCGCCCGCCCTCTTAGCAGACGCCAACGCCAGTAAGAGGGCCGTCTTAAAGGCGATACACTCGGGACTCGCCTCCGCCGCCGGTTCAAAAGGCGGACCCGACAGCCCCCTAAGGACCACCCTGAGGTCCCAAACCGGAGGCGTTCTCTGGAGCGGGGGCCTCCTCCTGCGCGCCCCCCGCAGAAAACGTTTAACCAACGGGTGAGAGCGGGCTGTGAACCCCCCGAACCCGTCGTGACCCGAAGTAATGGCTGCCGCAAACACCGCCAAGGTAGCGACAGCCCTTCCCTTGTCGAAAAGCTCCTGTAGGAATCCCAGGACCCCCTCCAGCGGGCAACACCTGGGATCCCAGGAACGGGAATCGCACCAGACACTGAATAGCCTCCACCTCGTGGCGTAGGCCCTCACGGTGGACGGCGCCCTCGCTCCCTGAATAGTCTCCACCACCGCAGGGGGAAGACCCAGATCTACGAGGCTCCGCCTCTCAACCTCCAAACCCAGAGCCTGCGGCCGATTATCGGACGTGAAAACAGGGCTCCTGCCCCCTGGACTAGAGCCCCCGGCTCGTCCGGGAGGGCCCAGGGCTCCATCACCGCCATGCCCCTCAGGAAGGGGAACCACCGGGCATGCGGACTGTCCGGAGCCACCAGAATCACCGATCTCCTCTCCTGTTCGATCCTCCGCAGCAGGACCGGCAGGAGACGCACTGGTGGGAAAGCGTACAACAGGCCGCCTGGCCATGGGTAATGAGCCAGAGCGTCCACGCCTAAAGGCGGCTCGTCCGCGGCCCTTAAGGCGAACCAGGACGGGCACTGTGCGTTCTCTGCACTGGCGAAAAGGTTGACTACTGGACGGCCGAACCTCCGCCAGATCTCCGCAGCTACCCGTGGGGCCAGGCCCCACTCGTCCTGGAGTGGGCCCCCCCTGGACATTCTGTCGGCTCCCACGTTCCGGACCCCCGGGACGTGGCGCGCCCTGAGAGACAGGAGGTGAAGCGCCGCCCACAGCAGCGTCACCGTCGCCATGCGATGGAGAGCGGGGGACCTGGTGCCCCCCTGCCTGTTCAGATAGGAGACCACTGTGGTGTTGTCTGAGCGCACCATCACGTGTCTCCCCTGCAGCTGAGGGGCAAAGTGCAGCAGTACTCTGTGTACTGCCTCCATCTCCAGCAGGTTGATGTGACGGGTTGAGTCCGACCAGCAGCCTCCTACAGAGCTCTGGCCGAGGACCCCGCCCCATCCTTCGAGCGACGCGTCCGTGAACACCTCGACGTGAGACACAGCGCAGGCCAGAGTCACTCCGTCCCGCAATAGACCCGGAGTGAGCCAGAACCTGATGTCCGATGCTGCCCCTTGGGGAACCCAGATCAGCCTCCCCCCGTCCCGGGAGGGGTGAAGCCTGAGGCGCGAGAACCACCTCTGAAAATTTCTCATGTGGAGCAGGCCTAGCCGCACCACAGCATGAGCCGCTGCCATCATTCCCAGCAGGGACCTGAGGCGCCGAGCGGGGACTCTGGGGCCCGCCAGAACCTCCCGGGCCAGACGGGTAATACTCATCCGTCTGTCCCACGGACAATGCAGCACGGAATATCACAGAGTCTAGCTGCAGACCGAGGTAAACCATGCGTTGGGCTGGCTGCAGTTTGCTCTTCTCCCTGTTCACCACAAAGCCCAGACGCTGTATGTGGGACAGGACCCAGTGCGTGTGGCTCACGGCCACCTCCCTGGATGGGGCCAGTATTAACCAATCGTCTATATAGGTTAATATTCTTACCCCCGCACGTCTGATCGGCTCCAGAGCTGCTTCCACACATTTGGAAAAGGTGCGAGGCGCGAGTGCGTACCCGAAGGGGAGACGGCAGTACTCGTAATTCCTCTCTCCCACTGCGAAGCGCAGAAACCTCCTGTGTTCTGACACTATGGGCACGTGGAAGTATGCGTCTGTCAGGTCTATGGAAGTCATCCAGTCTCCTTCCCTGACACACTCGAGGAGCTGCCTTGTGGACAGCATCCGAAACTGCCGCTTGGAAATGCACTCGTTTAACACGCGCAGATCCAGAATGGGACGCACCCCGCCTGATTTCTTTGGCACTAAGAAGTAAGGGGAGTACAGCCCCCTGGTGGCGTCCTGCGGGTCTACCTCCACTGCCGCGCCTCGACTCAGCAGAGAGGAGACCTCCGCTTGCAGTGCCTCTGTCGATCCCCGTACCTGAGAGCGTACTGCCCGTACGCCTCGGAATGGTGGTGGCTTTCGGAAAAATTGCAGCGCGTAACCTCTGCGCAGAGTTTTCTCCAGCCAAATATCTGTCAATAGGCCCTGCTCCTTCCAGATGCTGTAGAAATCTGTGAGGGGCGGAATGGAAGTTGGAACACGAGACGTCACGGCCCCGCCCCCTCCTGGTGTTCCTAGCAGGGAGGGGGGGTGGCTGAAAGGGCCGGGGGGGCCCCTGCGTCACACCGTGAGCGCCGAGGGCGGTCACGTGTTCTGCAGGCCCGACGTCATAAGTACGGGACTGCTCACCACACGTGACTCGGCTGCTGTGCCCCCCCCTGGCTCTTGCCTCATGGAAGGGGGGGCGAGCCCCTGGAGCGGGAAACCCCGTGTTAGCCTTGTAGCTCTGCTCACCACACGTGACACGGCTGCTGTGCCCCCCCTCGGCTCTTGCCTCATGGAGGGGGGGGATGAGCCCCTGCATTGGGAAACCCCGTGTTAGCCTTGTAGCTCAGAGATGCTAACACGCGTTCGGCCGGAGCACACACATTAACACTTACCAGATCCCTCCGCCTGCCCTCTCTCCGGGAGGGCAAAACATGAACCCGTGAATCGGAGCCCGTGGCCCGCTTAGCGCGCTGCACGCCCTTCTCTGGGGGCTGCAGGCCTAGCGGAGCCACGTTATATGCTCGAGAAGTAACACAATCAGAATTCAAATCATTTGACATGTTACATACCCCCAAATGAGACTCAGACAGCGAGTACTGATGAAATGCCGGACGGCCTTTATTGAAAACATTTTTCCCACCCCGACCTCCTCTGCCATAGGGAGGTCGTCGGTGGGTGTGTTGGTCCCGCGAACCTCCCGTGTGCCTGTCTGGGCCCGGGGGTCTCGTCGCTGGGGAACGATGGACCACGGAGCGTGGATATGGTCCGGGGCGCCTGCCGGGCGAGCGCTCCCTGCCTCTGTCTCGGCTCCGCGCTGGTGGGCGGGCCTCGCGTCTCGCAGCTAGATGCCTGGCTAGGCTAGCAGAGTCCTTAGCTGCGGTGTCCAGCCTCGTCATCAGCGTCTGCATCTCCGGACCGAAGAGTGACGTTTGGGAGATGGGCAGGTCCAGCAGCTGCCTCTTCTCCGCCTCTCTGAGATTCACCGATCCCAGCCAGAGGTGTCTGGCCCCAACTTGTGCTGCTGCCATCGTGCGGCCGCCATCGACAGCTAGCGCTTGGCACATGCGCAAGATCGCCGCTGAAGTGGTCCTCGCCTGGGATAAGGTGTCTCCACTGAGTGCCTGGTCAGAGGAGAGAGACCTATCCAGGGCCCCGGTGATGAAGGCCATGTTGTTAGCCACCGCGACGACCTGGGCCGCATTGGCGTAACATCTGTCGTGCATCGCCAAAGACATCCTATCCCGCTCGGAGGGAAGGAGAGGTCTGGTGCTGGGCCACACGGATGTGGAGGGGTACAGGGCCGCCCGAACCGAGTCCTCGATGTCCGGGACCCCGCCGGTCCAGGACCAGTCCTGCACGTTACAGTACATGCCATACCCCAAAGCGGGCCTCTTGGCCGCTAGGGGCTTTGGCCACTCACGTGTCGCGTAATGGACGATCGGGTCCATACGCGGGCACAACGTGGGCTGGGCTCTCCTCCTCCCTCGAGGGGTGGCGTAACCAGAGGTGAAGTCCTCCACCCTCTGGTTCGGTTGCGGTGGCAGGGGGGCATCCATGATGGCCGCCGCCGTGGCGTAGAGCCCAGGCATGTGGTCCAGCGGGAAGCGGTCCGGCTCCGGGTTGGACACCACCTCGTCCAGCGTGAGGAGAGAGCCGACCTCCGACACCTCTCCGTCCTCGCAGTCACCCCACTCAGCGGGCACGGGTGGAAGGTCGAGGGGGGCCCAGTCAATCGCAGACTCCTCGTCCTGAGAGGAGTCCGGACGGGGCGCTGTAGCGGCGAAGAACGCGCGCCTGCGTTCACTCTCCTCCCTGGGGAGAGCGACACACGAGGCGCAGGTGGCGCTCAACGCCGCATGGCCCGAACCCAGGCACAGGAAGCAGCTGGAGTGCTGGTCCTTGCGCTGGAGCTTGACCCGACAAGTCGAGCAACGACGACGTCCGACGCCGGATGGCGAAGGGGAACTCGGACGAGCATCAGAAGACATCTTTCCTCAGGTAATTGAATGTAGATCTCAATCGGCGCCAGAGTGAAAGAGGGGGTGCGGCCTTGTGCAGGGGCATTTATAGAGGAAGGTGGCTGGTGATTGGAGCAAATTATTTTGATCTCTCTGGCGTGTGACCTGGGGGTCACGAGTGATATCCCACTAGCGAAGTCCTAAGGGACGTAGCACCATGACGTAGAATAGTAATAATCAGCAACAGCCCTTCAGGTCACAGCAGCAGAGATGGAGAAATCTCTGGGTGGAGCAGTACAGGTCACAGCAGCGGAGGTGGAGTAGCCCCTGGGTGGAGCAGGAGAGGTCACAAGGTGGGCTACTCCACCTTGTGTAAATAATTCATTAGCATTTTTCAAAAAGTTATCATTCCTCCAGGGACTTTCACCTGATCCGCTTGGTTCGGACCATAATAGATCCATGGTTCGGACCATAATAGATCCATGGTTCAGACCATGGATCTTCTCTGGTGGTCTGGATCAGTGTAAAACCTTGAACACTGTACTGCAGCAACATCTGCAGCATCAAGCAATAAAAAAAGATAAAAATTGTAAAGCACAAAACAACTGTTTCAGAACTACTTAGGACTTGCAGCCGTTTTCCAGCGCATTCAAAAGTAAACTTAAACCAAACAAGTAAAAAAAACAATTAATAAAAAAAAATAGTTGAAGAGCGGCGCACGTGTGACACGTGAGTGGTCGCGCGGTCACTTGTTAAACTTAACTCAAAGATCATAATCATAAACTTCTGTGTGAAATCCTTCAGTAAAAGCCACAGGAGCCATGCCTTCAGGACGGGTAAGAGCCTGCAGCCAAACAGTGGTCCACTCGCGAACGTTACGTGACCAACGGTTTTGTGAGGGAGGGTCCTACACCTGTTTGTATCATGATCACTGCATTGTCGTGTCCGGAATGTTCCTCTGTATGCTATAACCATGGATCTATTATATTAACTATAACTCATCTGTCTCCTATTTATTCTAGTAATTGCTAAAAACAATGATTTTGAGTCGTTTCCATGGAGATTTCTACTATTTTTAAGAAACGGCATCGGCCTCGCGCACTGACCGTTATAGCCCCGTTTCCACCAGCATAACTCGGCTCTACTCTACCCCGACTGGATGTGTTTCCTCCTGCCCTGTTTAACCTGTACCAAGAGCTTTTTAAGTACCTGCTTGGCCCTGGTTCTATCCAGACACAACTGTTACGTAATTGTTATAACTGACAGAGTCGGTCCAGAGTGCTGCTGTAGGCCAGTTCTACGTCATGGTGCTACGTCCCTTAGGACTTCGCTAGTGGGATATCACTCGTGACCCCCAGGTCACACGCCAGAGAGATCAAAATAATTTGCTCCAATCACCAGCCACCTTCCTCTATAAATGCCCCTGCACAAGGCCGCACCCCCTCTTTCACTCTGGCGCCGATTGAGATCTACATTCAATTACCTGAGGAAAGATGTCTTCTGATGCTCGTCCGAGTTCCCCTTCGCCATCCGGCGTCGGACGTCGTCGTTGCTTGACTTGTCGGGTCAAGCTCCAGCGCAAGGACCAGCACTCCAGCTGCTTCCTGTGCCTGGGTTCGGGCCATGCGGCGTTGAGCGCCACCTGCGCCTCGTGTGTCGCTCTCCCCAGGGAGGAGAGTGAACGCAGGCGCGCGTTCTTCGCCGCTACAGCGCCCCGTCCGGACTCCTCTCAGGACGAGGAGTCTGCGATTGACTGGGCCCCCCTCGACCTTCCACCCGTGCCCGCTGAGTGGGGTGACTGCGAGGACGGAGAGGTGTCGGAGGTCGGCTCTCTCCTCACGCTGGACGAGGTGGTGTCCAACCCGGAGCCGGACCGCTTCCCGCTGGACCACATGCCTGGGCTCTACGCCACGGCGGCGGCCATCATGGAGGCCCCCCTGCCACCGCAACCGAACCAGAGGGTGGAGGACTTCACCTCTGGTTACGCCACCCCTCGAGGGAGGAGGAGAGCCCAGCCCACGTTGTGCCCGCGTATGGACCCGATCGTCCATTACGCGACACGTGAGTGGCCAATGCCCCTAGCGGCCAAGAGGCCCGCTTTGGGGTATGGCATGTACTGTAACGTGCAGGACTGGTCCTGGACCGGCGGGGTCCCGGACATCGAGGACTCGGTTCGGGCGGCCCTGTACCCCTCCACATCCGTGTGGCCCAGCACCAGACCTCTCCTTCCCTCCGAGCGGGATAGGATGTCTTTGGCGATGCACGACAGATGTTACGCCAATGCGGCCCAGGTCGTCGCGGTGGCTAACAACATGGCCTTCATCACCGGGGCCCTGGATAGGTCTCTCTCCTCTGACCAGGCACTCAGTGGAGACACCTTATCCCAGGCGAGGACCACTTCAGCGGCGATCTTGCGCATGTGCCAAGCGCTAGCTGTCGATGGCGGCCGCACGATGGCAGCAGCACAAGTTGGGGCCAGACACCTCTGGCTGGGATCGGTGAATCTCAGAGAGGCGGAGAAGAGGCAGCTGCTGGACCTGCCCATCTCCCAAACGTCACTCTTCGGTCCGGAGATGCAGACGCTGATGACGAGGCTGGACACCGCAGCTAAGGACTCTGCTAGCCTAGCCAAGCATCTAGCTGCGAGACGCGAGGCCCGCCCACCAGCGCGGAGCCGAGACAGAGGCAGGGAGCGCTCGCCCGGCAGGCGCCCCGGACCATATCCACGCTCCGTGGTCCATCGTTCCCCCAGCGACGAGACCCCCGGGCCCAGACAGGCACACGGGAGGTTCGCGGGACCAACACACCCACCGACGACCTCCCTATGGCAGAGGAGGTTGGGGGTGGGAAAAATGTTTTCAATAAAGGCCGTCCGGCATTTCATCAGTACTCGCTGTCTGAGTCTCATTTGGGGGTATGTAACATGTCAAATGATTTGAATTCTGATTGTGTTACTTCTCGAGCATATAACGTGGCTCCGCTAGGCCTGCAGCCCCCAGAGAAGGGCGTGCAGCGCGCTAAGCGGGCCACGGGCTCCGATTCACGGGTTCATGTTTTGCCCTCCCGGAGAGAGGGCAGGCGGAGGGATCTGGTAAGTGATAATGTGTGTGCTCCGGCCGAACGCGTGTTAGCATCTCTGAGCTACAAGGCTAACACGGGGTTTCCCAATGCAGGGGCTCATCCCCCCCTCCATGAGGCAAGAGCCGAGGGGGGGCACAGCAGCCGTGTCACGTGTGGTGAGCAGTCCCGTACTTATGACGTCGGGCCTGCAGAACACGTGACCGCCCTCGGCGCTCACGGTGTGACGCAGGGGCCCCCCCGGCCCTTTCAGCCACCCCCCCTCCCTGCTAGGAACACCAGGAGGGGGCGGGGCCGTGACGTCTCGTGTTCCAACTTCCATTCCGCCCCTCACAGATTTCTACAGCATCTGGAAGGAGCAGGGCCTATTGACAGATATTTGGCTGGAGAAAACTCTGCGCAGAGGTTACGCGCTGCAATTTTTCCGAAAGCCACCACCATTCCGAGGCGTACGGGCAGTACGCTCTCAGGTACGGGGATCGACAGAGGCACTGCAAGCGGAGGTCTCCTCTCTGCTGAGTCGAGGCGCAGCAGTGGAGGTAGACCCGCAGGACGCCACCAGGGGGCTGTACTCCCCTTACTTCTTAGTGCCAAAGAAATCAGGCGGGGTGCGTCCCATTCTGGATCTGCACGTGTTAAACGAGTGCATTACCAAGCGGCAGTTTCGGATGCTGTCCACAAGGCAGCTCCTCGAGTGTGTCAGGGAAGGAGACTGGATGACTTCCATAGACCTGACAGACGCATACTTCCACGTGCCCATAGGGCCAGAACACAGGAGGTTTCTGCGCTTCGCAGTGGGAGAGAGGAATTACGAGTACTGCCGTCTCCCCTTCGGGTACGCACTCGCGCCTCGCACCTTTTCCAAATGTGTGGAAGCAGCTCTGGAGCCGATCAGACGTGCGGGGGTAAGAATATTAACCTATATAGACGATTGGTTAATACTGGCCCCATCCAGGGAGGTGGCCGTGAGCCACACGCACTGGGTCCTGTCCCACATACAGCGTCTGGGCTTTGTGGTGAACAGGGAGAAGAGCAAACTGCAGCCAGCCCAACGCATGGTTTACCTCGGTCTGCAGCTAGACTCTGTGATATTCCGTGCTGCATTGTCCGTGGACAGACGGATGAGTATTACCCGTCTGGCCCGGGAGGTTCTGGCGGGCCCCAGAGTCCCCGCTCGGCGCCTCAGGTCCCTGCTGGGAATGATGGCAGCGGCTCATGCTGTGGTGCGGCTAGGCCTGCTCCACATGAGAAATTTTCAGAGGTGGTTCTCGCGCCTCAGGCTTCACCCCTCCCGGGACGGGGGGAGGCTGATCTGGGTTCCCCAAGGGGCAGCATCGGACATCAGGTTCTGGCTCACTCCGGGTCTATTGCGGGACGGAGTGACTCTGGCCTGCGCTGTGTCTCACGTCGAGGTTGAGAGGCGGAGCCTCGTAGATCTGGGTCTTCCCCCTGCGGTGGTGGAGACTATTCAGGGAGCGAGGGCGCCGTCCACCGTGAGGGCCTACGCCACGAGGTGGAGGCTATTCAGTGTCTGGTGCGATTCCCGTTCCTGGGATCCCAGGTGTTGCCCGCTGGAGGGGGTCCTGGGATTCCTACAGGAGCTTTTCGACAAGGGAAGGGCTGTCGCTACCTTGGCGGTGTTTGCGGCAGCCATTACTTCGGGTCACGACGGGTTCGGGGGGTTCACAGCCCGCTCTCACCCGTTGGTTAAACGTTTTCTGCGGGGGGCGCGCAGGAGGAGGCCCCCGCTCCAGAGAACGCCTCCGGTTTGGGACCTCAGGGTGGTCCTTAGGGGGCTGTCGGGTCCGCCTTTTGAACCGGCGGCGGAGGCGAGTCCCGAGTGTATCGCCTTTAAGACGGCCCTCTTACTGGCGTTGGCGTCTGCTAAGAGGGCGGGCGATTTGTGTGCGCTCTCCGTCCATGCGTCGTGCAGGTCCTTTGGAGAGGACGACGGCATGGTGGAATTGTGGCCCAATCCGGCTTTTCTCCCCAAGGTCATCACGTCGGCCTTTAGGTCGAGAGTCATCAGGATTAGGGCTTTCCACCCGCCGCCGCATGCCTCCCCCGAGGAGGAGCGGCAGCACCTTCTGTGTCCTATCAGAATGCTGAGGCATTACCTGGCCATGACGTCGTCATTCAGGTCGGGTGATCAGCTGTTTGTGTGTCTGGGCCCCAAGAACAGGGGCGCCCCGCTGTCGGCTCAGCGGCTGGCGCATTGGGTCGCCACGGCGGTGCGGCGGGCGTATCAGACGCAGGGTCTGGCCCCCCCGGTGGGTTTCAGGTCGCATTCCACGCGTGGGATGGCGGCCTCTACGGCCCTTCTCAGGGGGGCGTCGGTCGAGGACGTTTGCCGTGCGGCTTCTTGGGCGTCGTCCTCCTCTTTTGTCCGGTCTTATCTTTCGGATGTGTCGGACCGGTCGGTGGCCCATTCCGTGCTGAGTGCAGCGGACTGAGTTAGACCGTTGGGTCCCTCCCCTGAGGGGGGCCTTCGGTCTATTTTCCGCCCTGGTGCAGGAGCTCTTGGGAGAGGCATCCTACAGGTGCGGTACATTTGTGTGTGTGGTCGGTCTGGTAGTCCACGTCAGGAGCTCTTGGGAGAGGCGTCCTGTGACTACGGATGACCTACGGCTTGTGTTACGTGGGGGTATCCTTGGTAGGAGTGGCCCCGTAACACGCTTGTTTCTTCTGCCCTGAGTCCTCTCACGTTGTGAGGGTCTTGCTCGGGCGGAGCTCCAATCACCCTTCGCTGGCCTGCTGGGAGTACATTTTCCTACGGCCTCCGCGTTGTGTCCCACTAGCGAAGTCCTAAGGGACGTAGCACCATGACGTAGAATTAATAGTTACTTAATGTACCTTAAGTTCTACGAATAGGTGCGTAGTCCCTTAGCTACGAGCCCATCAGGCCAGCCCGGCTTGGCAGAGTTCAAGAGGGGGTGCGGCCTTGTGCAGGGGCATTTATAGAGGAAGGTGGCTGGTGATTGGAGCAAATTATTTTGATCTCTCTGGCGTGTGACCTGGGGGTCACGAGTGATATCCCACTAGCGAAGTCCTAAGGGACTACGCACCTATTCGTAGAACTTAAGTTACATTAAGTAACTATTAATTACCACTGATTTTGGGAGACTTACATTTTGGGGGACTAAAGTGCTAAATTGTTTTCGTGTTCTTAGGCAAGACACTTCACCAACAAAGCCTAGTATGAGTCTGGTCTGGTGTGGTTGGAGGGGACGATAGCACATGATGATTGCCTTGCTTCTGTGTGCCTCAGGACAGCTGTGGCTACAATGGTAGTTTAGCATCACTGTGGATGGAGTGAAAGAATAATGACGTGTGAGGCGTCTTTGAGAGTCCAAAAAAGTGCTAAAAAAACCGATTAATTAATTTTTATGGATACTGGTTTGTTGTTGCCAGAATACTGTACAGGATCTAAAATGTAGAGGAAACACAACCAGGTAGCGTAGAGCCTAGTACGACTAGTGGAAACTGAGCTCCCATCCTACTGCAGAAATCTGGATATTTCACATTCTAGTGTCCATTATCATACATTTAATCCATGATGTTCAGAAGGAAGCAGAGAGACTGGTTCTATAGTGATAAACAGATTTTAAACAAGGCATTTTGTCTCTTTTGAATTGGAAAATACACTTGCATAAATGATGCATTAAGCTTTTATCATTAAACATCATTTTATCAGTCATTCATTGTATGTAGGAGAAGTAAAATGAAATTGGTGACAGTATAGTGTTGAATAGTGGTTGTAGGTTGTTACATGCGAGTGACCCGAAGCCTGCAGAAACCACATATGCCAACACTTATGCTTTTTAACATATTTGTCAAAAGGATGTTTGAGCCTGCGTAGGTTGCTCATTTCCATGTTATTTGGTTATTTCTGCATCCTCCTGCTATCCTTGTTTGGGTCACTACTTCAAGCTCAAAGATTGAAACCTGGTCTTGGGTCTTTATTCTCGGCTCATATTTCCTGTACCAATTTCATTAACCATATCTTTTTATTTCTAGTCCAGCGACAGCGACAGCGAGTACTACTCACCCTCGAGCAGCATGGGGTGCCTCAGGGTGCTCAAGTTTTTTATGTTTTTCTTCAATTTCATCATTTTTGTAAGTATATAATGTTTTGTTGTTTTTCATCATGTTGTTTTCTGTTGTCTTTCACATTCATTAGAAAACTAGATTCTAAAAATACCACAGCGACTAATTATAAATGCTCTCGGACTATAAACTGTTATTTTAAACTACAAATAATTATACTTATTTGGGGGACACACGTTTCTGTCCGAGCTCTTTTGTAATAGTTTAAACTTTATCAAAAATGCTCAAAAATTTCATATTTTGTACTTGTGCTCAAATTAGTATAAATTAGTTTTTATCCTCGTTTGGCACCAATTAATATCGGATTTTCGATACTGTATATTCTTGCACATATTAGAAATACCAGTAATATATTCAACAAATGTCAATGTCATGGGCAGTTCGGTACCCCAGCTTTATTTTAGATTTATTTTATATATTTGCCATACTGAGAGCTGATTGGCTGAGTGAGGGTTGGTCTTGTTTTTCACTGAAAAAGCTAAACAATCAATCAATTAGATACATGAGTTCATTACAGAGTTTGTGGTTTCAAATTTAGGTACTTCATATTTAATTGGAATAATGCGGATTATTGTGTGTTGTGCATTTACAGCACTTTTATTTGTGACGCCCTTGCGTGGTGCCGTAAAAATGGCATTGTGGCAAGAGCTCTGGTGTGTACTGGTGAACACTGGGTATTGCACAGTTTTTCCAATGTAGTTTTATTGGAAATGGCAAATAAATGCTTGTATCTTGTATTTTTAGAAGAGAGGGATGACACAGTTTCTCTGTATCCGCAGCTGAGTGGAGTGGGTATCCTGGCTGTAGGTATCTGGGTGAAGGTGGACATCGGGTCAGTCTTCAGTTTTTTGGATAAGATCCCTAACGCCCCGCCCGAGCTGGGTCAGTTGCAGAATGTGGGCCACCTGCTCATTGCTGTGGGGGTCCTGCTGCTCTTCATTGGCTTCCTGGGCTGCTGGGGGGCGTACCGTGAGAACAAATGCTCTCTTCTGATGGTATGTATAATGCTACTCTTTTTTTTCCTATGAGTGTGTTCACAGTTAAGTTTCAATGGTATCTGGTTTTTAAAAACTCAAAGTAAAATGACTGACAAAGATTATAAAAATAAATTGATTTGGACAAAATCAAAAGAAAAGATTGACAAATACATTTTTGGAGAAATGTTAAAAGACCGGATCAGCCTCTGATTTGATCATTCTACTGTTACATAGAAAATAGAAGGTCATCAATGACAAAGCGGAAGATGAACTCCCACAGATTAACACATCAGGAAAAAATAATCAATACAAATTTAAATGACCCTTGAAAAATGTGAAACGGGTGTGATGATTTCAGTCTTTTTTTCTAAATATTAAACTTTAAAAAGTAATGATAATCTGGTATCACGTTTGGTTTTTGGTTTACTATATAAAAGTAATCACTTTGTTTTTCTTTGTGTAAAAAAAAAAATAAAATAAATCTTTGAATCAAATGTGGACATCTGAAAATATGTAACAAACTTCCACAGCTCATTCCGTCAAAGGCAATGCATAAAACAGTTATGTTCTAGCAACTACTAATGGACAGAAGAAGTATTTGGATGAATGAAAAGCATAATATATCTTTGTATTATTCAAATCTAATTGTTGGCCTTCTGTCACACTTTAGTATGACCAAGCCTCTATAGGTTAAAATCGTGGTGGTGCTGAAAAATCATGCCTGGTTTTACGGTATTCAAAAGGCAGATATTTGCACTTAGTTTAGAGCTAATTTTGAAGCCCTTTGTGGCCTTGGTCTGTGAAAGCCGCTGTAAAGCTTACTTACGGACTTACTCATTTTTCTGTACTTCCTGGGCACATGAAACAAACTGTCATCTTCTTTGTCAGTTCATGTCAACTATAGTTAATTTTTTTCTCATAAATACGTCTAGATGTGGTTATAATATTTTATAAAGGCATGATGTTGGTCAGTTAAGAGGGAATCGATGCACTATCAAATCAAAACCATTTGGACATTCTATTTTTTGTTATTTCTTTCAAAAAATGCTTCTTTCCCGCAGAGTTGCATTGGCACCTGTCCTCCAACTGAATTCTAGAACATAAACATAGGTTATTGCAGAACATATGCCATGACATACAGTGCCTTGCGAAAGTATTCGGCCCCCTTGAACCTTTCAACATTTCGCCACATTTCAGGCTTCAAACATAAAGATATAAAAATTATCAACAACAAGTGGGACACAATCGTGAAGTGGAACGAAATTTATTGGATAATTTAAACTTTTTTAACAAATAAAAAACTGAAAAGTGGGGCGTGCAATAATATTCGGCCCCCTTGCGCTAATACTTTGTAGCGCCACCTTTTGCTGCAATTACAGCTGCAAGTCGCTTGGGGTATGTCTTCTATCAGTTTTGCACATCAAGAGACTGGAATTCTTGCCCATTCTTCCTTGCAAAACAGCTCGAGCTCAGTGAGGTTGGATGGAGAGCGTTTGTGAACAGCAGTCTTCAGCTCTTTCCACAGATTCTCGATTGGATTCAGGTCTGGACTTTGACTTGGCCATTCTAACACCTGGATACGTCTATTTGTGAACCATTCCATTGTAGATTTGGCTTTATGTTTTGGATCATTGTCCTGTTGGAAGATAAATCTCCGTTCCAGTCTCAGGTCTTTTGCAGACTCCAACAGGTTTTCTTCCAGAATGGTCCTGTATTTGGCTCCATCCATCTTCCCATCAATTTTAGCCATCTTCCCTGTCCCTGCTGAAGAAAAGCAGGCCCAAAGCATGATGCTGCCACCACCATGTTTGACAGTGGGGATGGTGTGTTCAGGGTGATGAGCTGTGTTGCTTTTACGCCAAACATATCGTTTTGCATTGTGGCCAAAAAGTTCGATCACCTTCTTCCACATGTTTGGTGTGTCTCCCAGGTGGCTTGTGGCAAACTTTAAACGAGACTTTTTATGGATATCTTTGAGAAATGGCTTTCTTCTTGTCACTCTTCCATAAAGGCCAGATTTGTGCAGTGCAGGACTGATTGTTGTCCTATGGACAGACTCTCCCACCTCAGCTGTAGTTATCTGCAGTTCATCCAGAGTGATCATGGGCCTCTTGGCTGCATCTCTGATCAGTCTTCTCCTTGTTTGAGATGAAAGTTTGGAGGGACGGCCGGGTCTTGGTAGATTTGCAGTGGTCTGATACTCCTTCCATTTCAATATAATGGACTCAACAAAGATGGCGCCTCGTACGGTCGACATGGCTCTTTGCTGCTCTCTTTTTCTTTTGTTTTTACTTTTTAACTGTGCATCTGGCTGTTCCTACACACGTGAGGAACTTATGAACATCCGACCCACCGTTCCCATGGACCTATTGCCTGTTTTCTTGGCATCTGCGGCTGATTTAGTTCATGTTCTAGCCAAAAAAGGGGAAAGCGCGGAGGCCTGCTCGTGCGTCTTAGAAGGAGAGGAGCGCGCACGGCTCTCCCCGGCATTTTTCTCTCCAACGTACGCTCACTGGGCAATAAGATGGACGAACTCAGCCTGCTCATGAGAAGAAACAAGGACTTCGCCACATCCTGTGTCCTCTGCTTCACTGAGACCTGGCTAAATGAGCGGATCCCGGACTGCGCTCTGGAGCTGCAGGGCTTTGGGCTGTTCCGCGCGGATCGCCATTGTGCGCTCTCAGGGAAGAGCAGAGGCGGTGGGCTGTGTTTCTACGTCAATACAAACTGGTGTAACGATGTGACAGTGATCTCCAAGCACTGCTCTCCTGCTCTGGAATATCTTTTCATTCATTGTAAACCATATTACTCCCCGCGTGAAATTGTTTCATTCATTCTTGCCTCTGTTTACATACCGCCATGCGCGGACGCGCGCGAGGCTCAGCGCGCACTCGCAGAGCAAGTACTGTGTATGGAACGTTTATACATAGTTCCCACAGACCAATGAATGTCACATGACCTCCTCGGAGACGCCATCTTTGATGGCACGCTGCTGTGTTTGTGCATTCCATTAAACAGAAGAATGAGAATAAATGTAGATATTCAAACGCAAATTGGAAAAAAAGGGCAACTTTTGAGCAAATAATTGTATATTAATACAATGGCACCACAGTTTAACGTGCTACGGACATGTTTTACATATTTGATCAAATTATGCAGCAAAAATTAACAAGCAATGCAAACATTTCTCAAAAACTTTAGATTTAATACCAGATGGAGCTCCATTTAATTATTTTAATTATATTAACAATTAATTTAATTAATGCTAATGCCACACGGACACTCTGGATTGCTGTTATTGTTTATTTCCGCGTTTTTGACCGTATGTTTTGGTGAATGGTGGGCAACTGATTTTTCCAGGCGTAAAGAGCAGTTTATTTTATGACACAGATCTTTTTACAGAAGCAATGCTGTTTGTGAACATTGTTTTAGCCCACCATAGAACTATTATTATCTATTTAATACATTTACGTTGCCCTCGAGAGCCTCGGACGCGACACCGATCCTCCTCATAATAAAGTAATCTAACGCTAAATAATGAAACTCTCAAGTTACCAGCTATCAGCATACACAAGTTAGTACTGAGTAAATTACGTCTGTCAACACATTATGAGATACGATACGCACCTGACACAAAGTGTTCCGAGCATATTCTTGCGTGTTTTGAGGGAGTTTCTTGCCTGTTTATCTTCGCAAGCCATAACCTCCGTCGTTGTTCTGACAAAAGCTTAGTCTTCTCACATTCATGAAGTCTAATGATGGGTATACTGTAAAATCCAAGTTTAACGGAACCTCCGGCACGATTTGAACATCCATTGACCCAGCAGGAGATGACCATTTTCAACTATATCACGACATTAACACGTTTCAGCTTCTTTTTCTATTGTTTTGCCCACAGAATGCCAACACAAATGGCGCCGGGTCGGCAAATCCCCGTATGTAGTGACGTCATGTAGGAACTATGTATACCCGGACTCTCTGATTATTATCCTGGGGGATTTTAACAAGGGAAACTTGAGCCAGGAATTACCCAAATACAGACAGTTTATCAAATGCCCGACCAGAGAGGAGAACACTCTGGATCACTGTTACACCATGTGCGCGGAGCTTTTCGCGCTGTTCCCAAGCCAGCCCTCGGCTTCTCAGATCACTCCATGATACATCTGGTTCCTGCTTACAGACAGAGACTAAAGCTCTCGAAACCTGCAGTGAGGAGCTCCAAAGTGTGGTCTGATGAAGCTGTGGAAGAGCTGCGCGCATGCATGGAATCTACAGACTGGGACCTTTTCAGAGCTGCCACAGATAGTTTGGATGAATATACGGACACTGTGACGTCATACATTCACTTCTGTGAGGATAGCATCATTCCAACAAGGACCAGGGTCATCTATAACAACGACAAACCCTGGTTCACTGCTAAACTCCGGCAGCTCAGGAAAGCAAAGGAGTCTGCTTTCAGGGAGGGGGACCGCAGCGGCTACAAAGCAGCTAAATATCAGTTCAGGAGAGAACTGAAAGCAGCCAAGTCCCGGCACAGAGAACGACTACAGGAGCAGTTTGGTAACAACGATACTGCTTCTGTCTGGAGGGACCTACGGGAGATCACCAACTACAAACCCAAAGCCCCCCCCTGTGCTGACGACCACAAGCTAGCTGACTAACTGAACTTATTTTTCAGTCGCTTTGATGCTGCCCCTGACACCTCTCCCTCCCCCACCCCCCACTACTCTAACGACCCACCCATCAGCCCTGCCCCCAGCCCAACAATAGCCTCTAAAGACATTAAACAACTCTTCCTGAGGCTGCACCCCCGCAAAGCTCCTGGCCCGGACCACGTGTCTCCGGCCACTCTGAGAACTGCGCCAGTGAGCTTTCTCCTGTGTTCACGGACATTTTCAACACTTCTCTGCAGTCCTGCCATGTCCCGGCCTGCTTCAAATCCTCCATCATTGTCCCCGTCCCGAAGAAGCCCAGGATCACAGGACTCAATGACTACAGACCTGTAGCACTTACGTCTGTCGTCATGAAGTCATTTGAACGCCTGGTTCTCTCCCATCTCAAGTCCCTCACCTCCCCCCTCCTGGACCCCTATGAGATTTCATAACACTTTGAAGCAACTTTTGTTAAAGTTAAACTCATCATTCTATCAATGTGCAGAAGCCTGTACTTTTCCCTTGTTTTGTCTATCTGAAGGCCAAGCTACATGGCACCGTGGCAGCTGCTGATTGGAGGTCTCCATGCCTCCGCTCTGTATAATACACGTGCTGTCTCTACCATCGACAATAAAACATGTCTTCTGTCTGAATTTAAGACGCGATCCCAGACTTGGTACATCTTCTTCAGGTGGTGGAAGGATGCAGGCCTTGTCTGTAACATCTAGAGAACAGAAGACTTTTTTTTTTTTACACAAAAAGTGTTTTTTTTTAAGCCAAAACTGTGAGCTGCTGAGACATGGACAAGACCATCGTCCTCTTTTGCATGGACACCATTTGGAAAAATTGGATTACACAATTTGGACATCATTTGGAACAATCTGGATTTCTGAATTTGGACATAATCTGGACTGAATTGGATTGTTGAATTTGGACACTGAAGCTGAAACGTGTGATTGAAAGACACGTCACAGAAGAATTCATGGCTCGACACAAATGCAGCCTGAAGAAACCAACACGGAGAAGTGGGAGAGACTGTTTTCAAAGCAATATCTGGAACCACCATCGACTGATGAAGTTTGGTATTTTACTGAAGATTGTTGACAAGTTTTATGAAAGATCTGAACATGTTTTATGAGTTTTCTGAGTTTTTGAAGTATTCCGAGTTCTGAGTTTTTTGAAGTACCGAGTGAAGTACCTAGTTTAAGTATTGAGTTATGATGTTATGTTGCTGTTTATCGATCCTGATGGTCACACGTGAATGTATGACCAGAGGGGGGAATATGAGATTTCATAACACTTTGAAGCAACTTTTGTTAAAGTCAAACTCATCATTCTATCAATGTGCAGAAGCCTGTACTTTTCCCTTGTTTTGTCTATCTGAAGGCCAAGCTACATGGCACCGTGGCAGCTGCTGATTGGAGGTCTCCATGCCTCCGCTCTGTATAATACACTTGCATTCTCTTGTATCTGTGCTCGTGTGCTTTGTTCGTGCTGTCTCTACCATCGACAATAAAACATGTCTTCTGTCTGAATTTAAGACGCGATCCCAGACTTGGTACATCTTCTTCACCCCCTGCAGTTCGCCTACAGAGCCAACAGATCTGTAGACGACGCCATTAACCTGGCCCTCCACCACATCCTACAGCACCTGGACTCCCCGGGGACCTACGCCAGGGTCCTGTTCGTGGACTTCAGCTCTGCCTTCAACACGATCCTGCCATCCCTGCTCCAGGACAAGCTCTCCCAGAGCTGCAGGTGGATCATTAACTTCCTGACTGACAGGAAGCAGCGAGTGCGTCTGGGGAAGAATGTCTCGGACTCTCGGATTATAAATACAGGAGCCCCACAGGGCTGTGTTCTTTCTCCCCTGCTCTTCTCCCTGTACACCAACCACTGCACCTCCAGCCACGACTCCGTGAAGCTGATCAAGTTCGCGGACGACACCACCCTCATTGGACTCATCTCCAACAACGATGAGTCAGCCTACAGGAGGGAGGTGGACCGGCTGGTGTCCTGGTGCAGTGGTAACAACCTGGAGCTGAACGCCCAGAAGACAGTGGAGATGATTGTGGACTTCAGGAAAAGCACTGTCCCCCCGCCCCCACCCTCCGTGATGGACTCCCCCATCACCTCTGTGGAGTCCTTCCGTTTCCTGGGCACCACCATCACCCAGGACCTCAAGTGGGAGCCGACCATCAGCTCCCTCATCAAGAAGGCCCAGCAGAGGATGTACTTCCTGCGGCAGCTCAGGAAAGCCAAGCTGCCTGCACAGATGTTGGTGCAGTTCTACACGGCCATCATCGAGTCCATCCTCACCTCCTCCGTCACCGTGTGGTTCGCTGGAGCCACAGTCAGGGACAAACAGAGACTAAAGCGCATTGTGCGCTCTGCAGAGGAAGTGATCGGCCGCAGCCTTCCATCGCTGCAGGACCTGTACGTCGCCCGAGCTCGAGGCCGGGCTGGTTGTATCACAGCCGACCCCTCTCACCCTGCACATGGACTATCCCAACCACTCCCCTCAGGCAGGAGGCTGCGGTCCATCAGGACTAGAACCTCCCGCCACAAGAACAGTTTCTTCCCCTTTGCTGTTGGACTCTTGAACACTTCTTAACCTGTCCCCCCGCCCTTTATAAAGTCACTTTACTGCCCATCATACGCCACTTTACTTCACTGTACTGCTGTCACCTTACATTGTGTGCACCATGTGCATAACCTGGCAAAAGCCAGATTGATGATTGTGTAGAACTCTAACGCGTTCTCCGCGATATCAATCTGGGATTTCTCCCGGAGAATCCTTTCGGGGAAAGGAGGGGTAAGCAGCAGAATACTTGAAGCTGATTGGGCGAAGTGACGCTGTGTGCCCGCCTACCAAGGTTGCCGTCCAGAAATGTACAAAGCGCCTCTCGCTGTTCATCTTTCAAAAAAGAAATTGGAGATTCTGCTAAAACTGACTTTGCGTCCGTCCTCCTGCGTAGCCATGTTTGTTTTGCTTCGGCCCGGCACTTCTTGCTTTCGTCAAACCCGGATATCCCGCCCTAAACCCCCAGACTGGCGCGTGATTGGCTCGCACACCCAGTGGTTCGACTCGAAAAGTGTAAGCGGGAGCGGTACAAGATGTATTCTCGAGTGTTTGTGAACTCACAAATACCGCGAGAATTCAGCTTGCAGGCAAGGTTACCATGTGCACTTGTATACTGTAAATAGTAACTGTAACTCTATTTTAAATTTAAATGTATTCTTTAGAAGTGTTTTTTATTCTTATTTTTATTATCTCTTTTTGACTGTTGCACTGAGCCAAAGCAATTTCCTAGTCTGTGACCTCCTGTTACTTACGTGGCAATAATAATGATTCTGATTCTGATAATTGCTTGCACAGTGCTCCTTGAGATGTTTAAAGCTTGGGAAATCTTTTTGTATCCAAATCCGGCGTTAAACTTCTCCACAACAGTATCTCGGACCTGCCTGGTGTGTTCCTTTGTCTTCATGGTTCTCTCGGCACTTTAAACAGAACCCTGAGACTATCAAAGAGCAGGTGCATTTATACGGAGACTTGATTACACACAAGTGCATTCTATTTATCATCATCAGTCATTTAGGACAACATTGGATCATTCAAAGATCCTCACTGAACTTCTGGAGTGAGTTTGCTGCACTGAAAGTAAAGGGGCCGAAAAATATTGCACGCCCCACTTTTCAGTTTTTTATTTGTTAAAGTTTAAATGATCCAATGAATTTCGTTCCACTTCACGATTGTGTCCCACTTGTTGTTGATTCATGACAAAAAATTAAAATTTTATATCTTTTTGTTTGAAGCCTGAAATGTGGCGAAATGTTGAAAGGTTCAAGGGGGCCGAATACTTTCGCAAGGCACTGTATGTTCTGCAGTGTCAGAACAGATGACATGTCATGAGTGAAGACAAATCTGTTCGAGATAAGACTGATCTCTGTGTCCTTTGCAGTTCTTCTTCATTGTGACGGCCATCTTCATGGCAGAAGCAGCTGGAGCCATCATGATGTTGCAGTTCAAACCGTTGGTCAGACTTATTCAATGTTTGATGCAGATTTGCAGCCAACATTCACCCTTCACCTTGTGTGTGTTTAGATGGATAAGTATTTGGTCAAGTTTGGAAACGCAGCTGTCCAGAACATACAGAAACAATACGGGGAGAACTCCGATATCACACAACTGTGGGACACTACTATGGGCCTGGTAAAAGTTATTTTAAAACCACATTTTCAGGCACAAATCTAATTAGTGTTTTTCTACAGCTAAAATGTTGTGGATTCAATAACTACACCGATTTCACCAACTCCACCTTCCACACGGAGAAGGGGTATCCACCAATATGCTGTGAGAACGTTGATGCCCCGTGTAACAGCACCGGCGTGTCGGTATGTACCAGAAAATGACATTTCAGACAATATGTTGATCAATTTGTAATTTTAGAATAAGTATCAATATGGAAATATATATATGATGGACCACCGTATTGCTCTGGTTTATGATTGACATCTTGATTCATTTAAGGAAATTTATATTCGTCATTGTTTATGATAGAAATCTTGACAAAAACATAAAAACTGTGTGTTTGGGGGGTGCAGAATGCTGTTCCTCTGAATTGGCTTGAGCAGACAACTATGTTTGGATTTGTGATGACAAGAATCTTTCTCTCATTATGGTGCTCTTTCTCTTTCAGGAGATTCCTGGTTGTTTCCAAAGGATGAAATCCCTGTTTGAAAAGAACAGCGAGATCATCATTTCAGTTTCCCTGGGGATATGTGGTTTGGAGGTACGAGCTGAAGCAATGGTCCTCTCCTTTAAGCAGGTTGAGGATTCCAGAGCATGACAATACTGACTTGTTCTCTCTGTGTGTTTTTCTACAGCTGGCAGCTATGTTTTCATCCTTGTTCCTATTCTGTAAAATTAAGAACTGACGCACAACCTCCTCGTATGTAATCAAAACATTTATATGAATTTCTTCGAAATGTAATATGTTGACTGTTTGAATATATTTTATTTGTAAATGATCCTTCACACTTCTCAAGCTGTTGATCCGTCACTAAAGGAAGATGGAGGGGATTCATTTTAAATTGTATATTTTTTAAAGTTCACTTTTTTAAAAAATGTGTTGACTGTTGAAATACACATTATTTGTAATTTGTTGACTGTGTGTGACTATTTTTAATGTCTGTGAGCAAAGGAGTCTTCTATAAGACAATGGGACAACTTGAACACAGGTACAAAGTGGTAATACATGTGTGCCCGGTTAAGTAAAGTAAAGTTTATATAGCGTCTTTCACAAACTAGGGTCACAAAGCACTTCCCATAAAATAAAATAAAAAAACATACAATAAAAACAGTGTAAAATACGTACAAAAAAGGAAGGCATGCATCAGCAGACACAAAACACAAAGGTCTATTTATGGTGAGGCAAAAAGCCATCTACACATATGCGTTATTAAAATTTACTTTACAACGTCATCATGTTTAATAGTGAAGTAATGCGTGACTTTTAATAACAAAATTAAACCATTTACTTTTTCTACAGTATTTCTTAGTGGTATTGGTAAGCATTCATAATCATAGAATGCGTTTCATAGATGTAGGTCACACAATTATATTTGGGTGGAAATAAAATAATTTATACATTGATTTGGTGTCGTTGTAATAAAATGATAGTTGCTTATTTATAAATGTATTACATCCTTCCACTGTCATTAGTGAGTAGGAGACTTGAGTACTTTTACTGAGTACTTGACGCGCGTGGCAGTCGCAGAGGAGGGGTCGGCTGTGTCCCAGTGCGCATGCTCCTGAGTGGATGCAAACATGCCTTCACCTCTCCCCACTCTCGGCTGAACGACTCTCCACCCGCCTCAAGTCCAAACTGTCCTTCCATCGTCTCATTAGTTTCTGTTTTAGTGAGGGATCAACTTCGTGAATGAGTCTTGCTTTAGCTGAGCGTGTATTCGTCTTCCTCCACTGCTGCTGCTGCTACAGGTGTCTGCGCACTCAGACTGTCAGGAGAACATGTCCAATGGGAAAGACGCAAATGTTCCACCCAAGTGAGTTTCACAGGACTGCACACATATCAACAAACCTTTTCACCCAAGAATCTATATACGCTGCATTATAGAGTTGCATGTGTGTCGATATACTCTATATACTTTTTTTTGTATGATTCGCTCAGTTACAAGAAGTTAATTTGAACACTACTTAGAGCACCATTTAAAGTCCGTTATAATGTTTTTGGACTGTAAATGATCATGCAGTTTTTAGGCCTTGTATTTGCATCACACTCACATAATTTACAAGTACCATTCGATTCTCATCTTGCATCTGTTGAGTTTAAAAAGTGATTATCTATTTTCTGATTGCTAATATTCACAAAATTATCCTTTTATATATTTGACATGATTATTGGATCCTACGAATTCTAAATAGGTTAAGCTTCTATAGGTTGTGGGTTGTTATTTGTTCTCTGCACAGCTGTCACTAAAGCCCTGATGGTTTCATATACTGTATGTTTGTTCCTCAGCCCCTCACAGATGACCCTCCAGCAGAGCCTGGCTGAGTGCATGGAAGCCTTGGACCTCTTCCTTAACAACCACTTCAGCGAGAGCTTAGAGCGGCTCAGGCCGAGGTAACGACACTCTCACTGCTGCTGTACTCGGCTCAAATGGCAGAAGATAAGAGTGTGTCAAAACCAGTCCCTCGCAGAAGTGAGCTGGGCTGCCGCTGGGTCGCTCCAGTGACTCCAGGATATGAAGTGTTTGCCAAAGATGACGCCCAAAGTATTGGTGAATCAACAGCCCGGAGACTAGGAGTGCGGAGTGCAGAATAAACAAAGGCCTACAGGAAAAGGAAGGAAAGAAATTGAGAGAGAGACACACACACACACACAGAGAAAGAGAGAGAGAGAGAAGTGGGGAGGCTGAATAACGAAGCTTATCTTTGTATCTTTGCTGAGGGAAAATGTCGCAGTAACATGTGTGTGGTGTACTTGCTGTAACTGCAGCTTGTACAAACCACAGAATGACCCTGAAGTCAATAGTGAAACTAAATCACAAATTATTCCTGAGTTAGTACCACCAAGAATACAGTTATAGGATCAAATAAAACAATTGCTTCTTTAACTATAGCCTTCCACACTATGGCATTAAACTTATGTCCATATGGAACCGAGGCGTCCAAACTTTGACCCATCCAGGACCCATTTTTATTTGCCCTCAACCTTGCATGTGAATTTCCCCTTTGAATACCAAGAAGTACTTTTTCACCAAATACTTTGCACTAAACTATCAGTTCTCAGCAATATACAGCATTTAACACACTCAAATTATAGTGCTTAGAGAAAGAAGTTTGGGCACCCCTGATCTATACTCTGGGTTTAAATCTATCCATCACCTCTAAAACTTGGTGGTTAAATTATTATTTGTCTATATATGTCTAAAAAATACTTATTTGTGGAACAAGCAATGTCTTCCTTATATTAAAATAAAGGTGAAAGAGTTTCTTAAAAATATGTCATTTAAGTCTCATTGAATTTGGTGTTTATAGAAATGGTAACATGGATATTAGCTATTGCAGAATATATTGTTTTGCTGCTGTTTGGTGATGCTCACACATTATTGCTCTGGTCTGTCATGACTGAGGTGCAGTAGAATGTGATGTCACTGGCCTGTGTGCTTTGTGCAGGGTGAATGACAGCATGTACCACGCCCTGATCTACGCCACGGTGCTGGAGATGCAGGCCATGATGACGTTTCAGCACGAAGACCTCACCAACGCCAGCAACACCATGAAGAGCGCTCAGGAGGTCTGCCAGAGGTGGGCCCACGCAACATATGCAGCACAAACACTGTGTTGAATATAGTGGTAAAACAAATGGGTTTTCTTTATTAGACCTTCTTTATTTTAATGTATAATTAATGTATTTTATATAATATTATATTATAATATTTATACATATTTATACAATATTTATACATCATATTTAAATATTATAATTGATCACACAATTGATCTATAAAGTATGTCATCTTTTTTAAAATGTAAGATCCGCTTCTCTGGTCCCAGTGCAAACCTGCTCCTGAGTCCTGGGAAAATCAGCTCCATTAGATGAGTCATAAAAGTACATTTCTTGTGTAGTGTATTTACATATGCACATTCTGCGGTTGCAGTATCTACCTGCATGTCCACAAGAGGAAATAATGCATTTTAAGTTTATAACTGAAATCACAATCTGTTTTTTCAGGTTTAGACGAAAAACTCCAGGTCTGAGCGGTAAGGCTGGGGATTCTATATCTGAAGGTAAACTCGGAAACCACTATGTGAGAGAATTTAAATCTCTTCATAAATGTATCTATTTATATAGTATGTTTTCTTTCCCTCTTCTTTTGTCTAATCTTGTATCATGATCGTTGAGCCGGTCAGCACTTGATCTAATCTTCCGCACATTACTTCATATCCTTGGTGGTCTTCTTTCTCTCTCAAACCTCAGCATGTTATCTCTGCAGTACAGGCCCTGAACAATCATAATTGCTTGTCGTAAATTTGATTAGTAATCACAGTTTTGGCATGTGTGTGTGTGTTTTTTTCTGCAGTGGAGCTTCATGCTGAAGTGTGTTTTGCTGAATGTCAACTGCAAAGAGCTGCTCTCACCTTTCTGCAGGTCTGACCCAAAACCTAAACTTTCTATTTATTCATAACAACTCATAACTTGCATCCATGTATCATAACAAATCTTATAATATACTATGTCACATACCTGTCGGTGTGATTCTGATTTGAAATGTATTATTTTCAGGTGATATAATGATAGAGGACAGTGGGGTATCTTTGGACCATTCTCTGACCAATTAGGGAGACAGTTTGAGAACCCCTGCTTTAGCCTGTAGTAAAGTAACATTCAGGAATATGCAGTTTGATGCTTTAAAAAACATATTTTACAGGATGAAAATATGGTTGGTTTCATCAAAGGGGGCATCAAAGTCCGGAACAGCTACATGATTTACAAGTAAGACCTGCCCCGGGTTTTCTGAGCCTCTGTAGGATGTGGGATGGGACACTTAAAAATGTAGTTGTTTAAAAATGTTCAACATTTCAAGTTTTGTGGTCAGGTGTCTTAACTTGCACAATGTATTATTTTTCAAAGACAATAATTTATATTTTAAATGACTATGATGAAAATTTGGCGAAACAGGAGTTTGTACAAAAATGTTTGTACAAAAATGGACGCTGTCCAGGAAGATTTTTGAAAGGGAAACTGACTTTTTGATTAGGTCAAAACATGAAACGGAAAACAAAAATGTGAGGGAGAGTGAGTGGAAGTTTTTGTTTACTTTATATAGACTATAGACCATGACATCTGCTCACCCTCTAGCTCAGTGACATCTAATAAGGAAGTGCTCATGGACTAAATGTTGCTCCAACTCCCTCTGGCTCCTGTTGACTTACATTGAAAATGTAAGTCAACAGGAGCTCTGTAACCATTTATGTCACACTCAGCATTTTGGACTCTTTGTGATCGTGGTGTTTGGTGTTTTATGAGCCATAAGGATTGACCAATCAGATGCTTTGGTTCAGTGGAGAAACTCCAGCTTGCCTTAGCAACCATGTTAACAAGTATCCCATCTACCCCAGATGAGGCCCTACTCACTGATTCGTCACTCCTGGACAAATTAAGGATTACTCTACTTCGTCCCTAGTCATCATACTTTTATTGTCTCCCAGCCCAAGCATTGAGTGTTAATTTTCCTAATTGGCACGAGTAACACATTTTGAATTTGAGGGCTACAAATCATAGTATTGCATGATTTTCTGATCTTCAGAGAACTACATTCCTACATCCAATCTCATAGCTGTCAGAAAGGAGCCAGCCACCTGCACTTAGAGGGAGGAGTCTCGTTTGGAATAGGTGCCTTCAATCTGGTAAGTATCAGTGTTCTTTTATATATTATTATACATAATCAATAATACTGTAATTTACCCCACACTGTTATCCACAGACCCTCTCTTTGTTTCCTCCTCGGCTACTTAAACTGTTGGAGTTTGCTGGTTTCTCTGGAGACAAGGTGTTGAAATAACTGATGTCATGTAAAAAAAATACACATTAATAATTTCTTTGTTGCATGTTCTCCTTCAGGAGTTTGGGTTGTCCCTGCTCAAGGCTGGAGCCACACAGATGAACCTGCGCTCCCTGCTGTGCGCTCTCCTACTGCTCTGCTACCACACATTTCTAACTATTATTCTTGGTACTAAATCCTACTCTGTCCTAATCATTTTTTATTCATTGAGTTGAGATGGTTTATGTAATATCCTTCTGTCTGTAGGCACAGGTGAGGGAGAGGTGACTGAGGCTGAAGAGCTGCTCAAGCCGTTCCGGATCCTCTACCCACAGGTACATGGACTATATATTCATCAGGGATCAGGGCAATTAGTTTCTCCAGGCGCCACATTGGAACATCGCATGATTTGGAGTTAGAAGTGTTTTCAACATGTTTGTACACATTTTCATGGACCTTTTCATGAAAATGTGGTTGTTTTATGTTACTAAAAACAAGTTATGCTGGTATTGGACTGAAGGTAAAACTTTAAAATGATTTATATCATGCCATGGTACACACTTTCTCATTTAATGAGTTTCCTTTCTTTTCATAACTATTGACTGTAGATTCACACCAGGCTGTGTAAGGGCTATTTAACCATTAAGGAGAGTGGTGGGTGCCGGGCCAGATGACATGGCCTCCACAGTCACCGGACCTGAACCCAATCCAGATGGTTTTGGGGTGAGCTGGATCACAGAGAGAAGGCAAAAGGGCCGACAAGTGCTAAGCATCTCTGGGAATTCCTTCAAGAGTGTTGGAAGATAATTTCAGGTCACAACCTCTTGAAACTCATTAAGAGTGTGCGAAGCAGTAAGCAGAGCAAAAGGTGGTACTTTGAAGAACCGAGAATATTTTCAGTTGTTTCACACTTTTTTTTTTTTTTTTTTAAGTACGTACATAATTCCACATTAGTTAATTCATGAATCTACAATTTTCATAGTCATGAAAATAACTCTTTGAATGACAAGGTGTATCCAAACTTTTGGTCTGTACTGTATAATGGCTCAATAAGGGCTCAATCACAATAATTTTCATTGGTTTTTTTTCTTTTCAGTACGTTCTTTACTTTTCCACTTTGTCATGTATCTCACTCCCCCAGTCTCTCTCCTTGCTCCCTGATAAGCTCTGGTTGCTCACTCCTGCTCACTCCCCACACACAAACATACCTCAGTGCTGTCATCCCACCTTCTGCTTACAGCGGCCCTTCCCACTCTGCAAACTGTAGCTCTGTAAATGTACATTTAAGTACACTTTACCTAATCTGGATTACTTGAAAATCCAGACCTGGTTTGTGGGATTTACTGCCTCTTTACCTACAACAATTACAATGATATTTTGTCTTTTCACAAGGGAGCAATCTTCCTCTTTTTTGCGGGCAGAACTGAGGAGATTAAAGGCAACATTGATGAGGTATGTTTAATCTGAGTTTTCGGAAGTTCTCTGTGTTTGTTGTTGGGCTGAACAGCTGCAGAGGAGATGTGTGAATCCTTGTGTAAGTGCTGTGCTGTTTTTGCAGGCGGTGGCTCTGTTTGAGGACGGCTGTAAGGCGCAGCAGGCCTGGAAGCAGTTCCATCACATGTGCTACTGGGAGCTCATGTGGTGCTTCACTTTCAAGAGGGACTGGAAGATGGCGTACTTCTATGCAGACCTACTGAGCCGAGAAAGCCGCTGGTCCAAGGTACAGCAGCCCACATCTTACCACAGATAGATAGAAATTAATGTGTCCAGTTTTAGCAGAAACACATGCATCCATACAAACCAAACAAATTAATACATAATTCTAAAAGTAGCTAACAATAGTATGAAAATGCAACAGCACTTTAGGTCACAGCAGTAGAAGCGGAGTAGCCGCTGTGTGGAACAGCAATCACAACAATACAATACAGACGAATTATCATTAAAATGAGCTTGTAGCTATTTCAGGTCGCTACTGTTCAGTTATTGTGCAATATTAAATACATTATTAGGAAAATGCTGTGCTGTTCCATATTGTATTATTAAATGTTGATGTAAAGGTGAGATGTTTGTTTTAAAGGTGTTTTGGTTCATCTAACTGTTATTTTGTCTATAAACATGGGACTTGGCTCGGTTACTAGTTATATACACTGTATGTGGAGAGGCGATTGGATCTTCTCACTGTAAAAAATAAAATAAAAAAAATTGTTGAGCAATGTACATTTGGGTCACTACCAGAGCAGAGGTATAAAACCTGGCGGTGCATATGTGAGTGAACATCTGCTGTTTCCCAGGCAATGTATGTGTACATGAAGGCAGCATACCTGAGCATGCTTCCAGAGCAGCAGGCCCGGCCTTTTGAGGAGAATGAGGTTCTGCTCTTCAGGTAAGCAGGATTAATGCATCTGTATGCCATAGATATTATCAAGACATTAAATTATTTCTGATTCATCTTTTGCAAGTCCCATAAATGGCAAAAATGATCTATCTTTACTAATGAATGAGAGAATGTGTAATATGAAACCACACTTATCCAGTCACTTTACTATAAGTCACTTTGTTCCATTCCCTCATGCTGCTAACATGTACAGATGTATACATACAATTGTATTTCTCGCTCTAGAATATACAGCATTTTAGTTTTTTTTCTATATTATGATAAAGATAGAGATTTCATACATTCTTATTCATTCCAAATATGGATATATATATTTTTTATTAGTTATTGTTCATTTATCTTGCGTTGTGTGCTCCTCATTCCAACTGTTCTGTAACTGGTGATGGAACACTAAAATTTCCCCACTGTGGGACAAATAAAGGATATCTTAATATTAATGGTGTATATAGGAGGATTTTCCCAAATTTTAGGAAAGAACCACCCTCTCCACTTTTTGAAAAGACAAAAAAAACTCTGGTCTTGTTTGACGAGCACGTATCACCAGAATGGTTGACAAGTATAAGCACCAATAGTCTTGATGATCCACCCGGATGCAGAAAATCTTCCTATATACCTGTAATCTTAAATCATAAATATAAATGTAAGCTGCAGATCGCAAATTGTTGATACTGTGAAACTAGATGTTACAAATTTACTTTTTTATTGTATTTACTCTAAAGACAAGTGTCCACTTTCAAGCAGAAGATAGCAGGGAAGTCTCCGCCCACAGAGAAGTTTGCCATCCGTAAAGCCAGACGCTACAAGGCCTCCAGTCCTGTCAAACTGCCAGTGCCAGCGCTGGTAAGGCTTGCATACTTTTGCTTATTCCTGCGTGTGCCGTGTTGAATTCACTGTGCTGGCTTACAGGAGATGATGTACATGTGGAACGGTTTCAGTATGATCCGCATGAGACCAGAGCTGACCCAGGGCATGTTGGAGACTGTGCAGGAGGCAGAACGCTCTCTACTGGAGGGGATTGGTAACTTCACCTATTCCTGAGCAGTATTTCTGTGAACACATTTATCTGTGATAAACGAGAACTGCTGAGTCTATATACGTGCCTCTCACCTGTTCTGATAATAAATCACTATTATAATCATTTTACCTGTTGTTATTACTACATTATTACATATCTATTCATCTTATTTTTCTGTCATTCACAAGTCACTTTACCTGCTGCTATTATTGCTATTGTTTATTCTGGTCATATTCTCTGCTGGTAAAGTACATTATACACGTCTGTAAATACCTCCAAACCAAGTGCAATTATAGCTCCAGAGTTTTTTTTGTTTTGTTTCTATTTTATGATCTAATTACTTATTATTGTTATCTATTTTCTCGAATAATTAATCCTGTTTGTGTGCAATCTGAGTGCTCTTATTTCCTACCTTTTTTCTGCTGTAATGTGCGCAACGATGACATTGAAATTTCCTCACTGTGGGACTGATAAAGGACTATCTTTTCTCATCTTCTCTTAAATATGTGCTAAATGGTGGTTTCCTTCTTTTGCAGAGCATGACTTCCTGATGGATGACCTGTGTTTGATTCTGCTTCTGAAGGGAGTTTGTCTACGAAACCAGGGCCAGATGGAGACTGCTCTGGGCTGCTTCAAACAGCTGTGCGACAGGTGAGCACGTTCCATCCACTACCTTATTTTGTGTCTTTGCTTTTCATCATGCTTTTATCAACTTAGTAGAAAACGCAGATTTTGATTAAGAGTGACTATGTCGCTTTTGGCTAAGATCTGATTGGTTAAGTGCTCACCTTTCTGAAAAAGTTTGTCTAAACTTGTGACAGAGGCCAAAGAAATATGTGTGTGAAACTAGTGATAAAAATTATTTGAGAGATTTAATACTATAGTTAAATTTTTTGAAGTTTGAAAATTAGGTACCCCAGCTTTAAAGTGATTGTCTGGAGTTGTCAGAAAAAAAGAAAGGTATTTGATTTGAAAAAAAGATGCAAGCTCCCTCCCCTCTGATTGGTCTACGCCTACGTTTTACATTTAAATGTTAATCAAAAAATACAAACCTGCAAATTATTAATACACAAGCACACAGCTTTTCAGAATAATTTGTTAACGTTTTCATGAAAAAAATAATGTTTTAATGCACAAAAAAAGCGATTGCGGCAAACCCGGAAGTAGCTAATAACATTAATTATAGGACACATCTGCTTGATTGGTTAACGTGGACGGCATCATGGATTCTGCTATAGCTAAGAGAAGGGAAGGGGAATTCTAATATTACGTAATATTAGAATTAATAAAATGACTTATTTTATATCAACATTTATAGGCCAGGAGGTCAATTTAATAAAATTCTTCAAATTTGTAATTCGTATGTTTCAGGAACAGCTACAAAAGGTGCCTTGCCCTCTGCAGGTGGGTGGAGAGGTCCTTCCTCAAGTGGAGGAGTTCAAGTATCTCGGGGTCTTGTTCACGAGTGAGGGACGGATGGAGCGTGAGATTGACAGGCGGATCGGTGCAGCGTGCGCAGTGATGCGGTCGCTGTATCGGACCGTTGTGGTAAAGAGGGAGCTGAGCCGAAAGGCGAAGCTCTCGATTTACCGGTCAATCTTCGTTCCCTCCCTCACCTATGGTCATGAGCTTTGGGTAATGACCGAAAGAACGAGATCGCGGATACAAGCGGTCGAAATGAGCTTCCTCCGCAGAGTGGCTGGGCGCTCCCTTAGAGATAGGGTGAGGAGCTCGGTCACACGGGAGGAGCTCGGAGTAGAGCCGCTGCTTCTCCACGTCGAGAGGAACCAGTTGAGGTGGCTCGGGCATCTGTTCCGGATGCCTCCTGGACGCCTCCCTGGGGAGGTGTTCCGGGCACGTCCCACCGGGAGGAGGCCCCGGGGAAGACCTAGGACACGCTGGAGGGACTATGTCTCTCAGCTGGCCTGGGAACGCCTTGGGGTCCCCCCGGACGAGCTGGAGGAGGTGTGTGTGGATAGGGAAGTCTGGGCGTCTCTGCTTAGACTGCTGCCCCCGCGACCCGGCAACGGATAAAGCGGAAGAAAATGGATGGATGGATGGAAATTTGTAATTCATTTAGAGTTCCAGACTATCACTTTAAAGTGGTCACTGAGAACCCATATATTACCACAGCAGGCCAGTGGAGTTTTATTCATGGGTTTTGAGATTCCTGTTCTATACATCAATTTGAGGAATTTTCGGCCATTCAAAAGATTAATGTGTGGGGAGTCAGACAAAATATTATGCTTCTGACACTCTTTAGAGTTTAAGAATGAGAAAGTAATGTTTGATTCAGTGATATGTATTTGGTATTTGGTGAAGTGACTTTGCTGTCTGTGTATTTGCAGTGAAAAGAGAATCCGCTTTGACCACTACCTGGTGCCCAATGCTCTGGTGGAGATGGGTTTGATCTACATTGACCAAGGAAAGAGGGACATGGCTGTCAAAGTATTGCGCAAGGCCAAGTATGTTTTATGAACTTAGTCATGGTCTGTACTCACGTCTATAACCTCAAACTGTGTGATTATGGCCAGAATAACTCAATACATGACTCATATTTGGCTGCTCACTGATCGCCACTCAGATATGTAGGCTACAGTATATTAAGCTTTGTGCTGTGCTAAATCACAAGTTACTAGTCATGGGAAATGTTGAATTTGACTTTTGCTTCACATGATTCTCCTCGTATGTTTCAGGAACAGCTACAAAGATTATTCGATGGAATCCCGGACACAGTTCAGGATACACGCTGCTCTGGCAAAAGTCAAAGCTGAAAAAGTTGACGACGAAGACACACATTTGTGAGGTTCCTTTTAGACTGAGAAATTAGATTATAATTTTAGCTCCAAAGGGCCTTTTGTATGAATAAATAAAATTTTAACATACGTTCACAACTTGATATAATCCTAATTATGCACCTGGTCGAATTGTTCCTGGTCTAAAGTTTATATGTGGACAGACTGACATTACTCGATGCAGTCCAGTCCTGTAGTGACTCGTTAGGTACAAGGTGTGATAAGATTTGATGTAATTTTAAAATAATCATTATTAAATAGAGTTGGCAGTTTTATCTAATATATTCAAATGTTTATGATTAGCTCTGCTCAATGTATTTTTTTTGTCTTAAACACAAATCTACTTTGGTTAAAAAATAAATAAAGTGTATTTGCTGAAATACCAACATTTGACACTCTTTAGTCAAGCAAACGACCGGACATTTGTATAATTTATTGATCCTTTTCAAGCATACACAGTATACATTAAGAGTGAGATTTCGGTATGTACATATATCCACCACCGGACTACGAGGAGACTGGGGGAGGTGTGACGAGCCCCGCCTGCTCCTCTCTTTGCCTCCGCTTCAGCAGTTTCTTCTTCTTTTTCTCTTCCTTCTCAATTTCTGCCACCATCTCCAAGAACTTGGGGCTGCGAGGGTCCACAGCGTAGCCAAAACGCTCTCGTGCCTCAGCCAAGAGCTTTTCCCGCCGAGCTTTCTCCTCTTTGAGTTTCACTTTAGCCTCCCGCTTCTCTCTTCTCCAATCCGCAACCATCTTGGGCATTTTGGCCATGTTCGCCGCAATAAGTTTTTCCCTATTGGAAGAAATTACAATATAATATACACAAAATGGAAGATTGAACGTAAATGAAGACTTGTTTGAGATGAATATTGGGTAAATCACCTTGACAACCACCTAAGCAAGGACATAACGTGATTTTTGTTTTGTTTTATGAGAGACTTTCTTACAGGTACATTTCTGCATTAGGACACTGTCAATATTGCTTAAAGTGCGTATGATATTCCCATTTTGACTTTTCTGGTGGAGTGGCATCAGTTTTAAAAGCTTTGTAATATTTCAACACTGGTGAAGCTGAAGTTGGACGGAGTAATGTACATATAAACAACCAGGAAGTAGAGCAATGTTCTAGAACTGATTGTGAGGGAGATTCACAGTTTATAACATTAACAATATGTTCTAATTTCTTTTCCTGAACACAATGGACGAATTTTACCCACTTTATAACAGATCAAAAGAAAAATCTTGAATGTCTGACCTGTTAAGCATTTTAACCCCTACATTAAGGCTAGATAGGAGCATGTAACACACAATTTTACATTCAGCCTCATGGATTAACCTTCACATGATGAAGATCGATTACATGTATTTACCTCTCAGTAATTTTACATAGTTCAGGCCATTTGAGGACAAGATTTAAATTGGAATGATGTCAGTTTTATACATGAGCCTTGTGTGACCTCATTACTCACTTGGCTAGTTGCTTTTCCGTCGCCTCCTTTTCTCTGGCTGCTATGTTTCTCCTCATCACATCTAACGGGGGGAACCACTCGTTCTCCTCCGCTATGATTTTGTCCAGCTCCGGGGGAGAAGGCCACAGCGAGGCCGGGTCGATGCCAGACGCAGAACCATAGCGGCCAAAGAGCTTCCTGTCATGGCGCGCTGTCTTCTGCCACTCCGGGGTCCTCTCGCTGTCTTTGTCCGGGATGTAGGGGTCCTGGAGGTTCAGTCTCAAAGGTTTGGGGTTGTACGAGGCTGTCTGGAAAACCAGTCCACATTTAGATAATAGAGAGCACACGGGTTTAGAGGTTGTAATCCAGTTTGAAGTCCTGCACAAGACGGCTGCCCTCCTGAGCAACACGGAGGACGCCATGTTTGTGACGTCAGAGGACCCGCGCTCAGGTGACCGTGGATGTGCCTGTACAAAAAAACAACACGACGAAATGAGGTAATTTTGTTTTAACTTCAAACCGTATCAAATATGAATTAAAATTATTGTATTTTCCTACATGTTGGACGTGTGGACACCTTTGTGGACACCTGTCTGACACAAAGGACAGAGATTGTTACTAGAATCAAATCTTTTATCATAGGTGTTGATACCTCTTGGGTTTCGTAGAATCCTAAGTACTCTGTATGTTATATTCTCTGGTTGCACTTTCTGTCCCAACAGAAAAAGTCTAGTAAAAGTAACATGTTTTGAATCAGACCACAATATGAGGTCTTCATCTTTTTAGAAAACAGACAGATTTTATTATGAAACGGAGCCCCGTGAGTCACTTATTTGATGCCAATTGGCTGAGTGAGGGTTGTTCTCCCTTTTTCACTTTTCTATCTGAAAATGGTAATTTAAAGATGTGACAGAGGTCACTAATACATGCATGCTGTTTTGAGAGTGAGGGACTGATACAATTTGGGGCTCTGGACTTGGATCTGAAGTTGTTTTAATTTTGTATTTTTGTAAATGCACTTGATGTATCGTTTTTAATTTAGTCTTCACTGTATCAGTTAATGTAGTTTTTATGTAGTGGCAGTTGCAAAATATTGGGGGGAGGGGGATCACCTCTGGGGGGCGCCAGACCATTACTGATAGACTAAAAAAAATCTGTACAGTACAAACTTATCAACTTATAATAATCTAAACTAAAATCAATACATCTAAAATGAATAGTGAACATGGGTATTAACATCAGTAATCAGTTGAATCAAACATACATTCACTTTTTTGAAAAGATTGGTTGCATAGTAGGCAAATAAGTTACTTTCTTCTAAATATCACAAAGTTTGCTGCCTATTGATTGGTTTCCAATATCCACAGTAACTTGGCTGTAGTATAGAGCAGGTGTGTAGCCACAGCGCCAGAGCAAGGGCAGAACTAAGGATCTTTTAACACAGTCTTTGAACATTTAAGGACCACTGAGCTTGGGAATCAACCTTGGAGAGAAAAGAGCTTTGTTTTAACCCCTTTAGCCCCGCCCTTGCTCTTTTTTGAAGCCTCCACCCCTCTCCCACAACTTCTAGATAGATTTAATTTCTTTTCAACATGCACATAGAACAAATGGGCCCAGCTCTGGAGTGCTGCACTTCCAGAGACAGATGTCATCGCTTTTGTGCGCTGCATTAAAGATTTAGGGTTCCCATGGCAGGGGTGGCACAGGAGAGGGAGGGTTATGGTGAAGGCTTAGTTTGGCTTAGGAGAGTTCTGGTGCCAGGCCAAGGCTCCAGGGAGCACATGACTGTCAGACTTGTTAGCAGTGGAGATAAATATGACAGAAATATGACAGCTCTATTTGTGGGTCAGCGATAACAATGTAATTCTGGTGTTTGCTGTTCTCTACTCTGCATTATTGTAACATTAGCCAAGGTTTTAACTCTGTTTATGTCTATCATATGGAAAAATGCACTTATTTGCTGAAAGAGGTCAAAGTTTCAATCACACAAGTTTATTCTACGCATTTGTCTCTTACAGCCCAGACACGGTGGACATTTATCTTGCAGCCACTTGAGGGAGACAGAAACCAGTTTTAAATTGTAAGTGGTCATAACCCACACATATGAAAGCTTTTTTTGAAGACAGACTTAACGTGGTTTTCTGGACTCTACTGTTACCCACAAGCATCAGCTCATAACTTATAACCCCAAATGGTCCTATGTTTATTGTATTCTTCCCAGGGCTGTGTCTTCCTCTCTGAAGTACCCTGACAAGATACACCTGAAAATGTAAGTCAAACGTTATATTAAACATAAAATGTCCATTGTAACCTATTATACATGTTTAATGACATTCAATCACTTCATCCTGCATTGATGGATAAAGTGTGTAGAAAAATAGCTTGCCCAAACTCTTTGGCACTGCACAAGTTTTCACATTCAAGCAGCATTGTTCTCATTTCTTATGGATGTAAAAGATATAATTATGGATGTAAAAGACATTATTATGAGATGAAATCAAGAGCTGCTGTGATCCATAGTGGAAAATTGTGTTCTTTTGTGTGATTGTAGTCAGTTGGAATCCTATAGCTTTTAATATAAGCCTTTTGAGGCAGTCATAATTCATCAAATCAAATAGGTTTCTTGCCAAGGACAGAAAAAACTCAACTGAAACATAATTTCAGGCAAAAATCAACTAAGCACAAAGTCCGTTTGATCGCTAAGAATTCTGAGCTCATATGCCGTCATTACATCCCATTGTCCCTGTTTGCCGCTACAAAGCAGAAATCATAATAAATCCACTGCAAATGAAGCTTTTGTTGGCTTCAGACAATAACGACTTTGCTCAGAAATTTGGCAACAAGAAACCAGATTTGTAAGCATTTTCCCCCAGAACAAGGGATAAGGACAAAATCCCCAAAATATATGAAAGCGCACCCAAAATATCTCCATTTCCTGGTAATGACAGCAGACCGCAGTGGTTAGAAAAATAAGGAATATTAAAAGTGTGCTTGGTAAGACAATTCCCCACAGTGTCGGTGATGAATTGCAGCCCTCCTCAAGAACATAAGAATTAATAATCGCGAGGTAGATGGTGTTGTCCTTGCCAACGCGGATATTACAGAGTGCCTTCAGACAACTTAAGCTTGCTTTAAAGTCCACCCGTTTTTATAGTCGCTGATTTTGCCATTTGGGCTTGTTTGAGAAATGAGCAACAACAAACCCCCCCCCACCCCTTGCTAATGTTAAACTTGGACCCATTCCCAAATTCTGTACTGCTAGAGTAAGCATTCCTGCCTACAGAAGAGGGAGGGTACAAAGAAAAAAGAAGAGCCAAAGACAGTTTCAGTGGGGAGCAGTGGAGTGTTTTACAGTAATGAATATACCACATGGAGATAGTGGTGTGCGACAGACAGGGTGCTTTCTGCAGTGGAAAAACAGTAAAGTGTCTTCCGGAATAATTTCTCTCAGGGTCACTCTGGGGATTTTTTTCCTGCTCACTTTTTCTGCTGCTATAATATGGAAGGAAAAGAGCGGGCCGACCCCTGCTAATGCATCTGTACTGACAGATGATGGCAGTAACTTTTGAATCCTCTCTCTGCTTCTCTCTCCGTCTCTGTGTAATATACTGTATCTGTTCGCCATATATCAGAAACAGATTTAAGTTTTCTGCTGACTGTGATGATGCGGCGCCAAAGTTGAAGCTATAATTTCTTCAACCAATTTTGCTTTTGACTTTAAAGCTATTCGTTGATGATTTGAATGTGACATTAAGAATATACTTTAAGCTGTGGTATATCATTTTCAAACCACAAAAATATTGATGTAACTAGTTCCTAGCTCGCTGTACAGTTTGGTGCTCACTAGTTTCCTCATAGGGGGGCGATAGTGGCTCAGTTGGTGAAGCATTGGCCTTTGGACCTAAAGATCATGGGTTCGGGCCCACCTTGAGACCTTCTTCACGACTCCCACTGATGACTGCTGTGTCCTTAGGCAAGACACTTAACCCCACTTTGTCTTAAGCCCCCGCTGAAAGATCAAGGCTCCTGTGGACTCACCACCTGCAGGAGGATCAGTGAGGGGCTGGTGCTCTGTGTACTGGGTGCAGCTCTGACTGACCCCCCCCCCCCCCCCCCCATCCATCCAAAATGGATGGATGGATGGTTTCATCATATTTTTGGCTCCTGTCATATCTATACATCAGGAATGTTCTGATATGCATACAGGTATTGGCAAAAGCGATAGTACCGGTAGTGCCAGATGGCTTGAACTATAGATTTTGTGTAATTTTGTGTCGTACTCATGCCTCACAGCCAGATGGTTGTGGGTTCGATCCCACAGAAAGGTCAGAGTCCCTCTGTGAGGAGTTTGCATGTTTCTCCCTGGGTGTGTTTCCTGCAGGCGCTCCGGTACAGCCTTGGAGAGACTTCCATAACCCCAGAAAGCACATTACAATTGGAAGGATATATTATTATTATCATTGTTTTTATTTCAAGTAAGTATTTCTGTTGAGACAAACAAAAAGGAACCCCAGCATTAAGCTGTGTGCGTCACTCAGCCCAGGCTTGGCAGAAGAAATGGTAAAGGGCTGTCACAAAAATGAATAAACCCAAGACAGTATGGCATTTCATCAGACAAATGTGATTTTAGTCCTTTTTAATGCACTATCTCCCAGTTCCATGCATTATTCATCAGAGCCATTGTTTTGTGGGCTTGTGGCCAGCCATCATTTGCATTTCTTAGTTGATGATCATTTGTGAATCAATCATAAGCATCATGGTTTGTCCTCGTACATAACCTATAAACACATTGTTGCATATCATTTTTGTCAGTATGAAATGATGCCTTTTAAGATGATTGGGCTGGACGGGCTACGTTTCGTCAAAGTAGCTCCTTCTTCTGGGTGTAATGGATTGCAATGTACCAGGTCTTTTTTTAAAGTAATCAGTGCCAGTCACCTGATCTACACAGCATGAAGGTCACTTTCAGCACAGAAATAAAATAAAACCGATCATTTAGAAAGAAATCTAAAACATGCTTTTAGCCATGTGATTTTAAAGAATGTAATTTAAGGGCAATACTTGTTTTGTGTGTGATGTCATAGTGGTACAATGACATCATACTATTACAGGAATGAGACTGGAGGTTTTAGACAGAAGGGACAGAGTTACATTTTTGTACCAGAAGTCCCTGATATTAGCGTGGATTCAACTCAATTTCTGTTTTGATGAGGGAAAAATACTGTAAGCTCAAATAAGTACATTTTGTTTAATACGCCTTCCATAAGGGCACATAATGTATAACCTCCACACCTGCTTGTCTCCTGGTAGGTTCTTCCAAAACGATCTCCAAAAAAACAAACAGGGACGCCAGCACGCTTTTCCAACAAAGAACAATTGGCCTATATGAGTATGCAAATCCTATCCTCCATCTCTCTATTGC